ACATGCATATCCTGACATCCCTGCAGATTGAGAAGTTGACATTTCCTTTCTGGACTAGGCCACTTCTTGACAATAGGTGTGTAAAGCCTTTTGATTGAACCTGATGTCAGCTGATTTCTGGGCTTGTTCTAGGAGCTGCTATTATCGACAATGTTTCCATGGTATCAGTGTATTGGTGTCATCCATAATATTTCCTGCTTTAATAGTTTGTCACATTCCATTGTGGAGTAACCATTGTCACCATCATGGCTTTGTAATACTCTATACTTCAATGGTGTTGTGTAGTGAGGCTATACATATCCACCATGTATTAAATTGATAAGGCATTTCGTGTACTTCATCGAATGGTGTGGTGATGTCTTATATGCCATATACTGCTAAATCTGATCCCTTGTCACTGTCTTGGGGTTTTGGTATACTTTATGTACTGCTCTAATTCTGTATTATACTAAAAAAAACTCCCCTTTTATATTGTACACCATATACTACTTCAGTGCTTTGTTACACTCCATATACTGCACTGGGGGTTTGTTATACTCAATATACTACCCTGGTGCTGTGTTATACTCCATATACTGCCCTGGTGCTGTGTTATTTCTATATACTGCCCTGGTGCTGTGTTATACTACATATACTGCCCTGGTGCTGTGTTATACGCCATATACTGCCCTGGTGCTGTGTTATACTACATATACTGCCCTGGTGCTGTGTTTTACTCCTTGTACTGCCCTGGTGCTGTGTTATACTCCATATACTGCCCTGGTGCTGTGTTGTTATACTACATATACTGCCCTGGTGCTGTGTTATACTCCATGTACTGCCCTGGTGCTGTGTTATAATACATATACTGCCCTGGTGCTGTGTTATACTCCTTGTACTGCCCTGGTGCTGTGTTATACTACATATACTGCTCTGGTGCTATGTTATACTCCATATACTGCCCTGGTGCTGTGTTAAACTCCATGTATTGCCCTGGTGGTGTGTTATACTACATATACTGCCCTGGTGCTGTGTTATACTCCATGTACTGCCCTGGTGCTGTGTTATACTACATATACTGCCCTGGTGCTGTGTTATACTCCATATACTGCCCTGGTGCTGTGTTATACTCCATGTACTGCCCTGGTGGTGTGTTATACTCCTTGTACTGCCCTGGTGCTGTGTTATACTCCATATACTGCCCTGGTGCTGTGTAATACTACATATACTGCCCTGGTGCTGTGTTATACTACATATACTGCCCTGGTGCTGAACTATTCTCCATATACTGCCCTGATGCGGAACTATTCTCCATATACCGCCCTTGTGGTTTGTTACACTCATTAAAGTGTGATGGTATTAGGTTATTATACTTCTTATCCTAACATGGTTCTATGTTAATTTCAACATACTCTATGTTATACTTAATACACTGTCCTGGTATTGTATTACTGTCATATACTATGAATGTCATGTTACACTTAATATACTGTCCTGGTCATGCATTATACTCATAGTATACTCAGAGCCTGTGTTTTAATCAATATATAACTGGAGTTTGTTTTAGTTCTACTGCGTAATATTTGATTCACTGCCATGGTGCAGTGCTATAAATTTTCAATCTACTGCCTTGGTGCTGTACTGTTGTACTATTCAGTGAATGATCCTTATACAAGTTTGTTCTGTTTAACGTTCAGATTTAAATCATCTCTGTAATTGTCTTCTAGCATAGAAACAGTATTGATTTTATCAACAAAGAATGGTTGTGTATTGATTGTGTGAGAAACAATATGGTTTCTTCGATATGAATTTTTACTTATATATATATATATATATATTATATATGTATTATTACACATATCTATTTTCATTTGAGATGATGTCATTAGCATGATCAGTCCTCAACATTCCCTATCATATTGTCCTATGTTTGTATCATATGTGACATAAGAATAGTGCAGTTCTGTATCCCTTCATCAGACAGACCTGCTTCAGTATATGGAGGCTGTCTGCCACTGACATGTCTAAATGACTGACCCAGACAAGTCATCAGGCAGTATTGAGTGGGTATTGAGGAGGGGTGGGGAGCAGATAGAAGTATGGGGTTAGAGTGTTCCCAGTAAGTGGCAGAGTGTGCCAGATACCAGACCTTGGGACTGTAAGCGGACAGTTGAGCTGTACCCTAGGAGAGACTGCCTGTACTTTTCTCTGCACTGTTCAGCTAACAGTACACACCAACCCTGCCTGGGCAGTTCCATTGTACTTTAGAGAACATGGACTAGTCCTGTTGAGGGAGGACAGGATCTCACCCAAATGTACTCTTCCATTTTCAATAGGCTGTAGGCCAATATGAGGTCAAATTTAGTATCAACTCCAGATCAGTGGGCCATAACCCCCAGTTGAACTTTCTACACTGGATATTGAATTGTTTACAAAATTGTGGGTGTGTTGATATTTTCAGTTGGTTGTTTACATGGGAGGTGGTTCATAAGGTTGTGAATACAAACACGTAAACAGGGTGTTTTGCAGAGTGATGGTAGAGAGAGGTCAGATGAAGAGGCTAGTGGTCTACTGCACTGCATCTGACCACTCGCCATTAGCCATATATTGATCTAGTTTATCAAAGCCTTATGCGAATCACCTTATAAACCATAGTTATTAGATTGTCAGCTGCAAGGAAGAGTTTCTTACTACTGCTGAGAGAAAATTTTTGTCTTTAAAAGTGGACTGGAGTGCAAGGTTGAAGATTACTGTATAGAGAGGTTATACTATGGTATGACAAACTTCAGTGATCAGTCCTTTTAATTGGAACATAATTATCTGTAGTGGATATTGTTAGAACAAACCCAAACCCTTTACAGACTATTGATCTAATTATGAATACACAATAAATTACCAGCAGGGTGTATTAAATGTATGTACTCATGTGTAAGGCCTTCTGTTAAATCTGACTATAAAGTGACTTTTGGACTTTAAGTGCAAACTTAGTACATTATTTCTTTATTACACAATCCTAGATACATAAACATTATTTCCCGTAAGAGTATTGCAATACCCTAATGTGAATGTATGAACAATGAGGACAGAAATGTTTTGAGTGACATGGTATCACCAGCCCTATAGTGTGCAAGATTGTAGATCAACTTTACAATAGGAGAAGTCATCTGTACTAGGATAATCAGCCAACAATTTGTCAAGTGTAAAAGTACACGCTCTGCCTCGAGGGGCTGTTTGATAAGGCTGTAATGATAATGCACACTTTTGAATGTTTGAGCCTCTATTCTGCTGTACTTTATAAATTGTTCTCAGCTGTTTGTTCTCATTCTGGAGCCAGTGAAAACCCTACTGGGAATCGTAAGGACTTACGTACCTTATGCACTTTAATGAGAATTTATCACCAATAAAATTATGCTGTAACATATTTGTTAATGCACTTTGCTTTCACCCTATGTTCCCCCATGTCATAGTAGACTAGGCAGTTCGTTGAAATGGACTGGACTATGTTATACTTACAGGGTTGTCAGCCCTGACAGAGACATGTGGGACATGAGAATGTTTATTCATTAAGACAGCCTTACACAATCTAAACAAAAGAATAATAAAAATCTGATTTTTTTCAGTAACATTGGCCTAAAGAAATCATTTCACATTACCGAGGTATTCTTACTTAACAAGAAGATCTTGATGAGATTTGTATTATAGTTATCCTATATTGACAGGTGTCTATGATAGACAGGTACATTAAAAAGATGTTCTATATAGACAGGTGTCTATGATAGATACAGAAATAGAGTTGTCCTCTATTGGCAGGATCTAATGAGGGATAGATACAGAAATAGAGTTGTCCTGTATTGGCAGGGTCTCAGAAATAGAGCTGTCCTCTTTTGGCAGGGTCCAATGAGGGATGGATACAGAAATAGAGTTGTCCTGTATTGGCAGGATCTAATGAGGGATAGATACAGAAATAGAGCTGTCCTCTTTTGGCAGGGTCCAATGAGGGATGGATACAGAAATAGAGTTGTCCTGTATTGGCAGGGTCCAATGAGGGATAGATACAGAAATAGAGTTGTCCTGTATTGGCAGGGTCTAATGAGGGATAGATACAGAAATAGAGTTGTCCTGTATTGGCAGGGTCTAATGAGGGATAGATACAGAAATAGAGTTGTCCTGTATTGGCAGGGTCCAATGAGGTATAGATACAGAAATAGAGTTGTCCTGTATTGGCAGGGTCCAATGAGGGATAGATACAGAAATAGAGTTGTCCTGTATTGGCAGGGTCCAATGAGGGATAGATACAGAAATAGAGTTGTCCTCTATTGGCAGGGTCCAATGAGGGATAGATACAGAAATAGAGTTGTCCTGTATTGGCAGGGTCCAATGAGGTATAGATACAGAAATAGAGTTGTCCTGTATTGGCAGGGTCCATTGAGGGATAGATACAGAAATAGAGTTGTCCTGTATTGGCAGGGTCCTATGATGAACAGTTACAGTGATAGAGTTATCCTGTATTTGATAGGTTCCTATAATAATCACTTTCAGTAATAGAGTTGTCTTTATTGAGTATTTTGAAAAAAGAAAGTTTGTTATCTCTATTTTTTGAAAATTCCTTAATGGATTGCTCATATTTCCTTATGGAAGTTCCACTTGGTCTTCAGTTGTACTCATTTGATTTCTGAAATTATCAGAAAAAACAAAATGGTTGACAAGCAGCCATCTTGGATTTCAATAGTGAATGTTTGTTATCGCTATATCTTGAAAAGTATTGGATGATCTTCTGCAACTTTTGTATGTAAATACCCTTGGTCCCTAGTTGTGCCTGTTTGATTTTGGGACTGATATGTGAGATGTTGATATGTGTAAGTAGATGGGTGCAAGAGTTCATGATGGAGTGCTTTTTTAATTGATATATGTTTTTATCGCAGATTCATCTTTTAATCAAATGAGACATAATAATTACAAGATGGCCAATTTATTGTTATACCATACATAACTGATTGTATTCTCTTCTTTTGTGATTTTAGAATGTGTTCGGCTTGCGCTTTGATGATCCAACATGGAAGAACCACTTGAACTCCCTGAAACCACTGGTTAGTATGGTTTTCATAGTTTTACTAAAAATTGTCATTTACTAATTCCAACTATTGTTCAGTATGTTTTTTATCACTGTATATCTGTCACTAGTAATCATTCTGGATGCTGCTTTCTGCATGATATCTCTTGAGGGGCTAGTCTGATTTTGATGAAACTTGGTTGGTTCACTTGTTACCTTAAAACCTTGCCCAAGTTCGATTAATAGCAAATTCAGCACATATTTAATGAGGCTGTTGTGACCTAATCTGATTTCTTTAATCACGCTCGGATGCTGCTTTACACATATCTTTTGAAGGTTTGGTAGGATTTTGATGAAACTTGGTTGGTATATTTGTTACCTTAATCCTTTGCCCCAGTTTAATTAACTGAGAATTCTTGCATTTTTAGGTCATCTGACCCGAAGGGTCCGATGACCTATAGTCATCATGCTTCGTCCGTCGTCGTCCGCCGTGCGCCGTGCGCCGTTCGCCGTGCGCCGTCCGTAAAGTTTTCATTCAAACGACTTCTTCTCAAATACTAGAAGGTCTAGGGGGCTAATACTTGGCACAGAGGATACTGGCATGGAGCTCTACCAAGTTTGTTCAAATGAATGACCTTGACCCACTTTAAAGGTCACAGGGGTCAAATATGTTAAAATCTTTAAACAACTTCTTCTCATTAACCAAAAGGCTCAGAGTGTAGATATTGGGCCTGTGACATGCTGGGATGAAGGACTACCAAGTTTGTTCAAATGAATGACCTTGACCCACTTTAAAGGTCACAGGGGTCAAATATGTTAAAATCTTTAAACAACTTCTTCTCAATAACCAAAAGGCTCAGATTGCTGATATTGTGCCTGTGGCATGCTGGGATGAAGGGCTATCAAGTTTGTTTATATGAATGACCTTGAACAACTTTCAAGGTCACAGGGGTCAAATATGTCAAAATCTTTAAATAACTTCTTCTCAAATACTAGAAGGCCTAGGGGGCTAATACTTGGCCCATAGCATGCTGGCATGGAGCCCTACAAAGTTTGTTCAAATGAATGACCTTGGCCCACTTTCAAGGTCACAGGGGTCAAATATGTTAAAATATACAAAGGACTTCATCTCAATAAGCAAAAGTCTATGAGTGCCGATATTGGGTCTGTAGCATGCTGGGAGGAAAGGCTTCCAAGTTTATTTAAATGAATGACCTTGAACAACTTTCAAGGTCGCAGGGGTCAAATATGTCAAAATCTTTAAATAACTTCTTCTCAAATACTAGAAGGCCTAGGGGGCTAATACTTGGCCCATAGCATGCTGGCATGGAGCCCAACAAAGTTTGTTCAAATGAATGACCTTGGCCCACTTTCAAGGTCACAGGGGTCAAATATGTTAAAATATACAAAGGACTTCATCTCAATAAGCAAAAGTCTATGAGTGCCGATATTGGGTCTGTAGCATGCTGGGAGGAAAGGCTACCAAGTTTATTCAAATGAATGACCTCAACCCACTTTCAAGGTCACAGGGGTCAAATATGTTAAAATATACAAACGACTTCTTCTCAACAAGCAAAAGTCCATGAGTGCTGATATTGGGCCTGTAAGATGCTTGGAGGAGAGGCTATATTTGTTCCTTGAATCCTCAACCCACTTTCTAGGTTTAATTGCTTTTTGTCAGAATTCTTGGCATTTTGTTAATGAGGCTACTGTAACCTGATTACTGATTTCTTTAAACACTGTATTTGAAATCTTTCTGCACATTATCTTGTGAAAGAATAGTTAGATTGTAAGGAAACTTGTTTTGTAGACTTGTTACCTTAACCCCTTGTTCAAGTTTGATTATCGGCAAATTCTGCACATAGTTAATGAGGCTGCTGTGACCTGATCGGCTGTTATCTGTCAGCACCCTTACTGAATACTTTCCACATGTTACCTCTTAAAGGAACAAATGAATTTTGATGAGACTTGCTTGATAAACTTATTACATTATTACCTCACTCAAGTTTGATCAACCATGAATTCCATGCATATTCAATCATGGTGCTCTTACCTATCTAATCTAAAGACATTTAAAAGGCAATAAACATATCCCTTATCAACTAAACTAAAGCATGGAAGAAGATTAAGAATAATAATGATAAGAAACAGAACAATAACAACAGGGCTCCGAAGTGTTTTTAGAAATCGAATGTTCAAAGTGATGTTGCACTATCACCGGTTATGATTTGCTTTACTGATAGTAACTTCACTGCAATTTTACATATCTGACTGTAAGATGCTGTATTGTATTTTATTAATGTGCTTAAAATTTCACTGTTTTGTCATACTTAAGAGGTAATAGAACTGTACTTCTTAACCTTTAGTTCTCAGTTTTAGCATTAATAACACTTTGAAGAAAGATAATCATCCTGGATTTTGAGAAAAGAGTTTTATTATTGCTATTCTTTAAGAAATACCAGATGGATCTTTCTCAAATTTTGTATGTTAGTTCCACTTGATCCCTGGTGCAGCTGTTTGATGTTGGGAGTGATCAGAAAAACAAAATGAATGATAGATGGGCATCATGGGTTTTGACAATGAAAGTTTGTTATCACTATTTATTGAGAAGTGCCAGATAGATCTTTCTCAAATTTTGCATGACATATCCTTTAGTCCCTGGTTGTGCCCATTTAATTTTGAGAAAAACCAGAAAAACAAAACAACTAACAGGCCGCCATCTTGGATTTTTATGATGAAAGTTTGTTATCTCTACGTCTTTGGAAACACGAAATGGAATTTTCTCAAATTTCATATGCAGGTTCCCCTGGTCCCTAGTTATGCCTGTTTGATTTTGGAACTGATCAGAAAAACAAATGGCTGACAGGTTGCCATCTTTGATTTTGATGATGAAAGTTATTTCTAATTTTGGGACAAATCAGGGGGAAAATATGGGTGACAGGTGACCATCTTGGATTCAGCAGTTAAAGATCATTATCACTGTTTCTTAAGAAGAGTGTTCAAATTTTGTATGATCTAGAGCAAAACAGAAGAGAGAAGAGAAAAGAAGGGGAAAGGCCGAACTTAAAAAGAAGAAATAAAAATCAAGCAATAATTGACAACAAGATATAAGATCGCTGCAGAAGAATCTCTTGTTTGAGGATTGATTCAATGAGTTCCCCTTACACAAGTGATAGGATCCCCTTAAAGTAATGGTAGTTGGAATGTTCCGTAGGGTTATTTTGGGATAAGTAGCTTTGTACTTTATATGGTACAAGCAGATGTGTCAAACAAGTGCAAATCAATACATGACAGGGCCTCTAGTTACGCATGTACTTTTCATATAGAAATATTCACCTACTGCAGCTACATTGTTGAGCAATAGCGATGATATTGAATATGTATGATTGTGTTACATGACGTTAATTGCCAGATTGGAATCCTGGGAAATCTTTATTAGGAAACCTATGGGCATTGTGATAGTGTAATGATATCCAGTGTAAGGTGTAGAACATGTTTTAAAGGTACTTTTAACATGAAGACTTATTGATGATGCTGGTAGGAGTGATCTGTCTGTGTAGTTAGTGTTACAGTCTGTAGACAGACCAGGTAAATTCTATTCTCCTTACGTGAGATCAGATAATTTCAGTTTTCTATTCAGTCTGTCTTGTCTGGGGTCTGGTCTGTCTGGTACAAAGTAAAATATTTAGCTCCAATTTAGATCATTGTTAAAATGATGTCTTATCCAGATGTCCTTTCAGGTACAAACCCCACAGCAAAGACCTTTCTGTTAAATTAGAAAAAGAAATTAGAAATATACCTGATAAAGAGTGCTAATGGTCTTTTTATGGATTGTTTTAAGTAATGTGTAAGAAATGAGATCAGTAATCAGTTATAGGTGGTTTGTATACATCTCCTTGTGAAAACAAGATCACAAACCGTACTTGGGTTACACAACATCACAACCCTTCCTTGGGTAACACAAGATCACAAACCATCCCTTGGTAACACAAGATCACAAACCGTACCTGGGTTACACAACATAACAACCTTCCATGGGTAACACAAGATCACAAACCATCACAACCCTTGGGTAACACACAACATCACAACCCTTCCTTGGGTAACACAAGATCACAAACCATCCCTTGGTAACACAAGATCACAAACCGTACCTGGGTTACACAACATAACAACCTTCCATGGGTAACACAAGATCACAAACTGTACCTGGTTTACACTACATCACAACCCTTCCATGGGTAACACAAGATCACAAACCGTACCTGGGTTACACAACATAACAACCTTCCATGGGTAACACAAGATCACAAACTGTACCTGGTTTACACTACATCACAACCCTTCCATGGGTAACACAAGATCACAAACCGTACCTGGTTTACACAACATCACAACCCTTCCATGGGTAACACAAGATCACAAACCTTCCCATGGTAACACAAGATCACAAAACTTCCCTGAATAACACAAGATCACAAACCGTACCTGGTTTACACTACATCACAACCCTTCCATGGGTAACACAAGATCACAAACCATCCCTTGGTAACACAGATTGCAAACCTTCTTTGGTTTACACAAGATCACAACCCCCCATGGTAACACAAGATCACAAACCTTCCATGTATAACACAAAATCAGAATCCTTCACTAGATGAAAAAAGATAAAAGCTGTTTTCTGGGTGAAACAGTTTTAAACATTTCCTTGGATGATACATGTAAACTTAAAATGATTTTTGAGTAAATAGATAAACCATTAACAAAATCTTTCTTCATTTGGCTAGAATATTGAAAACATAACCTACCATGACTTTTTGACTTTTATCTTTGGATAAACTTTGTTTTGTCACACTGGCACTACATAGACTTTGATATGTGATATTTTGTGTCAACAGGGTCTTAACATACTTTTGAATACCTGTAACATCAAGACTGTGGAGTGGTACACTCAGTTCACTGACCATGTGGCATCTGAGGCTCTGGAGAATGAGGAGACTGTGGCTGTGGTTAACAGAAGGTATTCAGAACTTTGTCATCTTAAATAATGGTGATAGCACTTATCTGTACATCCATCTGTTCTTACATTTGTGCTGTCCGTTTATGCATTACTATTATCATTCTACTTCAATGAAAAAAAAATCACTTTAATATAAACGTTTGAACGTGTTTGTCAGTTACAAACTATAAAGGATCAAAGTTCAACTACTAAAAAAGAAATTTGTTTTAATTCAATCAGCCAAATATCAATACAGGGTTTAAGAATCATTTGATGATGGCAGACTTTTCCCATATGTCTGCCTCTAATCATTTTTGTTTGCCCATAAACTTTTTCATTCTCAGTCCCTCTTATACAACACTAGTCATTTAGTCTCAAATGTTGTTACAAGGTTCTCCTTGTTGCCTACTTGTACAGAATGTCTTTCTTCTGTTGTGGACATGTAAAACAATATTGCCTCCAGTAATTTTTGAATTTGTGCTAAAAAATTATTAGTGTTACTTATGAGAAAGAATTAGGAAAGACTTATTCTCCTGATAAGTGTGCTTACTGCCCTTGAGTTCTATATGATTTGTATTTGTTGATATTAGGATTAATATGACTTATAACACCAATCCTTAGCAAAGTATGTTATTTTCAATGAGTACTAATTAATACCTGTCTGTGTTGGTGTGTTTTCTGCAGGTGTCTCTGTGAATTGGCCAGACAGATTGGTTTCTCTGATAAAGCTATGGATATTTTCACTTTAGAGCGCATCCTTGGAATGTATAAACATGTGGTAAGGACTACAATAAAATATAAAATCAAAAGGTTTTTATGCCCAGGTCATCGAAAAGGGGGGAAATTTAGTGTTACCCATGTCCATCCCTTTCGTACGTCCACATTTGATTTTCGCACTATAACTTTAGAATGCCTCAATGAAATTAAAAAATATTTTGCATGTATGTTGAAAGGACATGTCAAACTTTGTATCTACTCACAGACCAGACATTGTGTTAGATATGAACATAGACATTTATACCATGAATTTTTAATGAAGTTTATCAGATTATGCACAAGTAAAATCACCAACTCACATCAGTTGATCAACATGAGACCAAATATTGTGTAAAATAGACTATCCAGTACCAGAAACTTCTCTACTTATTTTATAGACCATTCCAAAGTGTATCTTTTATACCAACAGTGACAATTGCTGCAAAGTTTAATGCATATATTTTGTATTCTCCAAATTACACTGGACTTGTGTTTCCCTACACTTTTCTGGTATAAAAATGTCCAAAATATTCCATGTCATGGGACATCATGTCCAATGAACATGGAAAAAGAAGATGAAAATTGTTATGGAGAAATATTATGATGTGGAAATGGATAGATAGTTTCTTGGAGCCAAACAGTAGCAAACCCTCATGATCAAATCCTTTAAACATTTGTATTCCATATAGGTTGTGTACTCTGATAAAAAATTAAAATGTTTAAATTCCTCATTGCAATCCTTGAAATCAGGTTTCAGTGCATTAACTTTTAAAGGATTTTCTACAATTGAATGTATTTTGTAATGTCACCAATAAAAATCTCTGTCAAGTTTTAATTTGCTATAATTTCAAGATTATTCACTACAGGTTGAATTTATTTTGACAGAGTTATGCCCCTTGCAATTTGTAAATTTCATGCAGTATATAGCTTCTGCTCATTATCTCAGTCAGACATCTTGAATTAAAATTTGGTATGTATATGTCTTATGGGAAAATGCAGGTCATGTTTTTTTAGTTCAGTTGGGTTTAATGAGTTATGCCCCTTGGAATTAGAAAATTTAAAGAAAAATTAAATTTTTTAAGTCAATTGGCCTGAAGATCCATGTGATCTTATGGCATACTGCAGTTTCTGTCCTCCACTTGTACATCTTTTTTTTTGACAAATCGCTAGTTATCATGAATGACTGAGCAGATTTTTGACCATATTTGGTCAGAATCATCCTTAGGCAAAGTTTTTTTTTTCTGCTTGAATGTAGGTCTTTTGTTGAAATCAGTTTGGAGCTCAAAAATTTCTCATCTTGCAGGGAAAACATAACATTATAAAGGTGAATGAAAATGGTTTTACTGATTGGCCTGTTGTTGCAATTTTACCAAAAAAAGTGAGAAAATTATGTCAATAATGAGTGTAGCTGGTTTTGGTGTATATGTTGATATTGTAGCACCAAAATCATTCCATACCATTCTAGACTTGTAACTGAGAAAGTTTTTGATTTGACCATTTCTGACCTTACACCAGACCTACACTTCCAGAAGTAATTTATCTAGATTTCATTAATAATCAAGGTTGCAAATACTGAAATCCAACTGTTTTTTAATGCTGATCACTGTACTGTCCTGTTATTACAGCATCCTGATGAGTCAGCCAAGGAAAGACTCCATCGGGCCAAGTCTTTCATACAACACAAGATCCCAATGCCCAATTTGGTGTCTGTTGTGGTCAGGGAGAAAGCCTCAGGTCAGAATATCTTTCAGTAATTATAATATTGTTGTGATACAAGTATTATCTTGATTTAAAATGCTTTGTGTGTAAATTGTTATATTACCTGTCACAGGTATAATCTAACATAGCAATGTATCTTATGTTATAGGTTTAGGGCAGGTATTATCTCAGGGCACAGCTGACCTGCTGCTGGCATGCTGTAGTGACTACTGGGATGGGGAGGATGTTAGTGTTCTCACCGAGAGTGACAGGTAGCTAAACTGTGACAAACATTTTCTTTAGATTGGTAATGTCAATATAGTAGAAGTTCATATAACAACCAGCAGAAGATTAAAGTGCGACATTTCAAGGACAACCCTTTCACCATCATCATATCATAGACTGAAAAAATTCCAAAATAGTTGACAAGGAAAACAACCTTTTCAGGCACCTGATCAAGGCCATCTGGACACACCACAGCAGGCCACAATTAAACAGGAATTTATGGGGCCATAGACTCTTACACATCAAGTGTTAAACAAAGTATAGGCAAATCAATTACAGTACATTGTTACCCTTGTCACAATTTTTTATATATTAGTGTAGATAGTATTACAGTTCAGGAGTAGTACACTTCACACTGGTAAGATGTAGTTGTAGAAAGGTCACACTTAGATATCTTCTGTTGGTTGTGTTATAAGAACTTTCTTTCCGTAGGTAGCTAGCTTACCCCTACTTCTTTAATTACTATCTCCATCAGTGTACAAGGTTTAATCCCTGAATACAAGGTTTGTTTCTCACATAAATGATGACTTCTTGTGTGCAAACATTATTAGAACCAGAAATTGAGTTTGAAACCATTTATGTTTACATTATCAAGTATCAGTTAGCAAAAATGTCCTTAAGAGATGTATCTTTATCCATAAAATCAATCAGAATATGCCAAATTGTGAATTAAGATACATTTAATAATCAACAAATATTTGAATATTATTGTAGTAGCATGCAGGCACTGTATTAGTAGTGTTGTGATGTTTGTTTTTGAATACTGACCACCAGCATTGAGAAGATACATTTAACTGAGAATATGAGAAGGGATAAGGTTTCATGTTTATAAGGTGTTGTGTATTTTCAGGAAGAAGATTTTGGACTTTTACCACCGGACAAGCATGGCCTCTTACTGTACAGCATTCTCTTACCGTCCACTTACCCAACACATTTCCCCTCACCTAGATAACTTATATATCCAACTATCCCATGGTGGAAATGTTATCTTCAATTCCTGCAGTGAGACACAAAGGTATATTTTAAACTGACTCACCTAATGTATATGTTATAAAAAGTAACATGTATACTTATATTTAATCAAGAGAGAAAAAAAAATCAAAATCATAAATTCGTAGAAGTTGCATCATAGAAAGGAGAGTGTCTTTGCTTAATCATTGATATACATTCTCTTTAACAGGGATTCGAATACAGATTCCAATACGGACTTGGTGCACGAGACACGTTTGCTCAGTGACAGTTCTCGTGCATTTAGTGTGGACTCCCTCTTTGACACAACAAGCATCTCCTCCATTGAGGATATTCCTGGTTGCTGTCAGGCTCAGAACAATCAGATATTTATAGGAATGGTGTCCATGCAATACCAAGCCAGACAGGTAAGGGTCACCAGATATTTGTATGAATGGTGTCCATGCAATACCAAGCTCGACAGGTGAGGTTCACCAGATATTTGTATGAATGGTGTCAATGCCGTACCAGGTCTGACAGGTAGGGGTCACCAGATATTTGTATGAATGATGACCATGTATCATCCTTTCATCTACAGTCACCTTATTGTCACATTGAAAACTACTCTAGTTAATATTATACTATTGGTGTGACTCTTTTGTCATCATTCATGTGAGGAAGTGTGATAGAAATGGTCTGCACCTTTTATCTGCAGTTAAATACACACTTAAATAGGATTGAGAAAAGCTCAGATCTTGTACAAAGTGCACAGTATACTTAATAAATAATGGGAGGGAGACCAACACTCCTTATGTTGAACTTTGCAGCAGTATACCGGGGTTGATCTCTAAGTGATCTCCAAAGAATTCCTTACTAATTAAACATGATAAAATGAATCCTACTAGCTGGAGGTTTTGTGTTACTTACAATGTATGTGCCTGCAGTCAGCATCATGATTCTGATGATTGTCAAATAGCAGGCTAAAATATGTACATAGTAAGTAACACTGAACCTTTTTAAGGCTTTGGGATTGCTTTTATTTCATTTTTATGTACATTATACACTTGTTAATAAAATATACCAATGGTTCTCAATCAACAGTAATTCTTGATCCTATTTAGTCTACAAAGGATACTTAACTTGATAGTTACTTTTTTTCAGGAAGTTGTGCAATTGATAGAAAAGCTAGAAGTAGCCTGCATCAGATTTGTTCACTTTTCTCAAGAAAATGAAGTGAGAAGTAGAGTAAGTATTTTGTTCTATGTCTTGTTTTAGCCTTCTTACATCATGCAGTTTCTGTAGAAATCTTAACAAATACTTTACCATTGGCCTTTGATAATTTCACTTCCTAACTATGAACCATTGTTATGTGTTGACCTGACATTTGGCCTTTGATAAACCTATCTCATTTATTTGAATCAGGGTTGTGTGTTGGCCTCATTTGCTTATTGCAAGATGCATATGGAACGGTCCTATCCAATACCACATACTGTCATAAGTCATACTGTTATGTCCCTATGCTGATATTTTGATGCCAGACTTTGTACAGATCACAGGTGTAGGGGACAAGATAACAGACTTTGTTCAGGTCACAGGTGTGGGGGGACAAGATAACAGACTTTGTTCAGGTCTCAGGTGTGAGGGGACAAGATAACAGACTTTGTTCAGGTCTCAGGTGTTGGAGACAAGATAACAGACTTTGTTCAGGTCTTAGGTTTTGGAGATGAGATAACAGACTTTGTTCAGGTCTCAGGTGAGAGGGGACAAGATAACAGACTTTGTTCAGGTCTCAGGTGTGAGGGACAAGATAACAGACTTTGTTCAGGTCTCAGGTGTGAGGGGACAAGATAACAGACTTTGTTCAGGTCTCAGGTGTGGGGACAAGATAACAGACTTTGTTCAGGTCTCAGGTGTGAGGGACAAGATAACAGACTTTGTACAGATCACAGGTGTAGGGGACAAGATACCAGACTTTGTTCAGGTCTCAGGTGTGGGACAAGATAACAGACTTTGTTCAGGTCTCAGGTGTGAGGGGGCAAGATTACAGACTTTGTTCAGGTCTCAGGTGTGAGGGTACAAGATAATGGACTTTGTACAGATCACAGGTGTTGGAGATGAGATACCAGACTTTGCTCTGTAATTTCATCTTGTTTTACTTATAATCACATTGTCACCATAGATTTATTTTCCTGAAACAGTGTATGAAAGAATGAGTTTCAACCAAAGCTTGACAAGATTAATACTAAATTTGATGTGATCATAACTGTTTAATCACTTTTTAAGATTTTTCCTGACATATATTATAAATGAGAAATCATGCATATCATGAACTGCTGTGTTCTTTAGTAAGGGTTCAGCTCAATAATAGTACAATTCTGTAATAACTATTATACAAGTAATAGCTTTTGTGTCCTGATTGTTTTAAGAGCTACAGAACATGCATTGTTTTGGGAACTGATTTCTAATGTTTCTCTGATGAAAAACAAGTTGCTTGGTGTTAATTACACAACATACAACTTTATAAACAAATAGTAGAGTATATTTTTAAGGAAAAGAACCTTTGCCACTCATATTCATTTTGCTGTTTTTTATTAGTGCCACTCATATTCATTTTGCTGTTTTTTTATTAGTGCCACTCATATTCATTTTGCTGTTTTTTTATTAGTGCCACTCATTTATTTTGCTGTTGGTTGATTAGTGCCACTCATATTTATTTTGCTGTTGGTTGATTAGTGCCACTCATATTCATTTTGCTGTTTTTTTATTAGTACCACTCATATTTATTTTGCTGTTGGTTGATTAGTTCCACTCATATTTATTTTGCTGTTGTTTGATTAGTGCCACTCCTATTTATTTTGCTGTTGTTTGATTAGTATCACTCATTTCAATTTTACTGCTGTTTAATTAGGTGTTTGCAGAGAAGATGGGTCTAGAAGCTGGATGGAATTGTCACATATCTATGTTATCTGATCCAGCCCTTAAGGGGGAAACTGCAGCCTCGTCTGCAGCTGATCTGCCTCACCGCATGTCTCGTTACTCTAGCAGAAACTCATCTGACACTGTCGCAAAGGATACAAACATGGTGTCGTCAACCTACAAACATTCCCAGGATTCCATGCACTCACGCTGTCAGAGTGCTCCAAGCATTGTTAATTTAAACTCCTCTCAGGTTAGGTTTGAGATGACAACAGATACATCGAGTAGTGAACCACGGTCTCCCCGAGTATATATAGGGGAGAGAACTCCATTGACAACAGATGGGGAAGATGAGGAGGAAGTTCTTTTCACCAACACAGAACTTTCAAAGAGCTACAGTAGTCAGTGCAATACCAATCAGGACCTAGATAATATCACAGACATAGAGAGTCGTCATGCCTCCAGTTACTTTACAGAGAATACAGACAGTCTCACAGGGGCCCTGGACAACAGGGTAAGGCTCAAATGTACATTTCTTTGTAGATTTCATACAGTATATACGCTTTATAACACCATGAAAATCTCTTTTAAGGACTTCTCAGTTAAGAGGACTGTCATCACAAATGTTCACTAACAAATGTTGTCTTTATCTTTTCATAGGCAAAACTTCCTAGGGGAATAGAAAACATTCGACCTCATTTACAGACAGTTGATAATGTCCCTCTTCTAGTCAACCTATTCACAGACTGTACAACTCACAGTAAGTAGAACTATCAGCTTCTAGTCGAGAGAAATTATTATAACTTCACTGAAAAAGCTAGAATGTACAATATTTAAATACATTGTCATGGTTTTTTCTCTAGCAACACAGGAGATGATGAAGATCATGCAGGAGTTTGGAGAGGTGGTTATGTGTGTCGGCAGTTCAAACAACATCAACAACACAGCCATCTTCCTTCAAGCAGACTGTAGGTAAGTGTTGCATCACTGATATAAATAACACTGCAGATTTATATGGGGTTCATGTACAAAGAAATTTCAGTTATTTTGCTTTATAAACATAATGATTCAATGATTCAAGTACAATGTACCATCCAGGGTGCTACTCTAGGTTGAGTGTTAAACATAATGTTCAAAGCTATTTGCAATTTTGATTATTTCCATATGAAATTGATGACTGTTGCTTGCCTTATTCTGTTGAATTGTTGACCCCCAGCCTGGCTCTAGAGCCTCTGTACCCCCAGGTTTGTGCAGTAGACTCTCTGATGACAAAGCCATGGAAGGAAGACCAACTGACCCCAATGCAGCTAGCCAGTACCCTCATTAGCATTCCGTGCCCTCTGACTTTTAGGAAGGAGGACAACATCAGTCTTATCAAGCTTATTGCAGAGGTGATGAAGTGAAAAATAACTCAATAAATTAATAAATAATAAATTTAATTTACATGGTTAAACATATCAATCAGGAAAACACACTCCATTGCAATTTTAAAATGGCTGCCATCGATTTTGAAGCAAACAGGGAAACAGTATAGACATTAGTTTTCTGCATAGCTGATGTAGAATTTTCATTATTTCTAAATATACTGACAAGATTAAATTTAATTTAAGTTTAATAATGTTGAAGTCGTATTTTGCTTGAGTAATACTGTTTGATAATCCTCTAATTTGATATGTCAGACTATATTTTTTCAATGCAACCCATTAGACTTGCACAAGTTGTAACTGCAGACTTCATTTATTCAAAATATCAAAAACAAGCCATCTTAACTGAACTATAAACATTGAATCTTGCTTTTGATTTCATAGAATGATGAATTAAGTTGCTCTTGAGACAAATTTGACGTGAACTGCTTCACAGTTCATTAAAGTTGTCTTAGAGCAACTCAATTCATCACCCCATAAAATGGACAAAAGCAAGACTGAATGCTTAAAACACTTTTGGTTGAGCCAATACACTGCATTTATATAGAGAAATATATTCAAATTTATATTTACTTATGTAAATGTCAGAAAACTTTGTAGATGAGATTGTTATTAGCAGACGTTTTAATATCTTAATCTACATGTACACAGAAGGCATATAACCATTGAATAACATTCTATGATTTTAGGCACGGTCATTCCTGATGAGCAGCAGGAACTGTTTCTACCTAATGCTGTGTTACCACCTGTCCTTGAGCTTGGTCCAGCTGCTGGGCAGTATGGTCTTGCTGCCTCCTGTCCTTGCTTCACAACATCTTCTCTGGATCCTCTTTATCGTCATCCCCTTCCTGTCCTTAAGCATGATGGGATTGCCTGTTGATCCACGAGTCATGAACAATGCTACCACACACAACTCTGAGTATATCACCAAGGATGTAAGTAACATTTTTTACTATGTATACTTCTAGTCATACTAGAGCATTTTAGAATATTTATGATAGAAAAAACATAGAACTTAAACAATGATGTAAAAAGCCTGTAGGAAGTATTACAGAATGTGAGGTTTGTCTTCAGAGGTTGAAATTAAATACACAGATATACAATATGTATATCTTTAGCTTAAATCTGTAGCTACCAGACTTAAGTAAACATATTAAAGTAATAATTCTGTTAACATTAACAGAAAATCTATGTGATACTAACTTTTGTGTTGCTTTAGGTGGTGCAACAGTTCCTGTTATATTTTGTGACAAGATTTGTGCCAGCAGGACTGGTGTGTCTCCTGTGTTACGGTCTCACTCTACACTCCTTCTGTGCTGGGGATCACACACCCCAACCCTCCTGTGCAATTTTTGCTTTTGGGTAAGCTTTTGTATAGAATTTATATTGGTTTCAATTTCAACATTGATGTTATATATAAAGACTGATTTAGTGCAATTTTGTTAAGCTATATGTGTAGGATAATGAAATTGTTATTTAAAAAAAAAAAAAACATGAAAAATTAATGGATTTGGGAATTGGCAAGATCATTGATTTTCTAATTATACTATTATCATGAAACTTTATACACACTTTATACACACTTTCAAGACATTTCAACCTGGTTGGTTAAACTTATGTCAGATTGTTCTGAAACTTCTCTACTTTAGAAAGAGGAAACAAAAGTGAAATTTTCTTTGGGGCTTTCTTCCATTTATGACAGGTGTTATATCAAGTTTATTTAAAGTTCCAGTACCACTTGTCTTCATTATATATATGTGAAACGTAGCACACCTGATGTGTGTCTTAGGTATTGCTGTATCTCAATAGTTCTTATAATCTTTTGTTGATTTCCTAGTAAATATGTCCAAAAAAAAAGATAAAAAAATATTCATATTATGAAGAAATATTCATATGCATTTATCAACTTTTAAAATTTCCTGTATTTGTTCTTATTTTTAAGATTGTGAAAGTTGACACAAGTGTTTAATACACAGGAAGATGTACATATACAATCTACCTATTACTTATTACAACTGTTTATATAGTAGTTATGTCCCTTCTATCATTCTTGCCTTAATTGGTATTTACATGTTTTGTGCCTTATTTGAGACAATTTTTTCCTCAACAAACTTTCAACTAATTTCTTCCCTGAAATAATCAGTAAGCCTGTTACTTTTTAGTCCTAATAATTATTTATGATATTATCAACATAAATAAATGAGGAATGAATTTTGTATATGAGATATACTGTTTAGGATTTTAAAATGTATTGCACCAGTTAGACATATCTTGAACATCTCTCTAGAAACAGAGAAATTAATTTAGATCTATAGCTCACTTTGACTTCAGGTTTTCATATACTAGGTAGATACCTCTCTTAATACCAGTTAGAGTAAGATGAGCTTTGGTTCTTAACGTTAGCATTGATTCTTAATTTTTGGATATTCCTTTGTACAGTGCCAACAGCAGTAGTCAACTATGGTATGACAAGTATTCCGGGGGCCTGGTGCTGGCCCAAAATGTCTTTACTTTTTATCTCGTCTTTTACTTCGGTAAGTGTTGTGTTGTCTCAATTCTCTTGTCTATATACTGGACCTGATATTTTTAAGCCTATGCAATTTTATGCCCTTTCTTGATCAGAATCAGTCAACACATTCTCAAGCAACTTAACTTAAAAGGTCAATTACAGTTATACTTAGGGTTCATGTTATAAAGAAATTTAAAGCCAATGCCAAGTTCCTTGTTACGATCAGCCTGTACATAAATTTCTCACACTCCTATCTAAGTCAAGTTTTCATCCTGAGTGATGATTCGCTCTTGTTTCAGTTGTGATCTCTGTGAGTTTTGTACATTGGTCTGACCACATCTGGCAACAGAACCCCCTGACCAATCGTCTGTGGGTGTGTACCGTCTTGTTGCTGTAAGTAATTTTTTTCTATTGTCAGTCAGCATTGTCATGTATATTGATATTTTTAGAAAAGAAAATATTACCTGTCATCATACATGTATATTGTGATGGTTTATACTTGTCACCAGTGTAAACATTGTTGGATGTAAAGAAGTTATAGTGTCACCAATACAGTCTATACGGGTAAGACATTGTTGGGTTTTCTCATGTTATATATTTTGTGGTTACCACAGGTTATACTTTGTTAAGTTAACACAGGTTTGTACATTATGTGGTTACCACAGGTTATACTTTGTTAAGTTTACACAGGTTTGTACATTATGTGGTTACCACAGGTTATACTTTGTTAAGTTTACACAGGTTTGTACATTATGTGGTTAACACAGGTTATACATTATGTGGTTTACACAGGTTATAAATTGTTGGGGTTTACACAGGTTATACATTATGTGGTTTACACAGGTTATAAATTGTTTGGGTTTACACAGGTTATACGTTATGTGGTTTACACAGGTTATAAATTGTTGGGGTTTACACAGGTTATACGTTATGTGGTTTACACAGGTTATAAATTGTTGGGGTTTACACAGGTTATACGTTATGTGGTTTACACAGGTTATAAATTGTTGGGGTTTACACAGGTTATAAATTGTTGGGGTTTACTCATTTTATACATTATGTGGTTCACACATGTTGTACATTCTTGAATTTACTCATGTTATACATTTTGTGGTTCATTATAGGGTTTACACAGGTTTATACATGGTTGTGTTTACTTATGTTATACATTATGTGGTTTACACAGGTTTATACATGGTTGTGTTTACTTATGTTATACATTATGTGGTTTACACAGGTTTATATATGGTTGTGTTTACTTATGTTATACATTATGTGGTTTACACAGGTTTATATATGGTTGTGTTTACTTATGTTATACATTATGTGGTTTACACAGGTTTATATATGGTTGTGTTTACTTATGTTATACATTATGTGGTTTACACAGGTTTATATATGGTTGTGTTTACTTATGTTATACATTATGTGGTTTACACAGGTTATACTTATAGTGGTTAAACAGGTTTACACAATGTTATGTTTACACAGTTAATTCATTCTTAAGTAGACAAATGCTATACACTGTTTGGTTTATTTCTTAATACATATTTTAAATGAAATATAAATTTTTGTTTCATTCCTGCAATTTGAAATTTAGACTTACATATTTTTGCAATTTCTCACTCCTGTAAAAGGACTGAATATTTTCACCTTCACTCTCTCCTATTTATATAAAATGTATATATATTTCCTCTCTCAATTCTTTGTGCGAAATATTCCATAACCCACACGTCTTCATGTTAATCATGTATTTATACACACATCCATTTAGAAATACTTGCACTTTTACAGGATATGTGGCCAGGTGGTGCTCTTCGTCTGTGATATGTCTATAAGAGGGGCTGGTCAGCATCGACTAATGTCTCTTGGAAGTGTTCACCCAGCTGTGTGGGGAATCGGTTTCAGCTTCCCTCTTGTCATTCTTTTCATCAACGAACTGGTTAAACGTCATGAGGTTAAGTAAGTAACTGAAAGAATGATTTCAAAATATCTATACAACTATTGTGATTTAATATACAACTGAAATGTTGCAATGTTAAAGACAATAATTTTGAAATTTTTAATAAATGTATTATTTCTTGATTTTAATCCTTCTCCACATCAGTAGTCTTAGGTTTGTGAGAATTTGTTTTCCTTATCCACAGGATATGAATGAACAGTTTTTAAAAAATTGGAGCAAATTCTCTTTTTGAAAATCAAAAAAAAATATATGTATATAAAAGATAAATTATGTATTGCCTTTTCCAGACTGTACTCTCGATACCAGAAACGTACACGGCTCCACTTTGGCACAAAGCTTGGAATGAATTCACCATTTTGATAAGGATGGTCATCATTTATTATATTTATAAATGGGGCAGCACAGAAACTGACCATAGCTGTGTATGGAAAACATTATCGTGCTCCAGATATACCAGACCAATGGTTGTGAAGAAATCTGTAAACATCAGTAAGATCTATTAGTTGTCAGCAGTCCATCGCTGGGCATTTATTGGCTTTCAGCGGTCTGTTGCTAGATAAGAGGAATTAGAGGGGCAGATTTGGTGATCACAAATTGGCTGCTTAATTTTGTATACCCATCTACAATTATGACATCCCCACTTTTATGTTGTTGCTATGTTGACTTGCCGAAATTCATAATTTATTCTCCCTGACATCCTGAAAATCATGATGTGCCAACAGTGACATGTCTGATATGTCATGAGTCATTTTGATAAAAATCAAACTGGTAGGTGCTCTACTGACCTGTTGTTAACAGTTTCATTTTACCGAGTTTTACTGTGGAAGGCCTTGGAAACCAGGGCTTACACCTTTACTTGTAAAATAGCTGTCATCTTACAGTTGTCTAATCCTTTGCATTCCCATGTGTTATTATTAAAAGTACATATGCTATAATCTTTAATATACTATATATATATTTTTTTGGTCTTTAGTCTCAAACTTTGTTTGCTGGTGATAAGTCTGTCAATACTTAGCAAAATCCTGCGTCATATGGTTTTACAATGGAGAATCTAGCAGACTGCCTATGCTTATATCAAACCCTTCTCTGATATTGTTTTCTGAGGACTATCCACTGAGCTTCTCATCAGGAAAGTGTGGTAAAAGTTTTTATATTTTTTATTCACCATTTAATGGTAATATCTCTGGTATACAGTATACATAGGCTTTATTGTTTTAATATAAAATCCTAATGATAAAATATTATTTAAATATTTTTATTTTATATTTTTGTATGTCAAAGAGATTAATGACACAGCTGATGGGTCACTGCCTTGTGTTGTTTATACCTATGTTAGTTAATTGTTTCTACATCATTCTTGTGTATATTTGTAATATTTACGTTGTTTTAATGTCATTATCATCAGTACTACTGACTGCAAGATGATTGTGAATATTTTTACTACAATCTTAGTTTGAGACTGCAGTCAACATATGGTATCCTAATAATCAACTCATTTTGTCAAAAATTCTTTTATTCATTATTAACCAATAAAATTTCATTAAACCAACTACTACAGATAAAAAATCTCACTGGTCCGCATACTACAGCCAAAAATCTCACTCAATCGCCTACTGCAGACAAAAAATATGACTGGTCCACATACTACAGCCAGAAATCTCTCTCAATCGCTTACTGCAGACAAAAAACTCTCACTCGAATGCCTACTGCAGACAAAAAATCTCGCTCAACATACATTTTCAATTTGTCACAAACCAAACTTTCATCTAGCATTCATTAACATTATGTGTAATCATGTCATATCAATTTCTTTGTGAGTCTTTTTCTTGTGATTGATTTAGCCCTTCATGAGTACTGATTTTTTATAAGTGTCTAATCAGCTACATTGAACACATGTGACATGTTCTTTTTAAGTCACCATACCTTAATCAAAGTAAGAAATCTTTAAAGTATTGTAGTTGTGATGTCACACCTGAAACCAAAACAATCGCAACCTATAATCAATCACAGCCGTGTTAGCTGTTACATTAGGTACCTATAGCCAATCACAGCTCTCATGTTGTCAGAGAACCAACTCATGGACAATGCCCGGCAACAGGCAGAGTCACAGAGATGATAAACCATCATCATCATCATCTGCTAGGTGTAACAATAGGAACCTGTAGCCAATCACAGCTCTGCTAGATCAAACAATAGGAACCTGTAGCCAATCATAGCTCTGCGAGGTATTACATTAGGAACCTGTAGCCAATCATAGCTCTGCTAGGTATTACATTAGGAACCTGTAGGCAATCACAGCTCTGCTAGATTAAACAATAGGAACCTGTAGCCAATCATAGCTCTGCTAGGTATTACATTAGGAACCTGTAGGTAATCACAGCTCTGCTAGATTAAACAATAGGAACCTATAGTCAATCACAGCTCTGCTAGATCAAACAATAGGAACCTGTAGCCAATCATAGCTCTGCTAGGTATTACATTAGGAACCTGTAGGTAATCACAGCTCTGCTAAGCATTACATCAGGAACTTAAGCCAATCACAGCTGTAGCCAGTTATGGCTCTATATAATGAGTGTTTTGTCATTGACAACAGGAAATTTTAAGTGATGAGATTGTGTTGAAACCAAGAAATATTGAATTTTGCAATAATTCACGAGATTAACATAAGCATTACAGTGAACCCAGTATTCATGTATACACACACCTTTATACAGATATAATATAAATATGACATTTCAATCAAATACAGACTTGATTCCAAACTTTGCATTTTATTTAACTGAAAGGAAGGGTACCAATTTAGACCATCCTGCATCTGTTTAGTGATAAGCATAAGTGATAAGGGGTGGGATGGTTCAAATTGGCAACCTTCCTATGTTCTTGTAAGGTGCACATCAATAGTGCCTATTGCAGAAAATATATTTACAGTTGATTATCCCCTTATATCAAAATATTTTTATGATTTTTCATGTAGTAGCTGAAGTCAAAAGAAATATACTTGAGGATATTGTATGATGGTGTTATATTTCATTGTCCTTAATATTGTCAAAATAAATGTCTTTTTTCCCCTTCTTTATTAACATACATTAATATATTTTAGGGAAATTTATGTTTTTCCCTACAATCCACAAAATGTGAGTTGACACTGCTTTGTTTATTTTGAGTAAGTTTGTCATTTTGTAATTTATACCACCGATATATATGTATTCCTTTGTTATTGTTATGTTGGTGCTGTATACTTTTGTTGTCAAAAGTAAAGGAGTTATCTCCCCTGATAGCATGACTGAAGACTGTAACACTAACAACTGGAGAGAAAAATAACAGGCACCGTCTAATCTGTTTATTCCTCAATCCTAGTGTGATTATTGTAGGATCTCCTTTCACCATGGTAACAATATATGTGATGACAAATTTGTATCATGTCCGAGTTAGATTAGATAGTATGTCTGAGGCTACAGTATTAATGATCATAGTGTTACCAGCATGTATTTTTTAATGCAGGAAAATGCTGTTGTTTTATCTCTGTTTATGTAAAGGTGAAGCCAGAATGTGAACAGACTTGTTTTAAAAATAAAACTTGCATTTAATTTTTTTTTTTTTTTTAATCAGGTAAGTCTTCTTCCAACATAAATGGCTAAAGCCCTGTTGAATGTGTTATGATATAATGTAGTAAGTGGTGAAACTACTTACTTGTGCAATACCATAATGCATAATGTGGTATATATATGAGTAGATTATTCATGTGTGTTATGCTAATATAATACACAAGTGAAAAATGTGAGTAAATAATACAGATATATAAATGAGCTAGGTATGAGTTAGGTACAAAAGTGTGTCGTATAAGTAGGTCATATACATGTATGTAAACTGGTTAATGTGAGTCAAGTTGATAAGTATGTTATGTAAGGTAAGTATACATGTGTGTAAATTAATTAAATGTGAGTGGGGTTTATAAGTATGCCATGTGAGTTAAATGTATGTGGGAATGTTGTGTGATATGAGTGGGGTATTTATTCAAGATAAGGTGACCACAGTATATTGATGATTGACTGCTGCAATTATGAGTACAGAATTAAGGTGTATGACATGATGGATGTACAGGAAATTTAGGCATGTGTTGTGACGGAGGTACTGGATATGTAGGCATGTGTCATGATGGATATACTCGGTATGTAGGTATGTGTCATGATGGACACACTAGGTATGTAGGTATGTGTCATGATGGATATACTCAGTATGTATGTGTCATGATGGATACACTAGGTATGTAGGTATGTGTCATGTGATGATGATATACTCAGTATGTATGTGTCATGATGGATATACTCAGTATGTAGGCATGTGTCATGATGGATATACTCAGTATGTAGGTATGTGTCATGATGGATATACTCAGTATGTAGGTATGTGTCATGATGGATATACTCTGTATGTATGTGTCATGATGGATACACTAGGTATGTAGGTATGTGTCATGATGGATATACTCAGTATGTAGGTATGTGTCATGATGGATATACTCTGTATGTATGTGTCATGATGGATACACTAGGTATGTAGGTATGTGTCATGATGGATATACTCAGTATGTAGGCATGTGTCATGATGGATATACTCAGTATGTAGGCATGTGTCATGATGGATATACTTGGTATGTAGGTATGTGTCATGATGGATATACTCAGTATGTATGTGTCATGATGGATATACTTGGTATGTAGGTATGTGTCATGATGGACATACTCTGTATGTAGGTATGTGTCATGATGGATACACTCTGTATGTAGATATGTGTCATGATGGATATACTTGGTATGTAGGTATGTGTCATGATGGATATACTCAGTATGTAGGCATGTGTCATGATGGATATACTTGGTATGTAGGCATGTGTCATGATGGATATACTCAGTATGTAGGCATGTGTCATGATGGATATACTTGGTATGTAGGCATGTGTCATGATGGATATACTCGGTATGTAGGTCATGATGGATATACTCGGTATGTAGGTATGTGTCATGACGGATACACTCGGTATGTAGGCATGTGTAGGCATGATGGATATATTATGTAGGTGTGTCATGTATACTCAGTATGTAGGCATGTGCCATGATGGATATATTTGGTATGTAGGTATGTGTCATGATGGATATACTTGGTATGTAGGCATGTGACATGATGGATATACTTGGTATGTAGGCATGTGTCATGATGGATATACTCGGTATGTAGGTATGCGTCATGATGGAGACATGGAGGCATATCTACATGTGTGACACTAATGTTAGTAACTCCAGTCCCAGTGCCTGCCTCTGTAGAAACAATAACAAAATCATGTCAACAATACACAATGTTTAGAATGTTAATTTGAAATCATTTCGATGGAAATAATGATTATTTATTATGAAGATGACTCAGTGAGTTAGCAATAATGCATCTGACTCATATTTTGGATAGATAGGTAACATCTGATGTTATCAAATACCATAATGACATCACAAGTTATTTAACAAACAAACAGATTTCTGTTATCTAAGGATTAAACAGTGGCATGATATGTTTGCAGCTTACATAACAGAATGTTCCCTTAAACTTCCTATGAAGCGTCCCTTTTCTCACTTTCAGCAATTTTCTGTGAAAGCTTCATTGAATCAGGATCCCCAGATTTGGTATCTCAAATGGCATGATGCATTCTTCATATAAATGGCCTTGACCATAGTTGCAGTTGTGAAAAACATATTACGTTTTAAGAACTTAAGTTATACCCATAGGTAAACTGAGATGGAGTGTCTTTACATTTCCTCACATAAATGTCTAGGTTTTACACTTTAAGGAAAAGTCACAGCCAGTATTGCTTTAGATATTCTACTACCTGGTACATTTGATGGGTTGTCTTAGGATAATGGTAAACTGGGTGCTGACTTGGGCTAAAAGTTATAGCAGTATGGTGTGAGGCTGTCTTGGTTTCATCACCCCATTATCCTGATATTTGATGAAGGTCTTGTGTAATGGAATGTTATCAAGTTTTCCAAAAGAAATGACCTAGAGTTACTTTCAATGTCCTAGGAGTCAGATATAATGAAAACTCTAACAGCATTATACAAAGAACAGATGACAGTTTCATTTAAGAAAAAAACACAAAATTTTACGACACATACAAATATATATTGCAAATATTAATTTCTGAGGATCATCGATGTGATATATGATTACTATATTGAATGTTTCATGGCATGTAATTCATTAACCTTGAGTGAAGGAAAATATTTATTTTTAATCTTGATTGTCAATAACATGTTTTATTAACTTCACTAAATTTGAACTTAATACAATATAGTCTGTTACTTTAACAATCATTTATCATTAAACTTTATGATGATAGATGAGCAAACAGCAAGATTATGGTTCTAACCTCAAGTTGTATCTATCACATCACACATATGTTACCGGTATATTCATCTACCAGCCATTCACAGAACACTGTAATGATGACAAAACTTTCCTTTTCAATGTACACAAAGAACGTATTCAAATGACAAAAAAGTATTGTTTTTAATGAAAAGTTATTTTTTACATATGATTAGATAAAACAAAATATTATTTCTTTTTTTTTTTCAATTTTTTTACCAGATAAATAGCAGGCTTATTCCAAAACAAAGCTCTACATCTGGTAAGATACCATATTTGAAATGTTTGGAAAAGAAAAAAAAATGATATGCATGTTTTCTCGATGGTTATATCACATCATGTAACGAAATTTGTGTTTAACATGTTCACAATCTAACCCAAGTTTGATCTAACTATATCCTGAAAAAATGTTGGTAATGATTCCTCTAATATAGTTTTTGATGCCCTTTCCTACATTTCTTATCTCAAAGCCACAAGACATGTTCCATGTATCCTCTCCTGACTTGGACAATGGTCCCATATATATTTATTATGTCTCCATCTTGAGATATTGTTGTCGATGATGTTGATGCTTATGTAATATTTGAGTAAATTTATGTTTATGATATTTTTGGTCTTGGTGTTGCTTTCTGAGCATTGTAGGTAACCAGATCGTATAAACGGAACACCGAAACAATTCTAAATTACTAACAAAAAAAATACAATGTGTGATGATTAATCATCATGATTTGGTGATGGAGAATGAGTTTCAGGGACTCAGCATTCTAGTTAGGGTATCACTGGTCGAAAAATGCTAGACTTCAGTAAGTCGCGAGCTATGTATCATTTATAGCACAGAGAAGCCTGTGGAACAAAACAGTAATGATTATATCAACAAATCTCATCTAATTATTCTCATAAACTCAGAAAGTGTATACCATGTTCTTTTCTTGGATAATTGGATAAAAGATCTGGATAAAATTTGCAGTGACAGGTTTTAATCTGCGCAAATCTGGTGAGAGGCGGGCTACACATTTAATGGAAATTTTCTAATACTGGATTGATATTCTCAAAAATAATATGATGTAACACAAACATAGTTGTACACACAAATATATCTGTGTACATGTCAATATTCACCTGCTATTTATTAAACTTGTTTTTAATTACGCAATATTTCAGTGTTCAGATAAGTCATTCCACACAGTTTTGGACTGACAGAAAGAAAGCAACTATTAGAGTTCTAATAAATAAACTGGTAATGAATACGCATACCTACATTGAATTATATCTGTAAGGGAACATAAATCTCTTAATATTTCAGATGTTTAGATGTTTGCTGATTTTCTGAAGTGTAAGTTAAGATTTTTGAAATGGTTTTATTTTAACACATGCGTGGACAAACTACCATGATTGGTGAGGCTATACTTCATTGTAAACATATGCCATTTTGTTACTCTTACAACTATTGTTTTTCCTTTAACAATACTGTTTAATTGCAAGACATTGAATACTGAATAATCAGCTGTTTCAGTTTTATAGCCCTCCCATACATATACGTTTCCATATACGTGAGCAGCTTATTTTTGAGAACTCTTGATGACTAGATTTGTAAGTTACCTGTTTAAAGGCTTCTCTTGGTAATAAACACATGATGAGCAGCAGACACCAAATATGTGTATAGACAAAAAGATTGAAAGTAGATTGACATAGGAAAGACAGTGAATAGCCAATGTGATGGTAACAAATACTGAGTGTGAAGACAGCAAAAAGTGAACAAAGATACACACACACAAAAAAACAAATGAAGCAGGCATCAGGTGCAGAGATGATCCAAATGGTCTGATTATTGTTGGTATCAGACGAGTGTGAGGATAGCAAAATGTGGATGAAGATGAACATAATCAGAAGAAGACGGTGAATGTGAGGATAGGGAAGTGATTGAAGCACTGAAGCAGACATCAAGTGTGGAGATGGTCAAAGTAATGAGGTCACTGGTACCCGGTGCCGAATGTATGAATAACAAGAATTATTGTAACATCAAGTGTAGAGATGGTCAAACTAATGAGGTCACTGGTACCTGGTACCGCATGTAGAAATAACAAGAATTATTGTAACATCAAGTGTAGTGATGGTCAAAGTAAGGAGGTCACTGTTACCAGGTACCGAATGTAGAAATAACAAGAATTATTGTAACATCAATTGTAGAGATGGTCCAATGGTTCATTTGGCAGCATTGAGTAACATTGAGAAACCCAAGTACATACAGTTTGAATATGACTGGCATTGCTGGAGGATTAGTACAGATAACACCATCGAAAAATAACAAAGAACTGGTAGCACAAACAAAATAACCCACATTCACTACAGGTGGGGTGGAGTGGTGACTTCGGGTGGGGTGGTGACTACGGTGACTTCAAGTGGTGTGGTGACTACGCTGACTACAGGTGGTGTGGTGACTACGGGTGGTGTTCTGACTATGGGTGGTGTGGTGACTACAGGTGGTGTGGTGACTACAAGTGGTGTGGTGACTGGTGACTACGGGTGGGGTGGTGTTGTGACTATGGGTGGTGGTGTGGTGACTACAGGTGGTGTGGTGACTGTGGGTGGTGTGGTGACTGGGTGGTGTGGTGACTACGGGTGTTGTGATCACTACGGTGACCTCGAGTGGTGTGGTGACTACGGGTGGTATGGTGACTACGGGTGGTGTGGTGACTACGGGTGATGTAATGACTATGGTTGGTGAGGTGAGTACGGGTGGTGTGATGACTACGGTGACTACGGGTGGTGTTGTGACTACGATGACAACGGGTGGTGTGGTGACTAAGGTGACTTCCGGTGGTGTAGTGACTATGGGTGGTGTGGTGACTACGGGTGGTGTGATGACTTCGGATGGTGTTGTGAGTACGGGTGGTGTGGTGACTACGGGTAGTGTGGTGACTACGGGTGGTGTGGTGACTGGTGACTACGGGTGGTGTGGTGACTACGGAAAGTGTGGTGACTACCGTGACTACGGGTGGTGTGGTGACTACGGTGACTACGGGTGGTGTGGTGACTACGGTGTCTACAGCTGGTGTGGTGACTACAGGTGGTATGGTGACTACGGTTACTACGGGTGATGTGGTGACTACGGTGACTACGGATGGTGTAGTGACTACGGTGACTACGTGTGGTATGGTGACTACGGTGACTACGGGTGGTATGGTGACTACGGTAACTACGGGTGGTGTGGCGACGACGGTGACTACGGGTGGTGTGGTGACTACGGTGGTGTGGTGACTATGGGAAGTGTCGTGACTACCATGACTACGGGTGGTGTGTTGACTACAGAAAGTGTGGTTACTACAGGTGGTGTTGTGACTACGGTGAATACGGGTGGTGTGGTGACTACGGTGACTACAGGTAGTGTGGTGACTACGGGTGGTGTTGTGACTACGGTGACTACGGGTGGTGTGGTGACTGCAGGAAGTGTGGTTACTACAGGTGGTGATGTGACTACGGTGAATACGGGTGGTGTGGTGACTACGGGTGGTGTGATGACTACGGTGACTACGGGTGGTGTGGTGACTACGGTGGTGTTGTGACTACGGTGACTACGGGTGGTGTGGTGACTACGGTGGTGTGGTGACTACGGGTGGTGTGGTGACTACGGTGACTACGGGTGGTGTGGTGACTACGGGTGGTATGGTGACTACGGTTACTACGGTGACTACGGGTGGTGTGGTGACTACGGTGGTGTAGCGACTACGGTGACTACGGGAAATGTGGTGACTACCATGGCTACGGGTGGTGTGGTGACTACGGGTGGTGTGGTGACTACGGGTGGTGTGGTGACTACGGGTGGTGTGGTGACCACGGGTGGTATGGTGGCTACGGTGACTACGGATGGTGTGGTGACTACGGGTGGTATGGTGACAACGGTTACTACAATGACTACGGGTGGTATGGCTACGACGGTGACTACGGGTGGTGTGGTGACTACGGTGGTGTGGTGACTACGGTGACTACGGGAAGTGTGGTGACTACCGTGACTACGGGTGGTGTGGTGACTACGGTGACTACGGGTGGTGTGGTGACTACGGTGACTACGGGTGGTGTGGTGACTACGGTGACTACAGGTAGTGTGGTGACTACGGTTGGTGTTGTGACTTCGGTGACTACGTGTGGTGTGGTGACTACAGGTGGTTTGGTGACTACGGTAACTACGGTGACTACGTGTGGTGTGGTGACTACGGTGACTACGAGTGGTGTGGTGACTACGGTGACTACGGATGGTGTGGTGATTACGGTGACTACGGGTGGTGTGGTGACTACGGTGACTACGGGTGGTATGGTGACTACGGTTTCTACGGTGACTACGGGTGGTGTGGCGACGACAGTGACTACGGGTGGTGTGGTGACTACGGGTGGTGTGGTGACTACGAGTGGTGTGGTGACTACGGTGACTACGGATGGTGTGGTGATTACGGTGACTATGGGTGGTGTGGTGACTACGGTGACTACGGGTGGTGTGGTGACTACGGGTGGTATGGTGACTACGGTTTCTACGGTGACTACGGGTGGTGTGGCGACGACGGTGACTACGGGTGGTGTGGTGACTACGGGTGGTGTGGTGACTACGATGACTACGGATCGTGTGGTGACTACGGGTGGTGTGGTGACTACGGATGGTGTGGTGAAAAGTTATATATATCATGTAACTAAATGTATGAACAATGGCAAATTGTTTCATTACACCCTGTGTCTACTTAGAATATCCTAAAAAGCGACACGGAAATACAGTGATGATAATTACTTGATATCGTGTGGGGAAAAATACCACCAAGCTCGTATAGGGGTCTCGACTGTTTTTGGTAAGCGATCAAAATCTGGTATGTACAACAATTAGATATTATCGGACGCACTATTTTGGGGAGGAACGGCTATGACAAAGGGATCGTACACATGGAACTGTGATCTCTATACAACTCTACAAGGACTCAGTCCGTGATAAATTAACCGACGTGCACTCTATCACCTCGACAGCACAACAGTCAACTTAATACATTTATAGAATTTTCAACCATTATAACGTTTAAGTCCCATTGGAAACATAAGTACCGGTGTAGCAAACGGCCTCAATTCGGACTGGGTTTTATATATAAAAACATTTCGCGTAAATATTTAAAACAAATGAAAATATTCAATATCAAATTGTATGCAACTGACAAGCATTCCAATAAATAAAACAAATATATTTAAAATGTATGTCCCTTCATGAAACGTGATGGCAGGGACTTGCAGAGAGCAGTGTTATCTTTGGAGAGTGGCCTAGACACAGAGAAATTTCAAGAGTTGTTAACGCTAAACAGAGGTTCTATTAGGAAGCTTTTCAATAGTGCGATCATTTTGAAACAGGTAAGAATGTTCATGGATTATCTATCGAAACAAAGAGACATACATTATTTGTGAGTATGTGTAGTTATCATGGGTAGGTATTACATGTACTTACTATGAAGTATTCCAATATTTACTATCGTTATGTACTAGAAGTATTCTAGTATATTCCTTTGGTTTAGTACAAAAACTGTTCCTGTATTAACATTGTTTAAGTGCTATAAAAATTCCAATGTTTACTTTGGGTAAATATTATAATTATTCCAGTATTTACATTGGTTAAGTATTATAATTATTCCAGTATTTACATTGGTTAAGTGCTTAAAATATCCGGATATTTACTTTGGTTAAGTACCAGAAATATCCCAATATTTACTTTGGTTAAGTACCAGAAATATCCCAATATTTACTTTGGTTAAGTACCAGAAATATCCCAATATTTACTTCGGGTAAGTATTAGAAAAATCCCAATATTTACTTCGGTTAAGTACCAGAAATATCCCAATATTTACTTTGGTTAAGTACCAGAAATATCTCAATATTTACTTTGGTTAAGTACCAGAAATATCTCAATATTTACTTTGGTTAAGTACCAGAAATATCCCAATATTTACTTTGGTTAAGTACCAGAAATATCTCAATATTTACTTTAGTTAACTACCAGAAATATCCCAACATTTACTTTAGTTAAGTACTAGAAATATCCGGATATTTACTTTGGTTATGTACCAGAAATATCCCAATATTTACTTTGGTTAAGTACCAGAAATATCCCAATATTTACTTTGGTTAAGTACCAGAAATATCTCAATATTTACTTTGGTTAAGTACCAGAAATATCCCAATATTTACTTTGGTTAAGTACCAGAAATATCTCAATATTTACTTTAGTTAACTACCAGAAATATCCCAACATTTACTTTAGTTAAGTACTAGAAATATCCGGATATTTACTTTGGTTATGTACCAGAAATATCCCAATATTTACTTTGGTTAAGTACTAGAAATATCCCAATATTTACTTTGGTTAAGTACTAGAAATATTCCAATATTTACCCTGGTTAAGTACCAGAAATATTCCAATATTTACCCTGGTTAAGTAGTGGTATTCCAGTATTTACTTTGGGTATAGCGTATATCTATGCAATGAGCTATTAGTGTCGGTAGATACATCAAGATATGTCCTTGGTATTCCCTGTGGTTTTATTACATATGTATTCATCGAATGTCTACAATGGAAAAGTATTAATGTTTAGATGCATTCCAGTATTTACCATGGTGGGTAGACATACAGAATGTAATCCAGGTTAAACTATGGTAAGTAATACATATACAGAATGTAATCCAGGTTAAACTATGGTAAGTTAGACATATACAAAATATATTCCAGTTTTTACCATGGTAAGTTAGACATATACAAAATATATTCCAGTTTTTACTATGGTAAGTTAGACATATACAAAATATATTTCAGTGTTTATTTACTGTGGGTAAGTATTATATTTACAAAATGCATGCCAGTATTTAATATATAGAGGTCCCCGTGTGCTGTGGCATTCACCCTTCTCCAAACCCTTTCTATGTAGTGACACCTTACCCTCCAATCCCTCCGTGTGTTGTAATATTTCACCCCTCTCCTATTTCTATCCAATCCTCCGCCTTTGGAGTGACATCCATCCCTCCCCAAATAGAATTATCTGAATGTTGTATCTTTAGCCGTTACTCTCTGTATTTCAGTAATGGGTTCCGTGGCCAGTTTAATATTTCTGCCCGACTCGGATTGCCTGGTCGTCAAAGACAAGATTAAACCTACGGACGCTAACTGGATCACAACCCATGCGATAGCAACAGAACGTAAGTTAACTTGGCCCATGATCATTTAATCAATGTTTTATGTCAAAAATTGTCCAATTCCTAGCTCTTTTTAGGCTTATATCTAAAACTACATAATATAATGAAATACATGACATTAAGGTGTCGAACGCATTGATCAGTAATGTGAAGACGAAGTTTATTTTACGTGATTTCAATAAATAACGATATAACAGCTCACAATGAAAGCCTTGATATAGTGTTGGAGTAATTTTACAGTGTTTATATATAGTTAATATATCACTGTGGACGTTGAGAGTTTCTATAAACCTTGGTAGTTACAGATAGAATGATAATATTACAGTGAGTATTGCAGAAACGGAGAGATTATGGTTCCGGTTCCGTCAGCTTGGCTGTAATAAGGATGGAGTGATCACAGACTCAATTGTACAAGGTATCAAGCATGATGCCTTCGTCAAGGGGGTGAGTACATCACATCAAACGAGCACCCTCAGTAATAGTGTGAGTACATAACATCCAGTTGGCGCCTTCTGTAATGGGTAAGTACATTATATCAAACTGGGGCCTTCATTTACTGGGTGAGTACATCACATCAAACTGGCACCCTCAGTAATGGGGTGAGTACATCACATCAAACTGGCGCCCTCAGTAATAGTGTGATTGCATCACATCAAACTGGCATCCTCAGTAATGGGGTGAGTACATCACATCAAACGGTTGCCTTCAGTAATGGGGTGAGTACATCACATCAAACGGTTGCCTTCAGTAATGGGGTGAGTCCATCACATCAAACTGACACCCTCAGTAATGGGATGAGTACATCACATCAAACCGGCGCCCTCAGTAATAGTGTGAGTACATCACATCAAACTGGCATCACATCAAACTGGCATCCTCAGTAATGGGGTGAGTACATCACATCAAACTGGCGCCTTCAGTAATGGGGTGAGTACATCACATCAAACTGGCACCCTCAGTAATGGGGTGAGTACATCACATCAAACTGGCGCCCTCAGTAATGGGATGAGTACATCACATCAAACTGGCGCCTTCAGTAATAGTGTGATTGCATCACATCAAACTGGCACCCTCAGTAATGGGGTGAGTACATCACATCAAACTGGCACCCTCAGTAATGGGGTGAGTCCATCACATCAAACTGGCGCCTTCAAACTGGTGAGTACATCACATCAAACTGGCCCCTCAGTAATGGGAGTGAGTACATCACATCAAACTGGCACATCACATCAAACTGGCGCCCTCAGTAATAGTGTGAGTACATCACATCAAACTGGCAAGTTGGAGTACATCACATCAAACGGCGCCTTCAGTAATGGGGTGAGTACATCACATCAAACTGGCACCCTCAGTAATAGTGTGAGTACATAACATCAAACTGGCGCCTTAATAGTGTGAGTACATCACATCAAACTGGGATGGGTGAGTACATCACATCAAACTGTAATGGGATGAGTACATCACATCAAACTGGGGCCCTTCAGTAATCATCAAACTGGCACCCTCAGTAATAGTGTGAGTACATAACAGTAATGGGGTGAGTACATCACATCAATCAAACTGGCACCCTCAGTAATGGGGTGAGTACATCACATCAAACTGGCGCCCTCAGTAATAGGGTGAGTATCACATCAAACTGGCACCCTCAGTAATAGTGTGAGTACATCACATCAAACGGCGCCTTCAATGTAAGTACATTATATCAAACTGGGGCCTTCATTTACTGGGTGAGTACATCACATCAAACGGTTGCCTTCAGTAATGGGGTGAGTCCATCACATCAAACTGACACCCTCAGTAATGGGATGAGTACATCACATCAAACCGGCGCCCTCAGTAATAGTGTGAGTACATCACATCAAACTGGCGCCTTCAGTAACGGGATGAGTACATCACATCAAATTGGCGCCCTCAGTAATAGTGTGATTGCATCACATCAAACTGGCATCCTCAGTAATGGGGTGAGTACATCACATCAAATCAAACTGGCATCACATCAAACCGCCTCAAACTGGCGCCTTCAGTAACGGGATGAGTACAGTAATGGGGTGAGTACATCACATCAAACTGGCGCCCTCAGTAATAGTGTGATTTCATCACATCAAACTGGCATCCTCAGTAATGGGGTGAGTACATCACATCAAACTGGCGCCTTCAGTAATGTAGTACATCACATCAAACTGGCGCCTTCAGTAATAGGTGAGTACATCACATCAAACTGGCGCCTTCAGTAACGGGATGAGTACATCACATCAAACTGGCACCCTCAGTAATGGGATGAGTACATCACATCAAACTGGCACCCTCAGTAATAGTGTGAGTACATCACATCAAGTTGGTGTCTTCACTAATAGGATGAGTACATAACATCAAATTGGCGCCCTCAGTAATGGGATGAGTACATCACATCAAACCGGCGCCCTCAGTAATAGTGTGAGTACATCACATCAAACTGGCATCCTCAGTAATGGGGTGAGTACATCACATCAAACGGTTGCCTTCAGTAATGGGGTGAGTCCATCACATCAAACTGGCACCCTCAGTAATAGTGTGAGTACATAACATCCAGTTGGCGCCTTCTGTAATGGGTAAGTACATTATATCAAACTGGGGCCTTCATTTACTGGGTGAGTACATCACATCAAACTGGCACCCTCAGTAATGGGGTGAGTACATCACATCAAACTGGCGCCCTCAGTAATAGTGTGATTGCATCACATCAAACTGGCATCCTCAGTAATGGGGTGAGTACATCACATCAAACTGTTGCCTTCAGTAATGGGGTGAGTACATCACATCAAACTGGCACCCTCAGTAATAGTGTGAGTACATCACATCAAACTGGCGCCTTCAGTAACGGGATGAGTACATCACATCAAATTGGCGCCCTCAGTAATGGGATGAGTACATCACATCAAACTGGTGCCTTCAGTAATGGGGTGAGTACATAACATCAAGTTGGTGTCTTCACTAATAGGATGAGTACATAACATCAAACTGGCGCCCTCAGTAACGGGATGAGTACATCACATCAAACTGGCATCCTCAGTAATGGGATGAGTACACCACATCAAACCGGCGGCCTCAGTAATAGTGTGAGTACATCACATCAAACTGGCATCCTCAGTAATGGGGTGAGTACATCACATCAAACGGTTGCCTTCAGTAATGGGGTGAGTACATCACATCAAACTGGCGCCTTAAGTAACTGGATGAGTACATCACATCAAACTGGCGCCCTCAATGGGTAAGTACATGGGGGTGAGTCCATCACATCAAACTGGCACCCTCAGTAATGGGGTGAGTACATCACATCAAACTGGCGCCTTCAGTAATAGTGTGATTGCATCACATCAAACTGGCACCCTCAGTAATGGGGTGAGTACATCACATCAAACTGGCGCCTTCAGTAACGGGATGAGTACATCACATCAAACTGGCACCCTCAGTAATGGGATGAGTACATCACATCAAACTGGCACCCTCAGTAATGGGATGAGTACATCACATCAAACCGGCGCCCTCAGTAATAGTGTGAGTACATCACATCAAACTGGCGCCTTCAGTAACGGGATGAGTACATCACATCAAATTGGCGCCCTCAGTAATGGGATGAGTACATCACATCAAACCGGCGCCCTCAGTAATAGTGTGAGTACATCAGATCAAACTGGCATCCTCAGTAATGGGGTGAGTACATCACATCAAACGCTTGCCTTCAGTAATGGGGTGAGTCCATCACATCAAACTGGCACCCTCAGTAATAGTGTGAGTACATAACATCCAGTAAGCGCCTTCTGTAATGGGTAAGTACATTATATCAAACTGGGGCCTTCATTTACTGGGTGAGTACATCACATCAAACTGGCACCCTCAGTAATGGGGTGAGTACATCACATCAAACTGGCGCCCTCAGTAATAGTGTGATTGCATCACATCAAACTGGCATCCTCAGTAATGGGGTGAGTACATCACTTCAAACGCTTGCCTTCAGTAATGGGGTGAGTCCATCACATCAAACTGGCACCCTCAGTAATAGTGTGAGTACATAACATCCAGTTGGCGCCTTCTGTAATGGGTAAGTACATTATATCAAACTGGGGCCTTCATTTACTGGGTGAGTACATCACATCAAACTGGCACCCTCAGTAATGGGGTGAGTACATCACATCAAACTGGCGCCCTCAGTAATAGTGTGATTGCATCACATCAAACTGGCACCCTCAGTAATGGGGTGAGTACATAACATCAAGTTGGTGTCTTCACTAATAGGATGAGTACATAACATCAAACTGGCGCCCTCAGTAACGGGATGAGTACATCACATCAAACTGGCACCCTCAGTAATGGGATGAGTACATCACATCAAACCGGCGCCCTCAGTAATAGTGTGAGTACGGGAGTAACGGGATGAGTACATCACATCAAACTGGCACCCTCAGTAATGGGATGAGTACATCACATCAAACCGGCGCCCTCAGTAATAGTGTGAGTACATCAGATCAAACTTGCCTTCAGTAACTTCAAACTGGCGCCCTCAGTAATGGGATGAGTACATCACATCAAACCGGCGCCCTCAGTAATAGTGTGAGTACATCAGATCAAACTTGCCTTCAGTAATGGGGTGAGTACATCACATCAAACTGGCACCTTAAGTAACGGAGTGAGAATATCACATCAAGCTGGGGCTTTCATTTATGGGATGAATACATCACATCTAGTTGGGGCCAGCAGTATTTGAGCAAGTACAATACACCAAACTAAATGATTGGCCAGGGGATTAATTTACATGAAACTGACACCTTTATTATGTAATAAGACCTTCACGATACCGGAAGTAAACAGCTTCAGAAAAGACTCATTCGTTAAGTTTAAGTACATGGGATAAGTATATTCCATCAATACTGATCCATCGGTATTTTTTTCAAAGACCAATTTTTAAGATATCACCCTTCACACCATATAAACAAGTAAGCGATTTTCAGATTTTAAAGATGTTCCTGTCCAGTAAAAAGAAGTTGACATTTGAAAATTTCCTTAGAGGGATGAAGTGGTGCGAGGCCGGAGACACGGACACAAAGCTGCGAGGTTTGTTTGGACACTAACAGGCAAATAGCACAGAAATGAACGAACGCAAATAGGAGTATTACTATAGGGACCACTGATCATTTTCTATTTCTTGAATATTGCATTAATAGAAGTCAAAGACAATCTCGAATTCTAGCGGGAGAAGGACACTAAATTATTTCCTGCAGCAGAAGGCAGTGTTGATATAGTATGGGGTGTCGCTACGTTCTCCAATACCCCTGGAAGCCACGTCCGATCCTGTAGAATGCCACACATTATAAGATGTTTTAGTGTATCTATGGTCCTCTATCTTCAGGATTAGTATGTATTACTTTCGGACATATATTCATTTCCTATCATTTTCGTCATAGAAATTTCCTCGTGGAAGTACTTAAACAAAATATTTTGCAATGATTGAGATATTATTTAAAGAGATGTATAACTAATTGTCTCGAATATAGATAACTGCAATACATCGAGTGAACATTATTGAGCGGAGTTTCAAAATAACTATCTTTGACTTATTTTTCAGCTATATTCAACCTGCTAGGAAGTGCAAAGAATGTGACGCGGGCAAATTTTATAAAGGTTTTGGAATTGGTGTACAACAACCCAGAAGATAAAAAGGTACATCTAAATATAGCAATACTTAGTAAAAGTACGTGCATTTTCCCTTTATTTTTAGAGTTGCTTTTAGCTTTATTGCCTCTCCAAATTATACTCTTGGACGAGTGTTTCTTCTATACATCATTAAACCAGCATAGACGTTAAAGAAATATATCACTCCAACATTTAACTTAACTGTGTATAAACAACGCCTTTGAATGATAGTGTTACTTTGTATGATGTCACTTGTGTTAAAATGGCTGATTTTTACATCAATTTATTGCTTTCTTTGTTAGGCAATACCTGGAATTGCAGACGTCGTGTTTCAACAAATGGACTCCGACAAAAATGGTAATTCCAACCGCCAACGGTCCTATCGTACTCGTTATTTTCCTTTCTAGCAACATATTCCTTTGTATATCAAGTATTCTTTAAATGATTGCAGTTCTGTTCTGATCATCGTTATAGAGGTCGATTAGTACAATTATAAGTATATATTTACGCAGGTAACTTCAGCGAGAAGGAGTTTATTGATGGAATCAAAAGAGCCATTCCGGAAGAACTACTTCAGCAAGTTCTTGAGTTCGAAGTGTTGCCTAATTATATGAGGGAACGCCTGTATGAAGATTTGCCTGAGGTATTTTAGACAGTGTTTACCATTACCACCTCCTCTCCGACAACTTTCAATCGTATCCCACTTCGCTAAATTAAAGCATTTATTTGTCTTAAGCTTTAACTCCTCTCCGCCATTTCTACATCCATTGCCATGCTGAGTAAAATCTGTCTTTTGACAAGTTTTATGCGATATACAGTTCCAGATGGACGTAACGTTGCCAAGCGGAGAAACTAGTGCTGCACCATCTCCCTCCCCGAGTACGTTTATCGGTCGACCGTCGACGGCACGAGCTACGCCATCCGACCGAACTATCCGACACCTAACAGACAAAATATACACCAAGGATCTAGAACGCCTTAGCAACAAACTTGGTCTTACCAAGGAGGACCACGACGAGTTGAAAAATAAGTCTCGAGATAACAAGCACCTGGTAAGTATCAAACAAAAACCAATCACATCGAGATAACAAGCAACTGGTAAGTATCAAACAAAACCCAGTCACATCGAGATAACAAGCACCTGGTAAGTATCAAACAAAACCAGTCACATCGAGATAACAAGCACCTGGTAAGTATCAAACAAAAATCAATCACACCGAGTTAACAAGCACCTGGTTAGTATCAAATATAAACGAATAGCATCGAGATCAACAAATACGTTTGAGCTTCCAACATCTTCCCGTCCGTCGTCCAAGACTATTTTTTGCTATAAAGTAACGACAATAAAGAACGTTTGCAATTTTGGCCGAGAACATTATTAGGTGAAGGAGGCTCAATTTTGTATAGCGGGTTTTGGCACCATTTTTAGTAGAGGATCTTTGTCAATGGAAATCTCTCTGTTCGGGTTAAGAGATTTATCCCGAAGCTGATCTTTATCATCCTTGGAAAATAAGGTTCGCTTTTGATTTTTAGTGTTTTCTTCATTTCAGTCAATCCAACGTAAGACAATTATTTTTGTTCCTTTTTCAATTGCAGGCAACACTGATCCTGGTAAAGTATAGAGAAAAGAGTGGAGGCCAGACTAATAGCCGAGAGCTGGAAAGGGCGCTTCGAGATGCTGGCATGATTGAAGCTTCTCAATTATTGGCACCATAGCGACATAACATTTTTACATTCTAAAGCAACCATGTCTGTCGTAATGTAGGAAATATGTTAAACATTACGACAGCGTAAATTCCCAGCGATTAAGTCATCTTATGGCATCCCAGACAGTGTTACATCACTGTGATGTTGCTGCGGAGATCTTTCGCCATGACAGACTGGTCAGTGCAATATGGAGGACAATGTGATGGAAGTTTATCGTAATGAAATCAACATGGAAGACCTAATGAGGGTTCTTCTTTTTTTGTTAGTAGTTCCTGTCGGGATGCAATTTATTTTCACTTTACTACAAACACAAATGCCTATCCATGCAAGCATTGTTTTATAAGATGTAATGCTATATATATATCGTAGTTATTTCAGTTTAAACATGTTTCTGAACCTAGATGAAAAAAGTTCAAATTTGACATTACAGTTGACCAATGATAGATGTTAGCTTATCAATTAGGCCGTAGGAAGTTTGATATAAACTTATCTTTTCTGTGTTAGATCTTTTGAGGCTACCAACAACCATTATATCTAACAGAGTCAGAAAAATATAAAAGTTAAATAAGGTTTCAAGAGACAGGTTCAAGAAGACTTTGTTGAAAGCTGTATGGTCAAAATACATGTAATTTTTACATTTGCAAAAAAACGAATGTTCTGGTGCTGTTCAATATACTGAACAATATGACAGGCACTTTTGTTGTCACTTCATCCGTGATTTATTTTTTATCTATAGAATCGGTACAACTTCATAACTCATTAGAATAATTCTATAATAATTGGTAACATTGCTGTATTTTCTCAATAGACACCACATATATTTTTTCTTTTGTTTGTATTTTGGTTCCATATATGTCCGAAAAGCAAATGGATAGTAAAGAACAGTGTTCATATCTTGCTTGTCACAGGGAAATTAATTCTCAATACTATTGTGAGTTGGATTTTATGAAAATTAAATAATCTTAATTGACTTACAGCTACAAGACGAATCAGTAAAATGAGTATACTCAGTAAAAAGGTTAATATTGATAACAGAATGATAATTGTGAATATTGTCATTAAATTATTATGTTAGAGACAGAAATGAAGAACAAATTGACCAGACCCTTTTCTGCTCAAAGTATATTATAAACACTACTGTCGGTAGTCTTCTCCGATAGGAGGTTTTCCAACTGTTAACATCACGTTCAAAAAAGAAATATTATGCTGAAATATCGCAAATATGAATGATGTGTGTTTGTATGGCACTCCAACTCCAGCTGCTGGAGACAGTAATATCAAAATAGAGTAACTGAAAAAAGAACTATGTATACTTTTAAAACAAATATTTGTCTTGTCCATAATTTCAAAAGTCATGTATGGAAGTATTAAAAGCTTGTTCGATTACATTAAAACATTAAAATTTGCCTTTGTTGTGTTTCAATGAAAGGACCCATTTGTTCATAGTGAAGGACAACTTTCAGCAGGACAATGTAAGACCTTACACTGTACGTATTGTTGGGACATCTACAGCAACAGAATGTCTTTTTGCTAACTTGGCTTGTCATGTTCCCAGGTTTCTCTTCGATTGACCATGTTTGGAATGAAATGGAGCGACATCTGCGTCAGGAAAAAATACGTTCTTGCGACGTTGGACGTCAGGAATATGGCAAAACTTTACCCATGCATTTCTTTGTTATTTGATCAGTTCAATGTGTCACAAATGTGTGTCATGCATCACTTCGAATGGCATACAGTAATGAAGTTGTGAAACTTGATTTGCATCCCTTCCCCACTTTTCTTCTTTCCTGTGGCTATAAATATCAATCCTAATTGACCTATTATCTGGTTTATTTATAAACATATATTTATATAACGTATATTTCATAATTCATAAATTCAACCGTCAAAATACATAGTACACTAATAGGAGGTTAAGTTTTGTAAATGACATTCAGCTCATCACCCTTTATCTATGTCGTTATCATTGTTAAGAGACAGTGATGGTATTCCATCAAAACAAATGTTTGAGGTTTAATTTTGAATTAATTATATCAATGTTAACTTCAGTTGTAATCTGTGAACGATACACAAATGTATAATCGTTGAATTATAATATTATGACCGCTGAAAAGACCGAACATTGCAGATGAACATACAGCTTTGCTCTAGTGCTCAGATGTTTGCCTACAAAGCTCTGTCATTAAAACTGATTATAATTGTCATAACTATTCGAAAAATACCCAAGGTCTTTCATTTGGACAAATTTAATAGTCCTTTGCTCTTGCTCTTTACTGGCCTTATCATGACGCTGGGTTTTACAGTGTTGTTGGCACAGTGGTAATGCACTCGCCTTTCACCTTGGTGTCCGGAATTCAGATTCCCCTAGTGAACATGAAACGGTATGGGGGGGTCACCTCCCAAAGGAAAACTCCTCATGTGCTTCTATCTGGACTAACAAGAGTGATTAATGTAATAGCTTGTTTTGCAATCATTTGTAAAATATATAAAGTTTATACAAAAAAGGTTATTCAGCAATCACTGGAAGATCAAACATTTGATTCATGTGACATTAAAAGTGGGTCAAGATGACTTATTTGAACAAACCTAATCCAAGCATGCTACTAGCCGAAATTCCTGACCTTTCAGATATTACGTGTTTAAAGGTTTAATTACAAACGAAAATGGTGACCTGGACAAAAGCTTATCATCATTAATCCAAGAAACCTTTTGCAACATTAAAAAATATGACCCTTTGAACTTGAATGTGAGTCAAGGTCATTCACTGGAGAAAACATGAAAGCTGTTGAACCAAGCTTCCTCTGATCAATTACTATGACCATGCAACTTTTTGGTAATTGAGAAGAAGTCATTTAAAGACTGAAAGACATCAACTGGGTATGCCATAATTTTTATAAAAACTGTGTAGTTCTTTAATACCTACTCTGTAAATATCTTTGTTAAGATTCACATCACCACGTAGAATTAGTGTTTTCTTTGATGAAAAACACTTGTTACTTGCCCTATTTGTAGCACACTAAAAAAAAGTGTTACAAGAGATGAATTCTCGCATTACAAATGTACTTGAAAATCCCCACTGAAGTCAATTAGTTCAGTTAGTATCATTATTTAACCATTGCACTGAGGTGACATGACATATAGTTAAAGATTGGTTTAAAAAGCAATACATCTTTTGTTGTTATACTAATTAGCACACGATGCCAAGCTCTATCATTGAAAATGTATGTAAATGCTATATCACAAGACAATTCAATGCTTATATCTAAATTGAACTGTAAACTTTGATTTATTCTACAATATTTGTGTATGAGCTAACCGTTTATATTAATCACTCTTGTTGACCTGAATGACAACACTTGGGGCCTACCATTTGAGGAAATCTGACAACATGGTGAAAACCAACAGCGTCAGGTAGATATGTCAGGTCAGGAAATCGAGTAACTGTTGCTTAGGTGAAAGGCAAGTGTTTTATCTCTGCACCAACTTAGCACCTATGTATTTGTACATTTACATTCCATATGAAGGATGATGTCAATGTTATCTTGATATAAATCAAAATAGATTTTTCATTATTGATTATAATCTGTCAGCATGAAATGGTGCTTACAAAAATGATGTTAAGCCTATTGTCAAGTGCTAGGTGGCACTCATCATACCATAAGTCCCACTTTCTTCTTAAGATTACAAATACAGATAACTGGGGATAAACATAATCAAGCTTTTGACAGAAAAACGATTGTAGTTTCCTTCAGAACTGTTTTTAACAGAATTGCTTTCAAATATCAGGAACTGGGATGGAGTTAGAAAGAGTTTAAGTAATTTTCATGGCACTAAGGTTAGGTTTACTTTTCCTTTACTTAGAATTAATCAATCCCTAACCTATTCTTATACAGTAAATGAATCTCCTAGATGAATTCTTATAGGAAAAATCACCAGTGAAGCCTTTTTAGACTCAAACATAATCTTTATTGATCACACAATTCATGCACAAACAAAATCATCTATTTCTGAAGGAGGCAAATGCTTTGTTGTCATCACACCGCTTCAGTAGGTCTTGTTTTCTTTTTACACTCTTACCCTGCAACACAATAACCAACCTTCAATATTTAAAACAAAACCAATAACAAAAACAATCAACAATTATTAATACAATATAACCATTAAGCCCATAAAGCACACTTGCCTTTCATGTCTAGCTATTTTATGTTAAAAAAATGTTTATGTTTTATGGGTAGGGATGGAGAGAGCCTGGATTTCTATGATCATGTTTTCAATAAAGCAACATGTACCGGTACATATTTTATCTAAAACTGAACTCATAGCAATGAAATTTGTCACAAACTTTACAGTGTGGTTGCTAGGGATAGTATACTTTTATGTGGGAGGGAAAGACAGCTGGCACATGCTATAATGCTACTCAAAATAGAAAAGCGGCGTCATTTCATTTAGTGTGTACATCTTGCAAATTGATAACGTTATCAATTTTGACACACATTTAATGGGACATTCACAACAACTTACATTTTTTGCTGTTTTTTTTTAAAGTACTGGTATGTGAGAAAAAAGAGAAAACATTAATCTGTTTCATGGAGAATGATATCTCCACCTTTGTGTGAGAGTTTGGTTGGCTGGTCAGCACTAAACAAACCTGCGAACCTGCTTAACTCCTACACAAAGGTTGACATATCCCTGTCCCTGGATTAGACACATGTAATATTCTATTAACTACCTGCACACTAAATAAATACAAAAACATGTTATAGTTGTTCTTACTTCATTGTTACTGGCTTCTATGAGTTCTTTTGCAAGCATGTCTGGGAACTTTGCTTTTCTGTCTTTCTCTGCAGCACTCTTAATCAAGAATGTCATGGCTTTATATGTCTGTGTTTCAGGATTACATGCAATAGGAACCTGAAATTAATTATCATCATTACAAAAAGTATCACAAAAGAATATAGATATCTGCTTAATCTAAAGTTGTAGCATATACAATGTATCACCATAAAGTCAAGGTTCCATGTCTCCTAATCACAATTTTGTTTTATCTTGATTAAAAATGGTGTGCATTTTGTTTTCAACAAGTATTTAAAATGAATGCCATCCAATACTTCCGATCAACTATTAAATATACACAATCAGTGACAAAGGAGAATCCGAATTTCAAATCTGAAGACCCATTCAATATCTCCTGCAGAAATAGCAGTAGTGAGATATTTAAAGATTTATTGATGAAATCAGTTTTTATTCTACAGTGAATGGCTGAAACAAAAACATAAAAGCTCTGATAATCAGTTTCATAAAATTGATGGTGACTTGGCCATTTTGAACTGATACTAAACAAATTCAACACAACCAAACCTAAAAAATATAGGTCATTTTCAATTACTCTGATGTCTTTAACTATGATAGGCAATTTTACAACACATGTTATTGTTTTTTCTCCTTACCTCATACCACACCCCACCTCGCATGACTCTTGTGGTATGAACATTAGGGCGACAATTTTCCACCGCTTCAAGGAACACATTTACAGGATTAAGCTCTATTTCAGACTGCTCATCTTTATTTGCCTTCTTATATTTCTTTAACTGTATCACTTTCACCTTCTTAAAGGTCTACAAAAAAAGTACAGGAAAGTGTTACATTATACATCAATAAGATGATAAATATAATTAACAAGCAAGTCCTAATTACTATCATGTATTCATAAATCAAATTATTTTCCATTTTGCATAGCATTGGTGTTTCACTCCAAATTAATTTCCACACAAAATATCAGCATCCTAATAATTCTATCACCATTAATTAGTGCAGACTCTGTGACAGACTTAAAAGAGAAGCATGAACAAACAGTAATATCTTATACCTCCAGTTACTTCATAGCAGGGACATCAAAACAGCTTCAACAAGGAGCAAATGCTAAATAATTGTACATGTAAATTCATTTGCATACAGCACATTACTGAATGAAAATATGTAATTACCTCTTCCAACAGATTCCTGGATAACTCCTTCTTCCCCTTTCTCATCAATATGTTGATAAATTTCCTAACAATGCAAAAATGAAACAATAAATGTGAATTCTTCTTATCCATATTTCTTAAAGTATGACTTTACAAATTACATAATAATTACAAAACAATACATATACTTCAACATAATGGTTTATAAAAACAACAGTATTTCGTTTTATAAACAACATACAAATGCATCCTGAATATTATTTCTGTCTCAGATATAATGGTCATGCAATGCACTTGTTCAAGTTTTCCATCAACTGCTTAAATTTGTGTACTTTGCTCTTTGTTTGGAGTTATGTTTCCTGGTCTGATAAGGTCCAAAAATCTTACTCACTGAACTTCTGGTACATAGGTGAATGACAATGATTGTTCTGTCCTTGGTGCCATTATTGGTCGAAACAACCTAGGATCAGTAGCTGTGACTGGCTTCTTTAGTTCTTTTTCGTTTATGGTGGGTTCCAGGTATTGAGCAGAATACCATTTTGATCGCACTTGTATAAAACTGTAAATATTAGATATTAAATTAAGAAAAAACATCACAATATCTTATAAGTACTTAAAAACAAACAACCAGTTCTTCAAGTAGATGTGCTCTCTCAAATTATCAAAGTGATATTTTGATATTTTGTACAAGTTGTAAATTTGTGGATGTTCCGTTCCTTTGAAGAACGCTTTCTTAAGACATTTCAAATTGTTGTCAGCAACAAAATATCTTTCCTGTAAGCAATTCAGACAAGTAAAATCTATGGAAATAATTCTGAATGATAAAAAATTTGACGGTCTTAATATAGAATATTTAAAATCACAGAATGATGTGCTGTTTTGGAAAGGAAACTAAAAACATAGCATCTGATGCAAAAAGAACTAGAAGCAAAACTAAAAGTAAACTTGAAAATCTAGAACACATACATGCATACATATAAATACTGAAATGCATGGAAAATTGTTTGTGACTCTATAATTAGGACTCAAAGTTGAGATATATGTTTGCAGAGCATTGTGCATGTACAACTGTGTTTTAACACAATCAGGACCATAGATAAATTTACAAATGATGTTTTTAAATAGACTTAGCTAGACATATAGCGAATTTCTACTAATTAGATGTTTTATTGTTAATTTTTGTGTCATTTTGAGGCATACCATTTCTTCTAGATGGACATAAGCCTAAAAAACTACATCTCGTGAACTTAAAACAAGAATTTGGAAGTGGGGAGAGGGTTTGTATAAAATGCATTTTTTGTTAGTTTCGTATGAGTAGACAATCTGATCACAAGAAAACGCATTACTGAGCGATAATAACAAATTAGTCCTTACTTACGTTGATAAACGAGAATTTGATGACGCCAGGCACTGAAACAAAATTTTCCCTTTGCACAGAGTCATCTTGAAAATTGACTTTCAATGCTTATATAACCTGTTTAACCTGTACATTATCTCAAAGTGAGCGTTAGGTGTCGGTAACCTTTTCACGTTCTTGTGAATCAACGTCTTTGGTATGTTTGCAACAGTAGAGAGAAAGACATGTAATATGTAAGACAGAGGCTCTAGTGTTTATGCTTCCTATGCTTCTTATTCCAGTATTCTCTGGACGTATCGTTGTTTCAGACGCATGAAGTTATTGTCTGACATAACAGTTCTTCTTTAACGGTATTTATTTTAGTACGCTCTTTTCTCAATATAAAAATGGCATGTTCACGATTCTAATTTCCAAAGCACCCTTGCATACATTGAAATTTAATTAATTCCAAAATGTTATATTGGCCTTCACGATGGTTAAAGTTACTGTGAAGTGGAAGTGAAAATTTGACAATAATACGAAGGTGTCACCACTCATTAATGCTACGACATTCCTCTCATTAATAATAAGAGGCCACCTAAACATAATATTTTGCCCCTGGTAAATCATATATTCTGTATACGCATACAAAAAAAACTGATGTAAAGTGCTGAGTTTGGTAATGTATATGAGCACGAGGAGAAGTTGTTGCCTTGTTAGTTCTGGCAAGATGGAATCTTCAATTAGTGTGTTTAAGCCCAAACAAGGGCACTGTATTCCTTACTATCCTTATATTAACTACTGTGAATTTCACTTATTCAAGCGGTAGAATGTCCAGTTAGAGACTGAAAGGTCGCTTGTTTGAACCCTAGCGGTGGCAGACCTTCTATTGCATATGCATATTTCTTAACTTTAGATCAAGATTCAGTTCTGTAGAACAATTGTGTTTCATGTGTGATTTGTAGAAGATAGAGGTGATTTATTGAAGTTACAAAACTGAGATTGTGACTGGGGAAGTAGTATGGGTAAGTTTACAGTACAGATCATCCCACTTAAATCAGCTGACAGGAGTTCTTTTAGAATATCAGCCAAAGGGGACAAGAAAAGCTGATTTAACTTTTGTCCTGCCTATTGCACATCTACTGCATAAAAGAACCAAACATGAATTATCTTAACCTATTTGAAAGACCACAGGGGTAAGATATGTTAGAAAATTGTTTTAACGAATTAGCCATGAGTGCTCGGTGTAGAAGGTGGGCATTAAGGTTGCTTTACTAGCCCTGGCTAGTTGGAATTTCCCTTTGGTTGGGCAATAGAATGTTTTGCTAGAGACAGAGGGGTTGCAGGTTGTTTTTCATCAATCCTTTCTATTACAGATTTAGTGTAGATGTTGAGAGTTAAGGTCGCCTGTTAGCCCAGGATTGTGAGAATTTCCCTTTAGTCAAGCAGTATAGTGTTGAGCTAGTAACCAAAAAGTCGGTAGTTCAAATCGCGGTGGTGACAGGATTTTTTTTTTCATTACTCCTTCCTGTTACAGATTTGGTGGCATACTACAACACTTGAAGGATAGAAGCAGTAGGCGATTGAGATGCTTCCTTGGAAGATATTGAACCTTTGTTGATTTTGTCATTGAAGACACTGTGAAGAAGGGTGTAATGTAGATGTTGAGAGTACAGGTTGCATTTTTAACCTGATCTAGTGGGAATTTCTCATTAGTCAAGTGATAGAGTGTCCAGCTGGAGACTGAAGGGTTGCTATTTTGAATCCAAGCAGTGGCAAGGTGTTTTTTCATTACTCTTTCCTATTACAATTAATACTGATATTTGTCAGATAAATACTTTGGATGCTATGGAGTACTCCAAAGGCAAAGCTTTACATGATTAACATTGAACATTTTTACAGGCATCAAATACTTTGAAAACTTTTAAGATAATTTTTTAAGTTTCAGAAGGCCCAAGGTTCCGTTAACTTGCATTTGCAAGTAGGTACTTGAGATGGAATGCTACAGAATGTCCTCAAATAAATAGCCTTAAGTTCACTGGGGTCAGACTTGTTATAACCAATCACATTTTCCGAAAGAAAAGTATCAGATTATCAGGAGTGATTGAACACCATCACCATATATAATTTCTTACGCACATTTGCACCTTGAATACAGATTACAAAACACATTATTTTGTCATGGCATGTAATGCTTTAATATCCTTGTAAAAGAAACAGGCTCTTTTGCCTCTTGTGATAAAATAGGTACAAGTCTCTTGGTATTATGAAACAACTATATAATAGATATATCTTTATATCTTTTGTAGGTGAGAATGCTAGTTTTCTTGTGTTGGACAGCTGTAAACAGGTGACAGGATGCAGACATCCCTACAATATGACCATTATCAGGGGGCAGTGTATCCACTGGACCTACATGCAGATCCAAACTATGGCCAGTATAGAAAGACTAACATAAAATCACTGTTGAATCTGTGTGCAGAGTACATTGTGCGTGATGCCTCATTCACAAAAGAAGCAGTGCAACATATCCCCTACCACCTCAGTGTGGCACTAATGCAGGCAGCCCTTCTTGATAATCGTGACCGCTCCATGGAAACGCTCATTTCTCACTGGCCACTCAACAGTCTCACTCTAAAAAAGCTTGCCCCTAGTCTGTTCACATCTGCAGTGCCTCTATACAACTCAACATATCTGATGGACATTGTTCGCCAAAGTCTGCGGTACACAACTTGTCTATCACACACATTCCTGGAGTGTCTGAAAAAACGCACACCAACAAAGCTCAAGTATCTTGATATGACAGGGTTCCCAACAGGTAACAGCTTTTATTACAAGACTTTCATATACTTCTTTACAAAATGAATTGAACTATTTGTTTGATAATTTTAAGATTTTGAATTGTATTTGAATTTGAATAATTATTATATGCTATTTCTGCACACTGTATTATAGATGATGATTTCATTAATTTAGTGCTCACTTTTACATGTGTTTAAACAATGGAAAATGGTTAGATGATCATTCTGTTTATTTCTTTATATCCTGACCGTATCATTTCTATTTCTAATGTAGTCCTGTTCATTCTAGTCCTGTAAAGCCAACTGTATCCAATGCTTACATATTCCTGTTTCACCTGTGGTGCTGATGTATTACAGCGGAAGTCATCCTGTTTTACTTGGCGACTCACTGTATGTTGGCACACAATGAGGCCAGACAGACTGTCATGGTGGACATGTACAACAGAGTGGTCACCCTGCTCCCTGACCAAACAGAATCAGCAGATACTTCACATCAGCTGATGACTGCCGATACCACCATTCCAGATTCCAGCTGTAGGTGACTTGTCCATAACAATGAACATATGTAGCACAGTAGAAATAAAATCCCATTTTGTTCTAAAACTATATATACATTGGATAAAAGATATAGTGATATCTCCTGTCTACTGAACTGGCCATCTGTTGGGATATAGTCTTGTATGCATGATAATGTTGCTGTTTCTCGAGAAGGATTCTATGGATCGTTTTCTAATTTCATATGTATGTTCCCCTTGGTCATTAGTTTTGCATTCTCATTTTGGAACTGTTTTGAAGAAAAAAAGGGTTGACAGGAGGCCATCTTGGATTTTGGCAGAAAGAGTTTGTCATATGTAGGTTCATCATTACCCCTACTTGAGCAAACTGTTTGAAGACTGATTTGAAAAACAAGGAGGCCAGTATTGGATTTTGGCAGTCGTAATTTGTTATTGTTACTTCAGGAGAAGCACTGGATGGGTCTGTCTCAGATTTCATATATAGGGTTCCCCTCTGTTGTGCCGTTTTGAATTTTGGACTGATCAGAAGAAATGAATTCCTGACAGGCAGCCATGTTGGATTTTGCTACTTCTAAAGAGGAATTTAAAATTTGATGTAATGAAGAGATTAACAAAACATAAGTAGAGAAAAGAAGGGAAAAGATCCATATTTTAAAGACCAAATAGATTTAACAGTGTTGGACATTAAGATCCCTCTCTTATCTCTTGCTTAAGCTTATTACATGAATTGTTAGACTGTACAGTTGTGCTTAATGGCATGATTTCCTATCTTAAATAATAAAATTTGAGGTAATTGTATATCCTACTCTAAGGTAATGGGACGTGTATGTTAATCACTTTGTCCTTCTGTGCTTGTGTTTGTGCAAGCATACACAATGACCTTTTGTATTGGATATCTTATGAACACCACAACAGATTTACCTATTGGTCAAAGGTTTCCCTTGACTGCTTTGGGAATAGAAAGCTAGTGTAGAAGATGTCATGAACGCCCCCAACAGATTTAGAGTAATTAAAAACAATCACCTGATAACACTGGCTATTCACTTCCTGATCCATGTATGGGGGTATGTGACTATATGTGAACCCCTGCTAATACCAAGACAATTGTCAACATACAATGATTCTATAAGAGTTATGTCCTTTTCCAATTTCTGTAATTGCTTTTGTGTTAGTGGTTGAAAACATTGGACTGGCTAAACCGGCATGAGAAATGCTTGGCACTGGTCAGGACCGAGGTTGGACAGTGGAATATTCATCAGTTTGAGGGGACCCAGCTGTACCTTCTGAAACTAACTGACAGAATATCATTAACATTCAGAATTTTTGCATAAAACAATGTTGGTGGATGCTATTTCTAAAATTGTTATAATCCTCAGTACAGGTTAAAATGTAACATATTTTTGTTATTGGTAGATATTGCTTTTAATGTTTGACAGGAAATTCCAAGACTGTATGTTTAGCCTTACACGTAACATTTAAAACATCTGATATCAGTGCATTTGTTTATCATGCAACAATTCCATTCTTCCAGAACTGTTTCAACCAGGGTACACAAGTGTATATGTAGTCATTGTACTAATGTGTTTTTGTCTTAAGAATGTCATACCTGTCAGCTTTTCCAAATATTGCTGGATTATACAAGATTTTTGTACTGCCCTTAGATTATAAATATCTTTCAAAATTACACCTTTTATTCTTTTAAAGATGTTAATTTTCAAACTTCATATAAATATTCTATGCCATAGGTTATTTAGTTTATTAATGTTACTATGTTGGTAGCATTCACTTCTAGTTAAAATTACATTGACTTTCTCAGCAGACTTTGTTTCATAGATAAAGAACACACAAGGATATAAATACCCTACCTACAATAATTGTTTTGTTTTGGTATAAAGATTCTGCAAATTTTGATTATTTTATGTCATTTTCTAATTTAGACTTAAGCAAGATTGATTATATGGCTTGTTTATATTCTTGATATTTTATACTTTGTGTTGTAGTCACAGTAAAGATGGACGCCTTTGTTACCTCAGACCAGACTCATGCTGAACTATGTAAAGCTCTTAAAGTGTCTGGTTTCCAGGACAGTAAGCTGAAAATTGTCCTGGAAAAATTAGATGCAACTTGCCTTGGGGAACAGAAGCTCCATATACTGCTACAACAAATCAATCCAAAGGTATGGTATATATACTGACTGCTATGTCTCTATGCCAAGTGTAGTTCAATAGTGTCTCTGTTTTAGATTACTGCTACAGTACTTAGCAAAAAAACAAAGTGCCTTCAGTAGAAGGAATACTAATTTAAGTCTCTGGGAGGTGATTTTGTTGGTGTTTGTTAGCAAAAGGGACACTTTCAACAGCTGGTGAATATTTCATGAGATCTATAAAGCAAGATAAATTTGGCTTCCTTTTTTTTGTTCAAGACTTGACTTTTGCAATTAATATGTTATTGCTTCTCTCCATACATAAGACAGTTTGAACTGTACAGTTATCATCAAATTTTGGATTCATTATTGAATAGAAAAAATTCTTGGATGTTTGTTGTCTTAGACAACAGAAACTAGGCATATTTATGAGAAAATGCATCACAGTGAATTTATATTTGGTTATTAACATGGCTTATTTACTAATGGACCAAAAAATGTCAATATCCGGTACATATTACTAAATAAAATATAAATCAGTGTTTAAGCAGAGTATAGCATCTTTTGTGTGGTAATGTCATATTTCAATTTGCAATAAATATTAGGAAATACATTTGCAGATTAAGATCAGAAAATAAAATATATGGACTGAATCTGTTTATTTACTTTCTAAGGTATTGATGAATTCATAATGCAAGTGTATATGTTAATGTAGTATCAACAATCCAGCTGCAGGCAAGATTACTAATTTGTGTAATTCTTGCTTAAAATAAAACATACATGTGCTCTTGTAATGGTGTTATATATATATTCATCTTTGTAGTTCTTGCAAAGTCTGCGTCTGAAGTATAATGCTCTGAATTGTGAGGACTTCTGTAGGCTGTCACCAGTACTAGAGCGGTTTAATGGTTTAACAGCCCTTGATTTGTCCTGTAACAGCATCAGGCATAAGGACTCATGTGACAGTCTAGCCCAGCTCCTCTCTGCTTTACCACATCTTATTCGACTTGACCTCAGCAACAATCGTGTGAAGACACGTCTTCGCCAGATTTTGTCCAATATGCCCAGTACATTGCAGTACTTGAGACTGGTGGCATGTGGCCTTGCCTTCACGGATATTGCATATTTGTCAGTCTCCCATCATATCTCTGGACTGGAGGAACTGGATCTCAGTGAAAACAACCTACAGCCAGCTGCAGCCAACATTAGTAAACTATTAAGGGGCTGTAAGTCAACACTTCACACACTGGAGATGGAGGATTGTAAGTTGCGCGACGACACAATGGAGCTGGTGGCAGGCAACTTTGGCTCTATGGAAACCCTTATGTATGTGAATTTGTCTGACAATTCACTAAGCATGCCTGCTCATGAGTGTGTACTTGAAGCATTGATAGGACTGTCCAGTATTCAGGCATATCGCCTCTCCTTTTCCAAGGAGTGCTACAGTCTTGACATACCTGACTATGAACAAATAATAAGAAAGGATATGTGTGTAGCACAAATGTACCGTATAATGAGGGACAGTAGAGGGGAAGCAACCTTACCACATCTAATATTTGTGGAACTTGAGAGATTAGATCATGTGGAATGACAAAATGAGAAAAATCAGCATGTAAACTGGTGTCAGTAGAATTAGAAAACAAAAGATATATTTGCAACTCCTATAGAATTACATGATCTTCTTATACTTCAAACAATGTTAAAAGGGCTGTAAATTTGAAACAAGTCATGTGTCACACAATGTACCTATTGCGTAACCATGTTAGTTGTATATTTCACAAACCTAAAATATGTCTTGAATAAACTATACACCTAAGCTGTGATTTGAAATCAAAGCAGAGTGCAGTACACTTACGTATTGTCTCGTAATTGTTTATGAGAATCAGCATGAAAAGTGCCAAAATAAAAGATTCTCTTAAAGAGTTGCGATTACATTCCTCCAATAGTCAACTGCTCAATGTTTTATATCTCAGTTATGAGTCACTTTAAGTCGGACTACCTGGTACATCTTTCACACGTTGAGAGCACATCATCGTACTTGCCTCGTCAGCAGGTCTGCTTCTTAATCTGATCCTGGAGTATACCTTGGTTCTATTTCTTGCATGTAGACACCAGACCGTATGTAGTCTATTAATTTATCACACAATTGTCAGGTCATTAATTGTATATACTCAAACAGTATTTTCTTACATGAATTGATGTTATAAAACCTATTTGGTATGTTGTGACACCAGAGATGATGTTATGATACCAAACATTCACAAATTCCATATTGGTATCACAATGGAACCCTATACCAAGAATAACTACCAGAGTGATACATAAATAGCTCATCTGTAGCATTTACAAATATAATAGATTATGTGATCAAAGGATCTTACTATGGTTTCCTTTTTACTTTCAAAACTTGTATGAAACTTACCATTATTAAATTGTTTTAGACTCATTTTAAACATCTCATGAAGTGAAAACTCCTGTAAAATGTAGCACTACTGTTAACTCTTACAACCTCTATTTTAAATTGACACAAAGTGGTGAAATTCCTGTTTCTGGAGGATGTCTTTGTCATGAATACCACACTTATTTTATATAAACACCATGTGAAGTTTCTGTGTGAAATATGAATAATAAATACAATGAAATCCATTGGACATTTGAATTATTGAAATATATATGGATAGAACCACAGGGGCTTGTAACAAATTTTATGGTGGAGGGAGCTTGTGAATTATACCACAATTAGTTGGAAGGGATGTGTGTAGTATATGTAACAAGCTCTATACAACAGAAAAAATGTTACATGGGTAGAGCAAAGAATACTGAATATTTTGGGTTCTGATTGTAAGCATTTACATTTCCTCAGTCACTATGCCTTCTTTGGGAAATTCGTAAGTCACTGTTGGTCGTTGGTCACATGACTGAAGATAATGTCCAGGCAGAAATAAGACTTCAGGGCTGTCCAGGAAGCTTCCACTTCAAGTGACAAGACAGCTTTATTTAATAGATTTCAAAACACTGTGTGTATGTGTTATAGATTTTTTTAAATAAGAGAAACTGTTGTTTGGTGGTATGGAAACAAATATGAGGGCAAGACAAGAATCTTCTATGAATTGAAACATGAAAATATGTGGTGTGAGTGTATACAGTAATTTTAGCCCCAACAAAATAGGTTCAGACTGATTTATAAAATATTAAGAAGTCTGTCAAATACACCATGGAACAAATTTATGTCAAGATGCGAGTGGGAATGAATGTGCACAGACATGTGAGAAAATATTGTAAAAGTAATCTACAGATGAAAAAACTGAGAATAAACAAGGGGAAAAATGAATTGTAATCTTGTAAATGCAATGTGTAAACATCAACTTACCATATAATAAGTTACACTTGCCATTGTAGAATTGGTTACCCTTCATATCAGGCCACTATATAACTAGTTACACTTGCTATTTAGTTTACCAGACCACCTTAAAATTGGTTCCTATATAGTTTACAAGGCCACAAAGAATTGGCTACTTTATATAGCTTACCAGGCCACAACAGAATTTGTTACCCTTACACTTTAGTTTACTAGGTCACCATAGAGATGGTTACTGTTCGGTCTACCCCACATGTAGCAATTCCTTTTCAATATGGAGTCATGGATTAAGTTCCCATTTCTAACCTATCCCTCTGCCTCATGTTTTAATCATGACAAAGTTTAGTGTTCAAGTATTTTGTGTAATTAATAGTTTGCCTCAAATGAGGCACTTGTATGGGTTTGAAAAAGCTTTTGTATATTCCTCAGAGAGCGAATTGAACATAGGCAAATTTGTGTATAATGGTACAAGGGCAAAATTAACCTGGAGTGGAAATATCCTAGTATACAGTAACTTAGATAAAAAAAGGAAAAAGGAATCTCTAAGTGTAAATTCAGGATGACCGTTTCTTCCAATCAATTTTGAAATTTATCATCCACAACTAAGAAAACTGTCATATGAAATTGAGAAAGTTCTTTCCAGTTCTTAAGTTAATTGTGGCCATTATTACTTTCCTCTTAAATCTACACATAAAATGACTACTTAAGTAAACTTTAAATTTTTGTTCAGAGAGAAAAGTAATTTTCTAAGGATAGACAAAGACATTTGGATAAGAAAGGAACTGTCCAATATATGATGGTGGTAGGCCAAAAAAAAAGAACAAAAATTGATACATCTACAAATAATTTATTTACAATTGAAAACACACATACTGAAATTCTCTCAACAGTCATTGCAAATGGCTGATAACATTGTTATTTCAAAACATTTTCTAACATTCAAAAAATGCATCAACATCACATAATTTCTTTCATGCCAGATATCATGCTTATATCTTATCATACTTGATCAACTAGTCTGAATTTCCCATGAAGTCGGATAGGGTAGACATTAAAGAATTTTTTGTAAATAATCACACCCTTTTGTACAGGAGCATAGAGTGGACTGTCTGGCTTTGGATTGAGGCGTTCACAAGATACGATCACCTTTCCATCACACATGGCTGACATGGTGTAGTTTCTTGAAATATCCACCTGTAAATGAAAAGTTGATTGACACAAAATTCCTCAAAAAATATATTTACCTAGGTAATACGAAGAAAAATTTTGATGAAATGTCTGCAACATTTTACAAAAGTCTGTTTAAAGGTAAATTTTGATATTCAGTTGAATATTATCTTTAAACATGCATTTGATTTTGGATCAGGTTCGTTATATGACATTGGCTTGTTGTATAAAACATGTGGACATCCTTTTTTGTTGTGACTCCAACTTAAACTTGACTTTCCAAATTCACCATTTAATTATGAAATCCTATGGATTCAGCCTACCATTTTTTTTAATGGAAATACCTATGCCAAATCTGCTTATCATTTACATGTTGACAAGAAATGTGCCAATTTACAGACAACATTGATGCTTTATTGCCTCCGAGGAAATTACTTATCAGTCATCTTAAACTAAAATGGCTGTTACAGAGACAAATGCATTAGCAAACCTACATTTTCCCCTGGATAGAATCGGAGGCCTGTCTGCTTCACAAGAACTTGACCTTGATGAACAAATGTACCATCCTGAACTTTGATACCCCTGTTCCTCCTTCTTGCTCTTCCAGTATCCATGGTACCTCTCCCTGTTCCAACTTTCACTCTTTTAGCCGTCCTAATCTGGACAAGAGGCAAGCCTGAAACTGAAAACCATATTCAAAACTAAAGATTTTTTTTCAAATAAAGAAAATACCAACATGGCAACATAATCATAATTCAAACAGAAGGAAGCTTAACGCGGAGACTCGTGGAAAAGTACAAGCAGAATAAGACCAGGTGTTTCAGAAGAGTAAGCGTTTCAATGCATTTCGGTCGAATTAGTTTTGTTTGTTGTTAGACTTAGGTATCATGTTTTTAACACAAAATCATTTTTAAAATCTTGATATTCTGTGAGCCAAATATGTCCATGGACACCCATTGGGTACACTGCTTAAGGGGTCCGAAACTAATGCACCGAAGATATAGACAGTGTCCTGTCCGTCCATGGACATGCGTGCAAGTGGTGTGTTTTAGAAAGAATTTGATCATTTATGTAGGCGGTAATGATAAAATCTTGACCAGAATTAATAGTGAAACAATATCTGTTTGAAACAATTCACAAACCATTTAAAGGTGATAATAAATTTGGAACTGCTCGTTGACAGCATCTCGTCAAGGAGGCTGACATCTTGAAAATAGTGCAGCGGAAAATGTCAAATTAATACGCGAATGAGGTATTTTCCTGTTAGGGATGCACTAAAAACATTTTCACGACTATAGTTTCCAATATCAAAAACCAGAGAGTGTATAAATATGAATTCATCATGCAATGCTATGTTAAACGTGTAAAAATAATGAATTCGTGCACAGGTTTTATCTGTGCGTCTGTATTTCCGGAGGTGTTGTTGGGCACTCCGAAAAAAATTGAAATATAAGCCGAAGTTATACAATGAAAGTAAGATGCGATGCCTTATGATGGTATAAGTAAGAAAGTGCTAAAATTATCGGACGTGTGACATTCGACGACAGTTTAAATACGGTACCAATAATTTGTGTAATCCTGTTGTGATCTGTAACGTTTTCTACATAAAGTTTGGCGGGAAATTTGATTTTCAGATGAAGTCCAGAACTATATGCTGATCACAACGTGTTTATTATGTTATTTTTATTTTGTTTTTAACCTTCTACTTCAAAACCACAAACACTCCAGGTTAGACTTTCTCATTAGTTTTCCTTATCAAACACTGCTGAAGGTATTTCCACTAAACCAAACCTTACCAGGGGTTGTTCGTATATGATTTAAGCAGAGACATATATAACACATATATACGTCTCTGATTTAAGAAGCCACTAGCCTATTAAATACCAATTTTGGTATGGGTTGTTTACGGAAAATAACATTCACACATGCAAGTGAATTCTATTTTTGTAGTTGTATGATGTTTCATGATTCAATACATGTTTAAAGTGATTTGGTAACAAATAAAAACCCACTTGGTGTATTATAGACTAGTTTCTTGTTATATGAAAATTTGTGGTTTTCTCCGTCCTGATAAGAGCCATCATAATCATCGTTATTGTTGTTGCCGTCGTCATTGTCATTATCATCATCCATTGACAATTATTTCTAAAGACTTCCATCTATGTAATTTTTCATCATTTTATTTTACTTCCTGATGAGCTTTCATGATCTTCAGTATGATGAAAGAGATACATTAGTGTTTAGATGTAGATGAATCAGTTAAACATAAATATTTAATATCAGTATGTAAAAATAAGCATGAAATCATATCATTTTAGAGTCCGGAAGCTGTTCAATGGTCTCACCAATCATACAAGAATGATGTTACCATGGCAAACAAAATTGCAGTCTTCAAGTTTTGCAGTCCAAATTGTTATTGCAGTTTATTGAACATTTTTGAATGAATGTTCAAATTTGATATGCTGGCTCTGTTGTTAGTGGTGTTTTTTTCCGTTTTGAAACTTGTCATAAAAACGAAATTGGAAAAAGGTGGCCATCTTTGATTTTGAAAAGTGACAAGCATTGGGAGAGTCTTTCTCAAATATTTTAAATAACAAAATGGCATTGAACTTGTTGACATATTTGATTTTAAAATTGAAAATGTTTTAAGCTAATAAGATGATCAAATTTATAGATTCATAAGCTGACTTTGATTTTGTATTTATAATCACAGAAATTAGATGATAAATTTGTGCTTCAGAGACTGAGTATTCCAGTGTAACAGATAATATAAGGGGAGACCAATAACAAGTATTATGCATGTCACTCATGAATTTAAAAATTAATATATATACTGCCCTGTAACCTTGATTTTATGAAAGTATCCACTTGTAGAATACATAATTGTAAACTGCATATTCTAAGTAATTCTTATTCAAACCATTATCTTTTGTTCTTTTTACAGGTACTCTGTAATGGAGGATGACATGATATTGGGCATTTGATATAATCAGGTTATCTATTGTAATTTCTCATTTCTTTGTTAAAATTAAATGGCATTTGTAGTTTGCAATAGGTAATATTTTTTCAAACATAATTTATGTCAATCAAATATAAATTGAAAAGATGGATTGTGACATGAGTGACACTGACGTCAATAGTGATATGGACAGTGATTTACCAGATCTTGATGGACCTCAAACTGTGGCTCAACCAGCTCGCTTTGTTCATTGTTTATCAGACAGCTCTGACTCTGATGCTGATGAAGGTAAAAATAGACCCATGTACATTCCTCTGAAAGAAAGGTTACTAAATTGTCAAAATCAAAACATCAACACTACTCCAGATTTCTCTGATACATCAGACATTGAGATTGTAGATTATAAAACAAGCCACACTCTTTCCTATGGTGCAGTTGCTATAAGTGATGAATCAAATGACAGTTGTGTTGTGAGATGCCCCAGCAGTGACAATGATTTGGAGCGTCAACCTTTATCCAGTCTCACCAGACGGACATCCATGTCACCCTGTACTCCTTCACATACACCTAAGATACCTGATAATTCTGTTAGTCATCAGTTTTATGGTGCTGAATCTAGAACTCAGATTTCGAGATATTCAAATCCTTCAGGAGCTCAGACCACACTGTCTACCATACCCAGTAAACAAAACTCAAAGAAAAGAACTGCAGAGGAAATCATGCAAAGGAAACAACAAGCACAGGTATTGACATGTTATTGTTGTTTTGCCTGTCACACAATGACACTTCATTGGTTCAAGTGGCTAAACAAGAAATATATTGTTAAAGTTGTAATTTCTGAGTGGTTCTGTTTTTTCCCCAATTTTTTGAAAAAAAAATATGGATAAAAGACTCTTTTTCCTGTTTTCCTTGACAAGTTAAGCTTTTGTTAAACTGTATTTATTTGAACAGCTGAGAAAGAAGAGGGTTGTTAATGTAGCTTTCCCAAAGTTTGATGTGTACTTGTTCCAAACCTTAATCACTACCAACCACTTGATTTTCAGAAATGTTGGAGTATTAAGTTAAAATAGTGATGAGTAATAATGAGAGGAAAATCAAAATAAAAACTTTTATGTAACATGATTTTGACTGACAATGTAACAAATTTCAGATGAAGCGAGAAGCTATGGAAAAAAAGAAAATTGAAAGACAAAAATCAAAAGAGGAGAAACAGGCAGAGAAGGAGAGAGCAACACTGATAAAAAATGCAGAGAGAGACAGAAAGAAACAATATGGTCTGCTTAAGGACTGTCTCAATGTGAGGGTCTATTCTAATCACTTTCTGTGTTAACTATTTGAGTTCTTGAGAGTTTCATGAAAAGTGATCTTTTTAAAGAGTTAGATTTATCAGATAATTAGATTGGCACATCAGGCTGTCAGTGGTCACTATTTAGTTTTCTAGTTTCAGTTTTTAATTTAGTTACAGAGTAGCACATTGTTTGCCAGAAGTTTAATGGTGAATGATACGTTGTTTTAATTGTTCATGGTTTAAGTGAATATCACCATTTGGTCTTTAATACTAAGCTTTGATTATGATGTTGATCTTAACTAGGTACATGTAGTTATTGACATTTAGTATTGTTTGTCTAGAGTGAGAAAATAATTGCGATATTTGATTTTTAGTATTCTAAGTTGCCTCTGTGTACTTTTAAGTATATGAAGGTTATACTGGACACTCACCTGGTCAATGACCTTGGTCTTGGTGCCAGTATCTTCAAGAGCTGTGAGTCCCTTGGAGTACAATGTGTAGCAGAGCCACAGACCATCCCCTTCACCATTACCTGGCAAAGGACTGTTACAGAGTTTAAGGTTACTGAAGAAAAGGTATGATTTAATGTTAAGCTGTACAATGATAAATTTGTTCTATCAAATAACTGGCCTGTTGTGTCATGTCATACGTCCATGTTATAAATATAAAACACATGTATGATAACATTGTTGTGACATCAATAATAAGTCATGCCTTGATATGTCACATGATTGTCTCAGTAGTCAAAAACATACTGTCTCCATCTTAGTAAATCTGTCTTATAATCTACGGAAGTTTATTTCAGAGTTTTCATTTATTTTCTCGTAAATATGAGTTATGTGATAAACAGAATCTTTCACTAGGGCCTATGTGCTTAAAAGCACATGATTTATCAAATTATTGAACTCATTCAATTCCTTGAAACTTTCTCTCTTATAACAAATATTCTACATACTTAACAAATGAAACACCCTTAACTGTCTTATAAATACCCATATAACATTGCACTCATCCCGCAACCTGGCCATTTGTGGTTTTGTCCCATTTTTGTACTTAAAATGCTGAATAGTGACACATTTACTATATGATGATTGCAATGGCACAGATGAATTGATTTCTTTGACCAAGATCCTCCTACAAGCTTGTTAAATATTTGGAAATTGTTAATATATTTCAAGATTGTTTTTTGTTGTTTTTCTGCCTAAAGCATCATGCTCTTTATTTCCCATTGGAAATAACTTTATTAGAATTATCAGTATAGGATGAGTTTTGATGGTATGCATGTTTGACATTGCTTATTGTCATCAGTGTCACAATTTCTTTTTTTTGACATGTGAAAGCTATGTACCCATTAACATTTATGTTCACTATTGCTTATCTGGTGACTGCAGGTCCACTAGGCCTCTTGTTTATTTATGCCCTCTTCGTAAACACCAAATCATTTGGCCACAAATGCTCAAGAGTGACATATTTATTTCAAACAGGTAGACACCTGGACGAGACAGACAGTAGAAGATAATGTTCTTACACTTATACCTACTTCAGACTTTGTTCAATTTGTGGAAAATTTTAAACAGGTATCTTAATTTCTTAAATTTTCAAACCTCGTTACTCTGATTTGTGTATACATGTACAAAGCTCTGTAAATGCTGACAAGGAGATACTGCACACAGTTCTGAAAAAAGGTCCGTTTATTACCTGAACTGAAGACTTGAATGACCAATGTTAACGTAACTTTTCACATCAGTCTTGCTGAAAGTATTTCTAAAATAAATGTTCTCTATATGTAAAAAAATTGGAAACACAAAAATATTCTAATGGATAGATTACGGTTGTTGAAATCTATACCATATACTAGTTTGCCAATGTATAGTAAGAGTTAATTTTGGTAGGCACAGATGGGACAAGATCAAGGACAGGCAACTCTAAAGAAATATATACAGACCTTACAACAATATTACCAACACAAGCATGTAACTGCTGCTGTTTTAGGAATGGAGAAATATTTCAGGTATTTATAATTTATCAATAGGATTAGTATCCAAAGCATTGCATTAGACCTTAATTACCGATGCAATTTTTTCTGACATGTATGTTTCTGCTAAAGATATAGAAATCATGATATTTTTTATATACCCTTTGATTCAAATAACATCCAATTAAATGAACTCAGTTTACAATTTGTCATATGTTGATCATCAATTAGGTCTTTATGGTATTTCAGTGTCACTGATTTTGCTTATTGAAGATGAACGTCAAAATGTGTGAAAGGCTGCAATGATGGATTTCCAGTCTTAACATTTATTAATGATTTTGTGTAATCTTCATCGAATTGCACTTTCAGATTCCATTTGGTTCCTATGAGTAGTTTGCACATTTCTTTTGTATGATGCCCTCCCTTTGAAAGAACAATTAAAAATTTGGTAATACAATGTATTTCTTTTGTATAATGACCTCCCTTTGAATGGACAGTTTAAAGTTTGGTAATACAATGTATTTGTTTTTAAACATGTTACAACATGGTTCGTTTCCTATTGAGGAAAAGAGAGGAAAGTTTAACCAGGGCAGGGGCCAAATAGGAGAAATAGAGCAAATGCTTTAAAATCCTACTTCACCTGTAGGAATGATTGGATTTTACCCAAATTTGGTGCGAAGCATTCTTAGGTGAAGGGGAATCAGTTTGTGTTTCTGTTGGAATTATTTAATTTTTGTCCAGATTTGAACTAAACCAGATGAGCGATACAGGCCCTATGGGTCTATTGTTTTTCATTGGGATTTATTTGTATATGTTCAGATATGATACCTAGTTGGCTGAAGGCAACAAATGGTCTTTAAGTCAGTCATGTGATATTTTATTAGCCCACCATCATCAGATGGTGGGGTATTCAAATCGCCCTGCATCCGTGTTAGCCCACCATCATCAGATGGTGGGGTATTCAAATCGCCCTGCGTCCCTGGTCCGTGGTCCGGTCATCCATCCGTCCGTAAACAATTCTTGTTACCGCTATTTCTGGAAAAGTACTGGATGGATTTTTCTCAAATTTCATATGCAGTTTCCCCTTGGTCCCTAGTTGTGCATTGTACCTTTTTTGGACTGATTCAAATTCAAGATGGCCGACAGGTGGCCATCTTGGATTTTGGAAGTAAAAGTTTGTTACCGCTATTTCTTGGAAAGTACTGGATGGATCTTTTTCAAATTTCATATGCAGTTTCCCCTTGGTCCCTAGTTGTACCTTTTTTGTTGTGCAGAGATGGCCGACAGGTGGCCATCTTGGATTTTGGAAGTAAAAGTTTGTTACTGTTCTTGGAAAGTACTGGATGGATCTTTTTCAAATTTCATATGCAGTTTTCCCTTGGTCCCTTGTTGTGCATTGTACCTATTTTGGACTGATTCGAATTCAAGATGGCAGACAGGTGGCCATCTTGGATTTTGGATGTAAAAGTTTGTTACTGCTATATCTTGGAAATTACTGGATGGATCTTTCTCAAATTTCATATGCAGGCTCCCTTTGGTTCCAAGTTGTGCATTGTACCTTTTTGGACTGATCCGAAATCAAGATGGCTGACAGGCAGCCATCTTGGATTTTGAGAGTAAAATCTTGTTACTGCTATATCTGAGGAAGTACTGGATGGATCCTTCTGATATTTCATAGATATTGGTTTCCCTTGGTCCCTAGTTGTGCATTGTACCTTTTTTGGACTGATTTGAAATCAAGTGGGCCGCCATCTTGGATGTCGACAGTAATACAGCACAAATATATTGTCCGTTATCCACCTGTAACTGACTGCTATCTAATAATACTTTGGGATCTTTTTCAAATGATATTTGCTAATAAGTGCTTAATAAAAATATCTTGTGCCATCATTGAGTACATTCAATGAAGACCAGTTCATGAACATTTACAACACCTGTAACAAACAAAAAAAAATAAACAAATCTTCAAGAACTGAAAATAGATCCTCAAATGGTGGGCGCCAAGATCCCTCTGGGATCTCTTGTATCTATTCTTATGAAATAGGGAACAGAAAACTGTGATACAAAGGAAACACAAGGAGACAGTACGCTCTAAGGAGATGAGAGAACCGTCGCGACCAAAGAAAACAAAAAAAGGGGAGACAAATACACTGGTGTCTAAAATGGATGTTGAAGAGGTGAGATTGTTCAAAAGGCATGTATATAGCATCTTTCAATAGAAATAAAAAATTAGTATATAAACAAATGATGGTAGGGCCTGAAGTGTTGGAATATAGGATATGTCTTATATTTATGTTATTCTTATTATCAGAAATATAAAAAAATTGGATCGGTGTGAATATAGAGAAGAGTATGTGCCTTTACTCCATTAATGAAATAGATTTATCATTTTCAGTATTGAATGGTTCTGAAAAATGTGAATGCAAATAAACCTTCAACAGTCGTGTTAAATAAATCACTAACTTAATTTGAATTATAGTTTTAAAGCTCACTTGTGAGCCTATGATTTTTGTTCATTATGATGTTGTGATTCTTTAACATATATTTTCTATGAATTATAGGCTGTAAAGTGTTTGTGAAAAAAATGGCCCCAGCCATACTGTATATATAGGAATATTTGTGAGGGATTTAATTTTGCTCTATTCGAAGTAAAAAAAGAAAGAAAATAGTGGGAAATAAGATACCTGACAAACATTGCTAGATTGAATGAAGATCTCAGAAAATATCTTTCATGTCTGTATACATGGATATCAGCTCATTGATATGTGAAAAATGTAATAACTGCTACCTTGCCAAAACAAGGACAACTGCAAAATATTTTATAATCTTTTATTCCTTCTGAAGGGTTTCAAGTATTTCTGTCTTTAATTTCTTTAATTAAGAATCTCTTAAGATGACAGAGCAATGAAGATCAAAATGTGTTTTTGGACAGCTATGTAAATCTCTTAATGTGAAAGAAAATGAAGTTTTAAATTGTGTATTGGATTTTATACAAGATGTACTCAGTATTCATTCTAGATAGGCAACATAAAATCAAATCAATGTAACAAAGTCAGATGGATTGTCAAAGTTCAGTATGAACAAAATTTTCTCAAAATATGCTGAAAAATGTTTTTTTGTCATGTGTCCTTCAGGCAATTGTTGAAACACAGTTACAGACAGGAACCATGGTTCATATGGTTGAATCCAATGAAGAGTTTGCAGATATTGTCAAATCGTTCACTAAAGCTGTAGCTGAAAAACCTGCAAAGTAAGCTATCTTTATAAAGTTTCATATTTTTAATTACAAATCCTCATTCCATGCATACATTAAGTATGTTCTCTGACGAAAAGGCAATATGTGTATTTCCTGCATACACAAAAAATTCTTAAGATCATAGACCAAACATGAAACTGGCGGTGTATTTGGAGTTATCTCTAATCGTAATCCCATTTCTTTTGGTTTCGGTTCTTCAAATCTCTGATGGACAAAGTTATAAAATTTGCAGTTAAATTGTGGTATAATCCAGATCAAATTCATATTTTGTCATCCTCAGCCTAACAAAGTTGGCAAAGGATATTCAAATGGGTTCCGTCGTTCCATCCTTCCGGATGCTGCCTTCTGCATAATATCTTTTGAAAGATTGGTCAGTTATTTATGAAACTTTGTTAGTATACTGGTTACCTTAATACTTTGCCAAGTTCAATTACTGCAAATTCTTTGCATATTCAATGAGGCTGCTGTGACCTGATTAGCAGATATCTTTAATTACTCTCAGCTGTTGCTTTCTGCATGATATCTTTTAAAGGACTGGTTAGATTTTGTTGAAATGTGGTTAGTACACTTTATACCTTAACCCCTTGCCAAAGTTTGATTAAAGGGAAATTCCACACATATTTAATGAGACTGCTGTGACCTGATTGGCTGATTTCTTCAATCACTCTGATGATGCTGCTTTCTACATTCTTTTAAAGGAATGGTTGGATTTTGATGAAACATGGTTGGTAGACTTGTTACTTTAATCCCTGGTTCAAGATTTACTATCAGAATTCTCTTGCATATTTAATGAGGCTGCTGTGACCTGATTGGCTTTAATCTTTCAGCACCCTTCTGGAATGCTTTCCACATGTTATATTTTGAAGGAACAAATGAATTTTGATGAGACTTGCTTGGTAAACTTACTACATAGTCTCCTTACTCAAGTTCAATCAACCGTGAATCCTCACAATCCTTACTATGGATCTTTTTACAATTGACTAAAAATTTGGTTCTTGCCTTCATTGAACATTACCATTTTACATGTTAGAGGTTTTTTCCTTGTTTTTTGCCAGGTATACTAGAAACATGTTTTACTATACTCTATGGTTATTCAACAGATTTTACTATTTAACGAAAGTCAAATAGTATGACTTATTAAAATCTGTAGTAGGATACATTAGGTGTTTCAGAAACAGTTATTATAGCAACACAATCCTGGCCTCTGATTAATTTTCAACTGTTTTTTTATGGTGTTCTGAACACATTTGGTATACAGAGGTCTTCACATCTGCTGGGAGTATTAGTTATCCTCAGTATGACAGTTCTAGTTAACCTTGATTAGATGTGATCGTTTAATTTAAGTCCTAGTCAATAGTTAGGAGTACAGCTCTCAGAAAAATAATTCTTTTAAGAAAAATTCAAAACTAGCAATTTTAGGATAACAAATTTGTAGAATTTCTGCAAGTCAAAGTACACAAAAGTCAAGACGAAAGTCATCATAACCGAGCAACATAGCCAACCCTATTGACTATTTCTGTAATCCCTTCTGTCTAATCACCAATAAACAGAATACAGACTGACATAATAACCTCAACTTCTAATAATTATCTTGGCTACTACATCAGGAGCATTTGTGTCACATGATCCTTTTGCAATTTCAATGTAAATTGCTATTGATGGTATGTCTCAATGAATCTGCACCACTGTTATTGTAGGAAAGACAGATTAGAGAGTGTGTTCTCCTTTCATGAAGATGGCACAACTGGTGTCAGAGTTGATAAGTCTGGTCATGGCCTCCTCAAAGTCTGGAAACAACAGCTCCTCCAGTTTAAAAACATCAGTCCAGACATTGCAGATGCAGTGCTAGCAGAATATCCTTCTCCTTATCTTCTCTACAAGGTAAACTGATCATGTATACTAAACAAAGCTTCCACATACATGGTACAAACTTTCTGTATCAAGTTTATCCATGCCCTTTGTCACTTGTGTGTTGTCCAAATGAAAACACTTAAAAATTTAACATCTCCATAAAAAAATTCACATATGTGATCATTTACTTGGAGTTTGAAAATAAGTGTGAATTCTCTTTGTCCTAAAAATTAAAAACATCATCTGACTTGTCTCAAGTTTGTTTCTATTGTGACTTTAAATGACCACCTAACTACAAACCTAAAGGTATTGACATTTGTCCACTTTGTATATGAGATTAGGTACTTTAAATTGTACATGTGATTTTGCAGTTGAATGATATACAAGATGCTGTCATTGGCCATCTGGTCTTTCAAAAATTAAAAATGTCAACACTTTTGATACTTTTTAGTAAGTAATGGGTGGATCTTTTAAAATTTTGCATGTTCCTCTTAAAGTCTTATGTTATTTTGAGATAAACTATAAGTTCTAAAACAAGATATCCACCATATTGCAACCATTTTTAAGTATAACTTTCCAAGTTTTATAATGCTATTTCTGTAATATCACTGGAAATTTTTTCTCACATTTCACCTATGGTTCCCCTGAAGAATGAATATGCTTTTCATTAAATTGAATGAGAGACATGCAGACTTCAAATGAATGTTAAAAGAACGGTGTAGCGAGTGTAGGTGACAAGCTGACAGTCCTTAGTAATTTAGCTCATATCAACTGGCCCTGAAGGTGATGAGTGACAGTATGTTATAACTCTCACTGTTGTGTACGATGGTCAAGCTATAGAAAGGATGTATGCCCGCTGTTCAAGGCATATCATACACTTGCTCTATATAAATTCATGCATAATATATGTATTATCACCAACAGGTGTATAAGTCCTGTGATAAGCCCATCGCTGGACATATTAGCCTCCTGTGCTTATTGCATGACGAAGACAGTAGTCTAGTCCCCTTGAAAAGAAATATTTGCATTTAATTGAGTTTCTTCAAGGTACAAGTACTGCCCTGTGGAGTTTGAATGTTCTCAGACCATAGCCATCTGCTTTGATAATGATAAGATTTTTTTCTTTTATTATCTAGGTGAATGCCTATGACAAGACATTCAGCTTGACAATAACCAGTAAAGTGGGTTTGCTTTTCCACAAAGACTACCTCCTTGTCATGAACTAATTATTAACTCTTTCAGGCATTGACTGAATGTACAGATGAGACTAGTGCCTCTCGCCTTTTAGAGAACATTGTGGTAAGTGTTGACTTTCATAGTATCTTACTGTAATATCTTTTCTAACTTCACACCCTATCATTACACCAGAAGCAGCAAGCATCAGCAAATAATGAGTAAGCAGTCATTATCTTTCATCACATTTGATCACAACATGGAATTACATCTTTAATTGTACCTCCTGGTTACAACAAGCTGTTAAAAGTTCTGTTACATTTGTAGTATGTGTTTATTGATTTTCTATCATCACCTTTCCAAAGTGACAGCATTCGCATTCGTCTAATGGCTGTCTATGGCTATTGTATTTCACAAGTAACTAGATAATGGATTGTATATCACAGGAAACCTGATATTGATAGAGTAAAAGTAGCAACTTGTATTTACAGGTGAGACGTGGAACAGGTGTGCTTGGAACAACTCGTCGAATTGGCAAGGAAATGTCTCGTAGGATATACCTGTTTTTGACAAGCAGAAATCCAAATGTCATCATTAAATAACCTAGTTTTCTAGGGAGATTCCTTATTTTTTTCACATACAATTATTAACACAGTGTGACTGACAACTGGAGCCATCGTTACTTGATTTACCATTTATTTTATAAGAAACAAAGTAACAACAATATTTAAGAGATATCAACTTCTACAAGACTGAATACCTATATGGTAGTAAAAATACACTTTGTGTCATACAAATCTATTACTACAGAATAAAATACTAAATTCGTCAGTTTCTGAGGCACATATTAATAATTGTAATACAAATGCAGAAGTTGTCAGATTGTATCTGCATAAAGGTATGAAAAAACACATTTATTTTTCATTGCTTAATACATGATAAAGGTACATAAATGAGTATTTTCACTATTGCACCTTCCGGTACCTAATGCAATTTCCATTTACCTAATTATGTACATCAATATTAATTCGCTTTACTTCTCAGGGTAGTGACCACTGGTGATTCCTTTCTTAATCCGGTATGAAGAAATCTGACAAATGTACAACTACTGTATTTTTATATTTAGAACTATATTGTTTTAAAAGCAAACAATGAAATATGTTATTTATACTTATGACCAATACAATTTGATAAATAAAATATAGACTTTCATTTAATGGCAGTCATTTTATATGTTCGCAATCATAATTTTGATTGGCATCAGAACAGTGATTAGCCTCATCTGTCAATACACACTTATTGCTTGTGCCAGTGTTATGAGATGCAAGGTGCAGAGTAATTAAATGTTTATAATAAATAGGTAAAACTTCACTCTGGATATTCAGGAACACCTTTGTAATGCACAGCTACAGAGGAGGTGAGGCTTTAAGAGATGTGGATGCATCTGATTTGCATTCAAACAAGCATAAACTGACTGTTAAATATCTTTCATTCATTTACATACAAGCTGAATTTTTAAAAAAGGCAATGGGTTTTTGGAGTAATTCCTATTCTACCTACTCCAGATTCTGTGAGTGGACACAAGATCAAGTGTGCAGCACTGTCAAGGTAAATGCAGGTTTAAAGTATGTGAGATTCAAAATGTATTACTTTAGTGATGAAAAATGCTGCCATTAAAATGGGTACTTTCATGCAAAACCTGACAGTTATGAAAGCTTTTTTGGACTGGCATATATGGTTTTCAAACCTATAAAACCCTCTTAAAGTGCCTTGGGATGTATTACCTACATACAATGACTACAGTATGAATAATTTGTTAAGTCAGTGTGAACAAACCTTTAATATTGAGTAAAAAAAATAATGTCATGATGTTAATGGTTTGATGAAATGCATTTTTTTCTGATTTATATTTACAATACTTAATCTAATTGGTATACCTGCCCCTAAATAGTGAACGACACCATTCATTTATTTCTGGGAAAGAAAATGGGCATGTGCAATTAAAGCCTGTTAAAAGGTTGCTTATTTCCCCGATGTCAATGTAGTACTTAGGCTGCATTCGTGTAACCCAGATGAAACGGTTGAAGTGATCTGGAATTATTCTACTATACCGAATGCATTGTACCAGATGTTGAACCTGATATATGTGGAGTTCAATATGAAGTTTCAGAAGTTACTGCCATGCATAAATCAATCAACTAAAAGGAACATACCATCCATTTCACTCATACTTCAAAGCACAATGCTCCTGAAAATATATGAGTGTACTGACTCTAAATTTTATGCTGAAATTCTGAAAACTAATGGTATTAAGCAAGTTAGATTCACAGAGGTACTGTTGGACCCCTCAAACTGCACATGTCAAATATTCTGCAGTCCAGCCTCCGTCCTGAACTGTACCTGGCATTTTTCTTGCAGGTTCAGCCAGTCCAACCGTTTAAACTGCTTACACGAAAGCACCCTTAGTCTTTAAATTGGTGCCTCTCATTTGATCTGTCAGAGTAACTTTAGAAATGTTTTTTTGTCACCAAATTGCATGCCCAAACAAATTTCATTTGAATTAAGTATCTTTAATGAGCATGCCCTCCTCCCCTACATTTTTTCACTCTTTCATTATAACTCATGATTAATGTAAACATATGATGCTGTGGATATACAATGTGTTTTTTTAAACAATTTGACAAAAACTAAGAAAAAAAATGTATTTACAATGATATACATATTGCTTTCACAATAACTAACATTAAAGGACGGCATGATGTTGAAAATACAAAACACAAGAACTATAACATTGATAAACAAAGTGTAACTGGAATATTTGAATTTTTTCCACTTCATTCAGACTTGTACACATCACCACCTTCATTGTTTACGCGTATAACTTCATTTGTTGTTGGACTTCGTCGAGGCTATTGACTCCAAACTTTTCATTCTGTGTCTGCATCAGTTGGAAAATGTTTTGAAGTTGTTGTTGCTGAATCTCCAGTTCTTCTTTTACCTGTTCTGGTGTCAGCTCCTCCACAATCTTCTTTGTCGTAACTCGTTGTTTGGCCTTCTTCACTTCACTCTGAATATGTTCACAGTACTCTACAGGATCTATGTCATCCAGATTAACCCCTCCTACAAAAATGAAAATTCAGATCGACAGTAGGAATGTTGTACAATTCCTGTCTTCTTAGTAACTCTACTAATAGTATTTCACCATTTTTTCAGAGGGTAGTGTAGGGATTGTTTTTGTCAAAAGTGTTGACTATCCTGCCAACATATTATGAAATAACTGAATTATATCACACAAGATGATGTATCAACCATTATTACATTATTTTAGTATAAACAAATGGGCATCCATGCATGCTGCTTCCAGCAGTCTTCATTAATATTTATTTAAAACATGCTTTAAACAAACACGTTTAGATGACATTTTATTCGTCATGGCGTCATTAGTCAATATCGATCATAAACTAAAGCAGACGAGGGACAATTCCTCAAACCAAATAAGACGAATTTCGCGTATAGATATACATTTTCAAATAGAAGCAACTGTTCATACCATCACATTATCTTGTGGCCATTCATGTTTGTTTCCATAGAAACGTCAGAATGAAATCACGTTAACCATATTTTTATATGTAAAAGATACAATACTGATAATGTATTTTCGCTATCAAATAGACTGAACGGAAGACAACAGTTATTAGACAGCAAAACTTTATGATACATCAGTTATTCTATAACTTCAAACCATTACGCCTACCATTATCTTCCGAATCGATTTCCGACACAACACCTGCTGGCTTCGCTGGATTTTCTTCGACAGAATCTGTCGGAGCTGCTGCAGAGGCGACATCATCTTCTTGTGTCGCGTCAGTCGTAACTGGCTTCGGTTGACCTTTTCTCCATATCCGGAGAATGTTTCTGAACGTGTAAACAGTTGACAAAGAAAGTATAACTACTGTTATCACAATTGTTACAGAGCTTGATAGCGAAACGTTAATCCCCAAAATCTCCATCGCCATAAAGCAAATTTACCGTCTGCAGCGTTTCCTGAAATCACGCAAATTCTCAAATGACACGAGATAATAAAAAAAAGCGTCCAAATGATTCAGTTCAAGATGTCTGCGCCCATGACAGGTATTCTGATAGTGTTCAGTCACATTTTTCCGGGAAGCTTTTATTTGAAATATATAATTTTCTTAACGTTCCACTGTAACTTTATATTTCTTTCATTGAGAAAGACATATATCTACCAAGAACTGAAGCAACATTATTCAAATAAAGCAAATATATAAAATAACATCCCTTTTGGATTCCTCTTCGACGGGGAGATTCACTGGAATTAAATATGTACTGACAGGGATGTATAAAAGGCGATGGGAACTATGATATCTTCACAGCTCAGTGCACAAAAACAAAAGCTAAGGCCAGATCAGCCTCCATTGGGCCTTGTTTCCAGTCTTTACATTATACACTGATACACGATAAGGACAAATCCGCATATGGGAAACAGCACTGCATTTGAGTGACACTCACTGCTTCGAGTTTCTCAAAATGCGTCATCTTTTTAACATGTCCCAATGTCCAATATGATTGTATACATTTGCGTAAGAAACATTTATGTATGTTATCTAACTTTGCTGAAACGGCAATTTGAAATGTCATACGCAAAGTTGCCAATTACACGCCAATTGGGATGTGGATTTGTCTCTAAAAATAGCCCATATTCTTTAAACAGTAACTTTTGTAACTTATTTTTCAAAGTCGCATTAATCTATGACAATGTAAATATTTTTTATTGAAAGATGTTTCAAGAAAGTTCTGGCTATCTAGAAACTTGATATAACAGTGGCTCCTTTTGTAACTGTACTTTTGTAACATAGGTCATATAGAATGTAATTATTGCATCTATTTTTTATATGTTTCCATGTTCAAAGAAAATTGCAGTTATATATTTCATGGCAACTTAAGTTAGACTTGGGCAAAAAAAAAAAAAAAAATGAAAAAAAAATCAGTTTAAAGTGATTTCAGCTGTTTTTAGTAACAAATCCATATCCCATTTGGCATATGATAGGTTAGCTTGCATATCATACACATGGTTTTCTCTGACCTGATAAAGCTATTGAGAGCATATAGTGATAATGTCATAGGTGAGTATAAATTAACCATTGTTCTATCTTAGCCACACTACAAGCAATGGAGGTTATAATGTTTATAATTTTTGCAAAAAGTAAGACACCTTAATAATGATCACTTTGTGTAAAAGTATAAAATGATGTATTGGTTAATGGGGTATTGTCAAAAATATGACACCTGTTTTTCTGTTAAAAGTGTTTAAAAGAACATCATATTTGAAGTATGCCCAATTTGAGTAATCAATTTATTACCCAAAGCACTAACTGTCACTCAAATGCAGGACTATTACTCAAATGCAGGATTGTGCCCAACCTGTTATGCAGTAAAGAGAGAGTCCAGGTCATCTTACTGGCCTTAGGTAGTCAAGATTTTCTTCCATTCCAGCAGTAGACAGAAGGGTTGTGAGTTTAAACACAAGCAGGCTATTTATCATTACTCTTTATTACAAATTTGGTGCTGTTGAACTGATCTCACTACATTATGATAAAAAATCTAGATTTCAACATGTTTTGTGATTTACCAGAGTACTTAAACAACTCAAGTCCTGGATTAGAAAAATAATTACAAAGTATATACATTTCACAACTTACAAAATGAAGACTAAAATCTGAACACAGCCATGTTTTGGTATCAGCATCAGTCCCCATTAAAAATTAACCAACTAATGGATTGATACCTGGCTTCAGAAGGAGGGGATAATAAATGTCATTAAAAGGAGATCACCATCATGCTGCTGATTATAGGAATAACCACAGTATAAAATTTAAACATTTGCTTGCCATGATAACATGGTAAATATCATGCTACAAATGACCCCATAGCCACAAAATGTTTTCTATTGCTTGGTATGAAAATGTAAATCAATCATAATATGTAATTTTCCATGGTGTTTTTGTCGAAAGCTACAGCATACAAAGCATAAACAGTTTGGTTAGTGAGCATGAAGAGATGATTTTGAATGTCCTGCTATAATTGGCCCTGGGCTCTACCCAACACTTGGTTTATTTGAGGGATCTATTGACAAATATGTTTTTGGTCCAACAATTTACAAACATATATATAATACTTATATGTCCTACTTATTGGCATTTAAATATTTCATTGGTGCTATCAGGACTTACTGCCAGGAGATTATAAATATGTGTACTGGTTCTTGTTTCATATTAAAAGATCTTATCAACTTAGGAGTGTATGGCTGCAAAATGTGGCATTTGGGAAATAGAAGGTACATGGATGACTAACATTGAACTAGAGGTGAAGACCTTTTTGTCCCATATTGAACATGTCTTGATTGTCTTGTGAAACTGAACTATATTTGATTGTTAAAGGTACAGACCACTTATCCCACATTGAGCATGTCATTCTTGTCCTGTCTGGAAAAGGTGGTGTTGGTAAGAGCACTGTGGCCACACAGATAGCTCTCGGTCTGAAGCATGCTGGGAAGAAGGTAGGTGTGATGAACATTTTACTTGTTCACTCCCATACACTGAAGCAAAATAATGCATCAAATTATGTCTGTCACTTCATCCTAAATGCCAATACATTCCAAAGTCTCCTTTTTGTTAACATTTTCTACCTATGTCCTCAAACTCTTCAAGTGTTCCTCGAAATTTCATAGAACTTATATAATGTGATGATATGACTAGTCAAATAGTGGTTGTGTGTTCTGTAAGTTTCCTTCCTCTATGTTTCATAGATTAGAAATTCTGTTCTGTTTATGGAGAGAAGAAATTCTGAAATACTGTCATATATGTTGCAGGTTGGATTATTGGATCTGGATTTATGTGGACCAAGTATTCCTCGTATGTTTAACTTGGAAAACCAAGACATCCACCAGTGTCCTGAAGGGTTTGTACTTTAAAATCAATTATCTTAACTTTTTCCAAACAGATGGTAATTTGCATCTATTGATGTGAGAATTCTGATCATATGTTGTATGACGGAACGTATTATGGTATGGGGTTGTCTGTCCGTCCGTTCGTCGTAAACTTTCCTTGTCCAGGCCATAACTTTGTGAGTCCTTGTTCTATTGTCACCATACTTTGTACACATATATATCTCAAGGTGATGGAGTATCGCATATAAAAATTGCCTGCCTTGCATGCATAGTTTCTGAGTTATTCCCCCTTAGTTGATTTTTCATAAAATTCTCTTGTTAGTATATAGTGAATGTAAACTATTTTCACATACTATATTAGCAAATGGTGGTATGACATGACTGAAACTTCCCCAAAGGATATTTAGATTATTCCAAGGCAACTTACTTATTCAGTCAAATACTGCTTCTCCATCAAAGACGGTCAGGCATATCAGAAAATAATCTTTGATTATTAAAGCTGAAAATGATTGAAATTATTTCTTGAGAAACAATGAGACACCATCTCAAACAGCAGACTTTAGTCACCTTTGTAATGCATGTATGATTTTATTATTGATTGGAAGAATTATATTTTGAATATTGATATATTCTCATAAAATACTGGTGGGATCTTTCTGAAGTTTCATATGGGTGTGAGATCAAATTAAAATTGATTAATATAGTTGCTTTGGTCAGTATTATTCCATTAAAATTGGTTGCAAAATTCTGAACCAACATATCACAGGTATCAACACAAGAAATAATTAAGAGAAATGATGAAGTTTTCATAGAACCAAGCAAGAAACATCAAGATGGTTACCAAGGGCCCCCCATTTTGATCTATCATAGTTACTTCCCTTTCCGTATAGTATAGTATAGAAATAGGCTCGACAGCTGCAAGAGGCTGAAAATGAGATCCATCTGGATTCCTTTTTTTATTTAGAAATTTGTCTGCATTCATTACAAATCTGATGACATGTCAGATATTATGCATAAAAGTTTTATATCAGCACCCAAATTCACCTCTAATAGCCAACTCAGGCTAAATGGTGGTATCAACACAAAGACTTAATCTTTTCCTTAAAATCCAACATACCTGTATTATGTAGAATGAGTCTAATTAAGTACAACAGAGATATTTTAGTCTTCTGGTAATTAGATCATTTTGTGATTAGATGGCTGCCTGTATTTGTGGACAAGGACCAGCACCTGTCAGTCATGTCCATAGCATTTCTCCTAGAGGATGCCAATGATGCCATTGTGTGGAGAGGCCCTAAGAAAACAGGTGACAAAATCTTGCCAATTATTGTGGAGTTCTGCAATGTTTTCTGAATCTAGGAAACACTTCAAACATATGTCAATTATTTAATTCTTCTATCAGTTACTTAACTTTATATACAGTGTATAAAAGTATAAGCATACTCCTTAAAAGTTTAGCGAGAATATTTGCAATTATAATTTTTAATTTAAGATTAAGCCATATACAGTGTATAACAGAATTGGTCTGCTGAAGCCAAATTGTTTCAAAAAGTTCCAAAGTAATAAAGTGTATAGTGGCCTGGTTTAACTACCATCATCATATAAGTACGTGTACTTCAGCTATGATAAAGCAGTTCCTCAGTGATGTGGTTTGGCGTGATCTTGAGTACCTGGTGATAGACACGCCTCCTGGCACTTCAGATGAACATATCAGTGTGGTAGAGAGTCTCAAGTCCTACAACCCTGATGGAGCTGTTCTTGTTACTACACCTCAGGTACACCATTATCATATATATCACAGTGGAGATTGTGTAGTGAAATAAGTCTCCAATCTCTATAAACTGTCTATATTGTCCATTAATCCCATTACCTGGGTATCTATTCTTAAACTGAACAATTATAGTTTTGTCTCTTATTTGGCCAGACTCTTCAGAAAAATATTTTTATGGTCCTACCACAATAGTAAATTGGCTAAAATTATATTTATCCATATCAGTAACAACTTTGGGAGAAAATAGGTCAATCTGTTCTTAACTGTCATTGATTATTTAGCCAGCAAATCTATTTGCTACAAACCGGATCAGATGGTATGGATATGAGAACACTTTTAAATTGTGATTGTTGAAACCTAAAAACATTCAGCTCACCTGTCAAGAAAATTGAAATTAGATATTAGGAAGAGGTCATGAGATGACTTCTCCCTTGAATTTTCTGAATTTCAATAAAGTGGACAGCAGTGTTCTGGAATAAGTTAATATAGATGTGTATATTGTTATCTGTTACAAATTTATATACAATGTACTTGCTTGTGAAGGGTGGGAGTAGCATGTGGATTCATGAATGAAGTGTTTCTGATATTGTTACTGTAGCATGGTGCGATGAAGGGCTACCAAGTTTATCCAAGTGAATTAATTTGACCCACTTTCTAGGTCACAGGGGTCAAATGTTTGAGTATTTGTATTCATTTTCAGTTGGAATTACAAAACAGGTTGGAATTTCATTGTCAAGGAAGTTCAATGTTTTGAAAACTTCTATGCAGGACCCTAACAGTTGGATATGTTCAAATTTCTGTAATGGCCTTTAAATCCAAACTTGCTACAAACAATACTGTATAGAATTTAATATTTATGCTAGATATTGGTTAAGGCAGTTTTGTTAAGTTTGTGCTTGTCATTTGTTGAAAACAAAAAATTCAAATTGGGTGGACGTTAAGGCCCATGGGCCTCTTGTTTTGTTCAACCCTATGTTAAGCTCCATTTCTCTGATGCTATCACTTAGAAAGTCACATGTTGTAAGAGGATTTCTTCTACTGAGAAGTACACTGTCCTGCATTGTCTGGTCCAGTCGCACAAAGTTAATTTCTGCAATGCAGAAGAAAGAAAGGGACATAAGTCAATATTCTGATTGGTTGAAATATGAATTTATTATATCAACAGGCAGTTGCTGTTGGAGATGTTCGCAGAGAATTAACCTTCTGTAAGAAGACACACATTCCGGTCATTGGTATTATTGAGAACATGAGTGGTTTTGTCTGTCCACATTGTACAGTAAGTGTGACCTTGTTAATTTTGTCTGTCACATTGTACAGTAAGTTTGACCTTGTTGATTTTGTCTGTCACATTGTACAATAAGTTTGACCTTGTTGATTTTGTCTGTCTACATTGTACAGCAAGTTGTACCGCATTAATTTTCACTTAGATGTACATTAAGCAAGTTCTTGTTTAGTATACCACATGTCATTGGTTATTTCTGCCTCATTTTACATGATAAAAAATACCATTTCAAGATATTATTTGCATGTATGTGTGTAACTTTCTTGGAAAGCAATTAGTTTCTAGATTAAGGCTTTATTGAAAGATGTTCAGTCATTACATGGAAGGTATACTGATTTTCATTGTTTTCAGGAATGTACAAACATTTTTTCAAAGGGTGGTGGGGAGGCTTTGGCGAAGCAGTTTCATGTTCCTTTCCTTGGTAAGTGTACAGCTACATCGTTCATAAGATAATTTTATAGTGCATGATATGAAATGTTTATTTTTTTTGTTTTCTTGGCAATAAAAAAAATCCTGAAAAAAAATTGCAATGGGAAAAGGATTTAAATTATATTTATATGGTATCCTCAAACATTTCTTCTTCCTGAAAGCGATGTCTCGGGCTTAAACTGTGAAAGGAAGTATTTACCAAGGTATGAAGATTTCCCTCTTATACAGTACAACATTTCATAGCATGTTTTTGGTAGAAAGTTTAAACAACTATTTATAACACCTCAGTGTTATACTTTGGTGTAAAACATGGCCCACCTCTGTGGATAATACTTTGATGTAACATATGACACACTTCTGTGGATAACACCTTTTGATGTGACACATGACACACCTCTGTGGATAACACTTTGATGTAACACATGACAGACCTCTGGATAACACTTTGATGTAACACATGACACACCTCTGTATAACACTTTGATGTAACACATGACACACCTCTGTATAACACTTTGATGTAACACATGGCCCACCTCTGTGGATAACACTTTGATGTAACACATGACACACTTCTGTGGATAACACTTTGATGTAACACATGACACACCTCTGTGGATAACACTTTGATGTAACACATGACACACCTCTGTGGATAACACTTCGATGTAACACATACCACACCTCTGGATAACACTTTGATGTAACATATACCACACCTCTGTATAACACTTTGATGTAACATATACCACACCTCTGTGGATAACATTTTGATGTGACACATGACACACCTCTGTGGAGAACACTTTGATGTAACACATACCACACCTCTGTGGATAACACTTCGATGTAACACATACCACACCTCTGGATAACACTTTGATGTAACATATACCACACCTCTGTATAACACTTTGATGTAACACATGACACACCTGTGTGGATAACATTTTGATGTGACACATGACACACCTCATGGAGAACACTTTGATGTAACACATACCACACCTCTATGGATAACACTTTGATGTAATACATACCACACCTCTGGATAACACTTTGATGTAATACATACCACACCTCTGGATAACACTTTGATGTAACATATACCACACCTCTGTATAATACTTTGATGTACCACATGACACACCTCTGTTCATAACATTTTGATGTGACACATGACACACCTCTGTGGAGAACACTTTGATGTAACACATACCACACCTCTATGGATAACACTTTGATGTAATACATACCACACCTCTGGGTAACACTTTGATGTAACATATACCACACCTCTGTATAATACTTTGATGTAACACATGCCACTCTTTTACAGGTTGTATCCCTCTTGACCCCAAGTTAACTCACTGTCTGGAGCAAGGGAAGAACTTCTTGGAGGCCTATAGCGATACACCAACTCACAAAGCATTAGATGCTGTCATAGAGAGACTTATCCGCATTGACAGAGATCTTCCCTGATCTTAGAGAATCTTTCGCCTTTGATCTTGTACCTGGGACCACAAGCACTCTTTTGGCCAATACTGGTCAATAATGATGGAATATGCACTGAAGCAAGAGAATATGCCACTGTTAATTGGAACACCTAAGAATTGTATTTATTGATGTTTTGAACACCTAAGTCGACTGGTATTGATGTTGGTATTATAGTATTAGTGATATATACCCTGGTATTTATTTCTGTAATTGTCTGCTTTAAACGTGTGTATTGTAATGTTTTTGTCCAAAACTCCTGCCCCACTCTAGACTTGTGGATACAATACTGTGAAATACACCTCTTATAGTCTCCCTTCTATTTCCGTACTTTACTGAAATATCTGCTATTTTCACATTTCCCTACCAAGAGGTGGTGGGACTAGTCATTACACAAAATGTGTTGGAATAAGGAGATGAACTAAACCTTGACAATGCCAAAAAATATGTGGTCCAGGTTCCACCTGTTGTATCATTTATCCTCCACGAAGTTATAATTATTTTAGTACTCCTGAATTGTGTTGTAGGCCATTAGCTGATATTGATTGCACCTAACCCATGATATATATTGGTTGGTCTCATTTGAAATGTGGTGACCTCTGCTACAGTTTTTCACACTGTGCCTTTCACAGTTGTCAATATTCTACTATGAAATCTATGCAAGGTATTGTCAAAGCTTTTATAGTTTATTTCTGCAGGTGCTTTGGCCCACAACAGTGTACTGTATCATGGCATAGAGGACATGGTCTCCTACTCAGTGTTGTGTGTCCTGTTATAGTCGATGAAAAAGAATTATCTTGATAATTTATGTTCTAGAGCTATTTGATATCCAATATTTTTGTTATTACATCAGTAGGGATTTGTTACTGGTTACTGAGAAACCAAAGAGGATTATTTCTGGTGGTGTATAAAGTGCTTAAACCTTAATACGAGTGCAATTTACTTATATGTGAAAAAAGTATGCAGTGTGTAAAACATAAGTTTAACAGCGATATATGTATATCTCCATGATGAAATGTAAAGGTGAGGATTTTACCAAACCTATAGTGACATTTCTCATAATGTTGATTATATAAAGTTTATCTTCAATCTGTAATTTAAATGTATTGTTAACAGAAGTTAGAGCATTGTATGAGAACTGAACAAAGGACGTGGTGTTGGGTGATTGTTTAGCTTAATTTACATGGAAAATGTAAAGTTTTTGTCCTGTTTTTGTCTGTTTGAGCTACCGGGTAGGAGTTGATATTATTCTTAAAAAGACAGAAAATTAGTTAGAAAATGATTCCAGAAGCGTAATAGTTCATTTGTCTGAAAAAACTGTCTCTATTCCACTAACAGGAGAGTTAAGCATGTATAGAAATAATTTTTGCTGTTTTCAGATATGACAGGTTGTCCTCTTTCAACAGTTGTAGGCAGAATGCAGGATTTTATTATCTTGAATTTTATTTTGTTCAAATGTAGGTGTTTGTTTTGTGTTAACAGTGGTAAAACATGTGTATGATGTGTGATGTTTAAGGGTCAGTTCAATATAGTTAGAATGTTTTTATCAGATTAAAAGTCTTTCATAAAGATAAAGTATGATGCTTCTTCTGTAGCCATATCAGAATTCTATTGATCACAAAATCTGATGGACATTCACAAATGATTGATAGTGTAATAGTAACTTCCAAGCTATGTCTCAGTCATAGGCACAAACAGGTAAGAACAATATGATACCGTAATATGTACATAGGATACAAATTCTTACTCTGTTGTAATGGATTCAGGCCTTGAATTATCAGTGTGTTTCATTAGAAACATTTACAAGTTATCAACTATGCGATATCTTGTCAGTATCTTCATGATTTTAGATTTGTAAGATGATTAAATTCTTGAAAGCTTCACAAATTACCAGTAGATTACAAACATTCTTGTTATCCTTGGTTTAACACTGGCTGGATACATTTTATATCATTGGTACCTGCAATATTCATTGAAGTCCTATGATTACGTGGATTGAGTATTCGTAATATTATTTAATTGATAAAAATATATCAATAATCAGCAACGTAGTAAATATTCCAACCACAGTGTCCATCATCTCGGTGAAATTTCTCCGTGCATTTAAATTTGGTTTTGTTGAAATTGATTGTTTTAAACATAACAAAGCGTTTTAAAAATATTTCAATTTCAAAGAGAAAACTATGCTTAATGTATTGTAAATTGTGTTGAGCTTTATATTTTACATGCATCAATCCTGATGTACTTGGTTATATGGTTATGGACAGAAGATAAAATAAATGCTATTTGAGAAAACCTTGTTCTCTGTGTTGTTTGGTCCGCAGTATGTGATCATGACAAATGTGAATTGTTGGTCACACATGTTTTTTCTACTGTATACAGCAGATAAGAGCACAGAAAATGGAATAATTTACAAGACACTCACATGATTTATAACACTCGCGATAAAATCTGTTATACATTGTCAGTTTATGTGGAATTTCTTAATATACACATATTATAATTACATTGATTCTGAAAATCTTGACACATAACATGACTCACTATTGGCATGTGGGTGTGTCTCCATGCAGACATGAAATGCGACATATTCATTTATCTCTTGAGACCTATAAGCTAGACTCCACAAAAATCAACTGATGTATCTTGACAAAGACGCATATTGCGACATGTCTCTTTACTGACACGACAAAGACGCATATTGTGACATGTATCTTTACTGACACGACAAAGACGCATATTGTGACATGTCTCTTTACTGACACGACAAAGACGCATATTGTGACATGTATCTTTACTGACACGACAAAGACGCATATTGTGACATGTATCTTTACTGACACGACAAAGACGCATATTGTGACATGTATCTTTACTGACACAACAAAGACGCATATTGTAACATGTCTCTTTACTGACAGAAACTGTGCCGTTAGTTTAGTATGTTTGTAGTGCTTCCAGTTAAAGGTAACACAATCCTGTTGGTGAACAATACTGGTAGATATTGTTTTATAATGATTACCTATACACAGCATAAGATAACGTACATTGTTACTGAGAACCTCCATACATTCATGGCTGTTGTAACATGAAATCAAGTTAATGATACCATTAAGGAGAATAACAGTGCCACTTTGAAATAAAAACTAAGTCTGTGGTTCCTGGTGCTTCATGACATCAGAAAATATAGAAATCATGACAATTTCTAAATAAGAATTGACTTCGGCACCTAATCTGAAATATTCAGCTTACAAAAACATGGGAAATAATTGCACTTTAACCAGACACTCTGGTTAAGAGGCACATAAGAGATTGGGAAATGATTTTAGGAATAGGATATTCCTTGGGGGCCAGGCAACATGGTTGAAGGTGCCCTAAAATGGTTGCACTGTTTGATAGGGTTGGTGATGATGGAAAGTTCCTGACTGATGGGATTTTTGTGATGATGGAGGGTTCCAGATATAAAAAGGGGTTTGTGATGTTGGAGGGTTCCAGACACTGATGGGGTTTGTGATGATGGAAAGTTCCAGGCACTGATGGGGTTTGCAATGATGGAGGGTTCCAGACACTGGTGGGGTTGTGATGATGGAGGGTTCCAGACATTGATGGGGTTTGTGATGATGGAGGGTTCCTGACACTGGTGGGGTTTGTAATGATGGAGGGTTCCTGACACTGATGGGATTTGTAATGATGGAGGGTTCCAGACATTGATGGGGTTTGTGATGATGAAGGGTTCCAGACACTGATGGGGTTTGTGATGATAGAGGGTTCCAGACACTGAAGGGGTTTGTGATGATGGAGGGTTCCAGACACTGGTGGGGTTTGTGATGATGGAGGGTTCCAGACACTGAAAGGGTTTGTGATGTTGGAGGGTTCCAGACACTGATGGGGTTTGTGATGATGGAGAGTTCCAGACACTGGTGGGGTTTGTAATGATGGAGGGTTCCTGACACTGAAAGGGTTTGTGATGATGGAGAGTTCCAGACACTGGTGGGGTTTGTGATGATGGAGGGTTCCAGACACTGAAAGGGTTTGTGATGATGGAGGATTCCAGACACTGGTGGGGTTTGTGATGATGGAGGGTTCCAGACACTGAAAGGGTTTGTGATGATGGAGGGTTCCAGGCACTGATGGGATTTGTAATGATGGAGGGTTCCAGACACTGAAAGGGTTTGTGATGATGGAGGGTTCCAGACACTGATGGGATTTGTAATGATGGAGGGTTCCTGACACTGATGGGATTTGTAATGATCCATGGTTCCAGATTATAGTTAATCTAGAAATCAGTTATAATTTTTAAAGCTGTGTGAAATATGAAATGTATGTTGTCGAACACACTTTATAGAATGTCGGCGGTTACCATCAAATGCAAAGAAAATATAAAACATTTTATTGAATAATATGATAAACATTGGATCCCGTTTTTGTTTAAGAGAGAGCCTGTAATTAAGCTAACATGCATTTCTGTTACACTTCTAAACATGTCACGTGTCCCTAATGGGGCTACAGTATTCCAAACAGGGCAGTTATAAGTTTTGAAGACAAATTCTTTTGTCTTTCTGTTGGACATTTAAATGTTCCTCCTTATAAATCTGATACACTTGTCTGACCATGTTGACAGGCTAGGAAACAAAGCCAGTTTTGACGTGCCGATCTAGGAATCAGATAACACTTGGTTCACATTCTGTATATTGAACTCGTGTCCTTGGTGTCCAGTTTTAGTAGGTTTTACTCTGTGACGTTAATTACGTGTCCGGTTTTTGTAGGTTTCACTCTGTAACATTACCTAAGTGTCCGGTTTTTGTAGGTTTCACTCTGAAATTACCTACGTGTCCGGTTTCTGTATATTTCACTCTGTGACATAACCTACGTGTTCGGTTTCTGTAGGTTTCACTCTGTGACATTACCTACGTGTCCGGTTTCTGTAGGTTCACTCTGTGACATTACTTATGTGTCCGGTAGTAGGTTTCACGCTGTGACATTACCTACGTGTCCGGTTTCTGTAGGTTTCACTCTGTGAAATTACCTATGTGTCCGAGTTTCTGTAGGTTTCACTCTGTGACATTACCTACGTGTCCGGTTTCTGTAGGTTTCACTCTGTGACATTACCTACGTGTCCGGTTTCTGTAGGTTTCACTCTGTGACATTACCTACGTGTCCGGGTTTCTGTAGGTTTCACTCTGTGGTATTACCTACGTGTCCGGTTTCTGTAGGTTTTACACTCAGTGCTGTTGCCATCGGTGTAGTCTTCTTCATTGTTTTAAGATATGTGATATACGTGTGTATCGACCGAGGGTCTGATTTTGAGGGTTCTCGCTACAGTTTGGTGTTTGTAAAGTTTCAGTCTCTAGCGGCGGCTTAATCATTAAATACGTCAGTTTACACGAGTTGCTACGTTTTTGGACACATGCCTGCATGTTATACAATAATTCAATGTATTCATTTCTTGTCTCTAATTGATTTCCTCTGCTCTGCTTAACACCAGTTGTCCTAATATTATGTACTCTCTGAATCGATTAAGTTCATGATTATTCCCTTAGTATTATCAACCTATCATGTTGGTTTGATATCACTTATTACCGGTAACTTTCTATCATATATTTATTTCATTTATTCAGCCAGTTAAATATTAGGACGAATGGTCTTTTTTTATCCACTTTCATGATATTACTGATCGAATCTCTGAAGATATTTACGACATTTAAACAACTTATGAAATATTAAGCAAAACGTCCAAAGTTATTTTTCACCATTTGGAAAACTTACTGAACTGACGATGGAAACTCTTTTTCTAGCAAAGATACCTCTTCAGGGACCACATGTAGAGCACAGGGGCTTGTAACAATGTTTCTGGGAGATAAGACCTTGTACATAATGTAACAAGTCCCTGTGTTTCAGAGCAGGCGAGCTTTGCCCATTGTGGCTATTGTTTATAGACTTGATAGGGTAGTTCTTTGTCCGGTGACATGGCAGATCATAACTGAAATCATCACCCAGACAACCTAAAAGTTTTTTTTTAACTGTTCTGTTTTAATATCCAAGCATTATGAAATACAAATTCGAGAACCAGTTTTGTTTATTTCATTATACATCCTTTATCTGATCGTATTTTAGAGACGTGGGGTTTTTGAATAGTCTAGGTTTATACTGACCTATCCCAATGTTTAGTTTAACAAGGGTTAATATTCGTTACAAATGAAACCTCCAGACGTATACACCCTGTGCATGTTTCCGTAGACCGAATTGGATGCAAGAGAGACAATTTTTTTAAAAATATATAACATTATATATATATATATATATATTATATAGATCCGTGATGTCATGTTAGTATGCATCTCGAATCGCAGGCGCTAGTCATGTCTGTGGAGACCCGAAGGTATAATGCATGTATATATTCTAACATTAATGTTCGTGTAATTATTAATATATGACCTCAAAGTTATCAGATTCGTATGATACTCACCAAAGACGTTTCATACGATATAAAAAGAACTCCATCGAAAGCAAAACCTCGACTGTTACATATCCTTTGGTCTCTTTGTCATCTTTAAAGAACACCCACCAGTCACAAGTGGAACTTCCCACTGCAATATTTTATCGCCTTACAGAACACAAGTATTACATAAAATTTCAAGAGTCACATCCGACATATTCAAAATGTCAGCCTCATATCTTTATACATATATTCTCTGCGTACCACAGGTCAGCCATGAATGTGCACAACTTGTAGAAAGGACAAAACAGATTCTGACAAATAGATGATACAAATGATATTGATATTGATGGAAAAAATAGGTCCATAATTTCCACACGGACAATAGATCATTTTATTTTAATGAGCATATAGATTCATCATGTAGATCTACATAACATACCAATGTTTTCGTTTTAGATATTTTAGACACACACACTGAGGACATTTTGGTGTTAGAAGACGATCCCGACTGGTCAGTGTCCTCACTCATAACACAGTATCACACTGTTTCTACTATTAAGCATTCTCCAACAGAATATTGCGGGTTCTGAAGAAGACGACAAAACACGACTCGTTCTCTTTCATCTCTCACTGTGATGACTAGATATACACAGACAAAAGCGAGCGCGTCAGATCATCTAATATTTGCACTCGATCTTCATATGCCATCGCTTTCCTTCTTTTCCAGTTCATTGAGAATCGCAAGCTACTTTTACTTGGTATACTCGTTTAGCCGTAGCGAAAGACCTTGACTTTCCCGCGGTCAAAGCCGACCCAAAGGATGTTTTCGTTTTGGAGGCTGACAGCCACAGGCCTAGCCTGGTCAACATGGAGTGTACTGAGATAGCGTCCTTCCCTATTCACCAATAACAAGGATCGGTTGTTCCTATCCGCCACGATCAGATTCCCGCTGGCATCGAAACACATATCATATGGATCAAAGAACGGTCCAGATTTCTTCTTGCCAGCCGAATCGCTCTTGTTGCCTCTGTATCGGAACTGGAGGAGGAGGTTGGAGTCCATAACCATGACATGAGGTTTGTCATCACCACCCCATTCCGGATCGTCACCATCAGCTACTGCAATGTTCCCAGACATCGGACACTGAGCGATGTGGCGCGGAAAAGTGACCATCTGTCGCTTCGTGCGGTCTGTAGTGGTGCGCTGAACTACCTCGCCTTCTGGTGTGTAAACCGTCACCGTTTTGTGTGTACCGACCATCACCTTGTTGTCACGAGTGATACAAATAGAGAGCGGCAGGTCAGTCGAGTGGAACCTTACCCGCGGTGTCTTCTCAGATGGTCCTGCCTCCCTAATCTTGTAATCGTCTTCGGTTGACACCCACATATTACCTGTGACTGGCGACAGGCAGAGGTCGTCTGGAATAACCTTGAGTTCGCGCTTGTCCTTAACTTTGCCTTTCTTGTTTACGAGGAGGATGTCATACGTGAATATGTCAAGGATCCAAGTATATGGAGTGTTGGACACAGAATGCAGAGAGTGGATGTCGGTCATGTGTTCGAACTCGGACAAACAGTACACCGTCCTGTTCCCGTGGTGAGGCATGTTCAGCAGACCAGAATCGCTCCCGTCAAATATACCTGAAGCAGAGTCATCAACATAGTCCTGCATTAGTTTCGTGGCAGGGTGTCCCATAGCGGTCTGTTGGTCAACTTCCGTCTGTTCATCCGGCATTGTAAGTCCACCAAAGCTCTGTTCTATCTGATCGAGTGAGAGCGACCCGGCATTGAAAAAAGTCGGTCGAATAGTTGGTGCTGTCGGTAGTTTTAGAGCAGTGCTCACCTTTTTTTCCACTGCGTAAACTTGGGTAGGGGTTCCCGCCTCTAAAGTCTTACGGCACTCGTGTACAGATAAGTTCAGTTCCGCGTATAAGGTATGTAACTGTTTCCGGTACTTCAGCATCTTTTCTTCGTTTTCCTTTCCGACCTCCTCGCATTGCGTTACGAATTTTTCGGTGATTCGGTCAATTTCTTCTTTGAGTGTCTGTCCCTGTTGACGAATTTTTACAACGAGTTCTTTGTACATCGTTTTATTCTCAGCCAGTTTCTCGTTAGCGAACTCTACCTGTTTTCGTACCTTCGGAATGGCCGTTCTTTCGGCCTTATCCATGAATGTACGTATGTTTTCTCTTTTGAGAGGAGCAACATCAATGAGCTTGACCAATCCATGACGTTGATGTGTCGACGTTACGCAGTCGACACAAACAAGTATTCCTTCACAATCCTCACAGACAAGTGTCACCTCGTGATTAGGGTGATGCTTACAGTATATTGCCCCATTAATCCTGACAGGAATCAGAGATCTCGGAGCTCGGACTGGCAATTTCGACCGTTTGGCCGGAGTCTTTACTGAAACGCTCTTCATGGAAGCGCTCTTAACGGACGCGCTCTTCATGCTCCTAAACGTGGCTGGTGTAGACCGTTTTGACATGCTGGGGTAGAATATATCAGTTTTGAAACTGTAATCCAATATGTCACCTCCTTGGTCGGTTCATTTTGTCTGTTTGCCGTGTAGTTATGAACATAGTATGATCGGGTATTGTCTAAACAGTCATAGCCACTGAGAATTGGCCAACATATTAGATCGAAGTGATAAGTATATCAGAGTCAAATTAAACAGACCGATCACAAAGGCAGCGACCGTCAAAGGTCCGGTGCAATATGTATGTGGTTTGTCACGATGGAGGAACATTGTTTAACAGGGGTTAGGTTTGTCTTCATGTGTGTTAATTATATATGTGTATAAGTTTCGGTCAGGTGATTCTAATCTTGATAACAGATCACGAAGAATCACATTATAATCACTGTATTTATTAACTACATAGTGTTAATTATAGTATATCTGGTGTGGTATATTTAGTCTCAAGTCTGGTGGTACTGGGGCCGTTTTACTGGTTTACCTAAGCATTAGAGCTTTACAGACACTGATGACTCGGGCAGTCATTCCACTCTTGGCCTTTTAGAGCTAGGCTTAAAATTTCAATAACAAATATCAGTTTGTATCAAGTAAAATTCTGATATGGCTCTAATATGGGCTAGTGAGGCTAAGAAACGCTTTCCCACAATTGTCTGTACACATCAGTTCATTTTTACTATATTTGTGTTGGACAAATCAGATTGTCGTGGTGGTCATATTGGAAAGATTGTAATCACTACTTCTGAACATAAAATCTGAGATAGAACTTTCATCTAGAAGTTGAGCATGAGACACAAATAGCCCCATATCACATAAAGATTGTGGTGATGGCAACCACATTTGACACTCGAATCGAATCGATCGAAACTGTCTTTAATGTTTATGGTCTGCATGTAGTCTCAAATTTAATTTGGAGATATCCAACATTTATGGAAGATGGCTGCCATGGGCATCTATTTTAATCTTCTTTTCCTTTAAATTCAATATAAACTGTTTTGGGTACTTGATGTTAACAACTTTTTGTGTTTTATTGAAATGGCACTGATATTTCTGATTGTTTTCAGTGTTAGAAATACACTTGCATAAGAAAATGTTAAAAGCTGCACAGTGGTTATAAGATATGTAAATGATTACCATTAACATTATTGTAATTCTCAACATCTATCGTATTCCAAAAATTCATACCAGAATTAAACACTACAACTCATAAAATATGCTTAATTAAAAACCAGAGACCCAGAACAGTTTATATAAAACAAAAGAATATATATTTGAAAAAAGCCTCATGAAATGAAATGGCAAAAGAAACATCACAGAAGTACACAAACAGACCATCCATGTATTACATAAACCAACTGTGACTTACACACAATAGGAGAAGGGATCAAGAATTTCAGCATTTCTAAGGGAAAGTCACCATTTTCGACCTGTAGTGTTCCGTTGGTATGCCATACTCTGTTGAAACATACACACTTTAGGAAGAGGAATCCAGGATTTCAATCTCCATAAATGGAAAAACTGTCCTACTTGGTATCTAAGTAAGCAGCTGCTGGTAAATGAGTTTGTAGTATCCTTGGTCTCCATTTTAGGGTATGTATAAATGAGCAGTAACAGAGCAAAACATCCATCATATATACGTTCTTGTCAGTGTGTTTTTATAGACAAGGTGATTACCTGTATGTTACAGACCTCTGTGCCCACGCTAGGAAATGTAAGTGTTGTAGGTTATGAATTTTCGAGTTTTGGTATGATTTTTGAGAGACAATGGAAAACTTGTAAATATCATTTTATTTTGAAATATTTTATTTGTTCCTGTCATGAAGATTAAACAATAAAAACTTCAACATATAACATCTAACTTTCTTTCAACACAGTCATCATATATCACAGAGTTTTCATCACACAATATCCCTGTAAAATATATTACATTTAAAACCACAGGACATTGACAATACATCATGTCTACAAATTATTTCATCTAGTAATGAAATCACCAGTGATTAGACATTGAAAAATGCCTTCAGTCTGTAGATTATAATTTTTAACTCTGACTTCTGATCACTTGTAGAATCTTGTAAAATACATACCAGTGGTATATGTAAATGTAATACATCTATGTGTCCGGAGACAATAAATTCAATTTCTTCATACGTAGAAATGTGTATATGAGTATATGACACCATAGAAACAAACAAAATCTTTTACAAACATCTATCAAATACTTGTATTGTGTAGGTACTGTCTGTAAGACTTTACTGATATGTAACAAGAATAAATGTTTCTTGTGTTGCCACATAATGATGTAAGAAAACCACATACAGTAGTGAGAACATTTTTTCTACACAGTATTCAATGCAAAATTAAAACACCACAAAAAGTCTATTTCCTGGATATTATAAGCATATTACTACAATGTACTATAATTCTGTATAGCTAATTGTTTATATCAACCCCACTGGGTCATAAACAGCACCAAAACCTGAGGTTAAAGTTCAACAAAGGCTGTTCAGGGTACTTGATGTTTACAATTTTCTCCATTTAATTGAAATGATACTGATATTACTGATTTGTTTTCAGTGTTAGAAATACATTTGCACAGGAAGGTGTCAAAACAGTGTCAAAAAAGGTAACTGTTTATTAACTATAATATTGATGTTACTTCATCATTTCACTTCACTGTTATAACAACTTGTTTTAAAAAAGTATGTCCTTACAATTATTCTGACATTGCACATAAAGATTATTGTCATTCTCAAAATCTTCTAATTGTAAAAATCACATATTAAAACTACACACTACCACTAAACATTTAAAATCAGATACCCTAAATAGTATATTTAAAACATAAATATAAAAATATAAACAATAACATCTCATCAAATGGAATGGAATGGTGAAAGATAAGCCAGACTTAAAATGGATTTAATATGTCAAAGAAGTACACAAAGAGACTATATTGTAGTGTCAATATGTCAAAGAAGTAGACAAAGAGACTATATTGTAGTGTCAATATGTCAAAGAAGTCCACAAAGAGACTATATTACAGTGTCAATATGTCAAAGAAGTTCACAAAGAGACTTTATAACAGTGTCAATATGTCAAAGAAGTACACAAAGTGACTATATAACAGTGTCAGTATGTCAAAGAAGTACACAAAGTGACTATATCACAGTGTCAATATGTCAAAGAAGTACACAAAGAGACTATATTACAGTGTCAATATGTCAAAGAAGTAGACAAAGAGACTATATTACAGTGTCAATATGTCAAAGAAGTCCACAAAGAGACTATATTGTAGTGTCAATATGTCAAAGAAGTACACAAAGTGACTATATTGTAGTGTTAATATGTCAAAGAAGTACACAAAGTGACTATATTGTAGTGTCAATATGTCAAAGAAGTACACAAAGAGACTATATTACAGTGTCAATATGTCAAAGAAGTACACAAAGTGACTATATTACAGTGTCAATATGTCAAAGAAGTACACAAAGTGACTATATTACAGTGTCAATATGTCAAATAGTCCACAAAGTGACTATATTACAGTGTCAATATGTCAAAGAAGTACACAAAGTGACTATATTACAGTGTCAATATGTCAAAGAAGTATACATAGAGACTATATAACAGTGTCAATATGTCAAAGAAGTACACAAAGTGACTATATTACAGTGTCAATATGTCAAATAGTCCACAAAGAGACTATATTACAGTGTCAATATGTCAAAGAAGTACACAAAGTGACTATATTACAGTGTCAATATGTCAAATAGTCCACAAAGAGACTATATTACAGTGTCAATATGTCAAAGAAGTACACAAAGTGACTATATTACAGTGTCAATATGTCAAAGAAGTTCACAAAGAGACTTTATAACAGTGTCAATATGTCAAAGAAGTACACAAAGAGACTATATTGTAGTGTCAATATGTCAAAGAAGTACACAAAGTGACTATATTACAGTGTCAATATGTCAAAGAAGTACACAAAGTGACTATGTTACAGTGTCAATATGTCAAAGAAGTCCACAAAGAGACTATATAACAGTGTCATTTTGTCAAAGAAGTATACATAGAGACTATATCACAGTGTCAATATGTCAAAGAAGTACACAAAGTGACTATATTACAGTGTCAATATGTCAAAGAAGTACACAAAGAGACTACATTGTAGTGTCAATATGTCAAAGAAGTACACAAAGTGACTATATTACAGTGTCAATCAATATAGACTACTACAAGTACCGGGTATATTACACTGTAACATGGGCTATTTATTGAATTCTTTATTTCCTACAAGATTTTGAAGAGTACAATATCAATTATGAAGAGCACTGATGAATTTACCATCATTGATTTATAAAACGTCTTAGATAAGTGCTAGACATTAAAAAAATCATAGTGTAAACAGAAGAATTATAAGGATAAAATGATATTTACTGAAATGTCATAGTGTATGTCATTTTGGCAAAACTGGAGCAGATTTTGATGAATGACATATCATCATGAAATTATGCACCAACTACTTCAGTTAAAACACCCAGCAGAAAAGCTACCGGGACATCTCTGACCACATGATCAAATTGTTACATAAACATAAACAGGGTATCTATATACAACATTGGTAAAGAGGGTATCTCACTTTGCTAATTCTGTCTCTCTACAGTCTAATAAACAGTGGGTGACCGGCTAAGTACCTTTACAGTGAGCTCACACTCACACAGCATAATTACCTTCACAGCAAGCACATACTCACACTGCATAATTACCTTTACAGGGAGCACATACTCACACTGCATAATTACCTTCACAGCAAGCACACACTCACACAGCATAAGTACCTTTACAGCGAGCACATACTCACACTGCATAATTACCTTCACAGCAAGCACATACTCACACCGTGAAAGTACCTTTACAGCGACACATATTAACACTACATAATTACCTTTACAGCGAGCACATACTCACACTGCATAGTACCTTTACAGTGAGCACATACTCACACTGCATAGTACCTTTACAGCGAGCACATACTCACACTGCAGAAGTACCTTTACAGCAAGCACATACTCACACTGCAGAAGTACCTTTACAGCGAGCACATACTCACACTGTGAAAGTACCTTTACAGCGAGCACATGCTCACATTGTGAAAGTACCTTTACAGCGAGCACATGCTCACATTGTGAAAGTACCTTTACAGCGAGCACATGCTCACATTGTGAAAGTACCTTTACAGCGAGCACATGCTCACATTGTGAAAGTACCTTTACAGCGAGCACATGCTCACATTGTGAAAGTACCTTTACAGCGAGCACACACTCACATTGCGAAAGTACCTTTACAGCGAGCATATACTCACACTGTGAAAGTACCTTTACAGCGAGCACATACTAACTCACAAACAGGAGGAGTCATCCACATTTTAGCAACAGTTATATAAATTTGGTTTGTAAAGGTGTGACATTTTGAAAAAGACAAGATGACTGAAGTAGCCATTTGATCATGCTTGTTTTTGGATCTACCAAACTCCAGGGAACAGTGTAGAAGAGAATTCCAGTCACCTTTTTCTTTACAAAGAAGAACATATTCTACAAGTTATTATTGCCAAAATACTTTAGAAAGAAATTAACTAGAAAAGTGTCTCTGAAGATTTGTTTGTGCATATCCCGACATCATTAATAAAACCCTATTCAGCTTTGTTTACACGAAGGTGTATTTGATACAAATGCAACAAAAACAGTTGTTTAGATATACAATTTTTCTTGATCCAACACAAGGTGCCAAAAAACCAAAGTTTATTCTGTTCTACAGGTCCAGGGATGATAAACCTAATGTGCCCTATACCTTATCAGATCTGGCCCTCATAGCAAAATCTTCAATTAAATTTAATTGTTATTATCATTATTTTGAATTATTACAGTGTTAATGCAGACTTGGATTAATGTGTCAATACAGGTTATATTACAGTGTCAAAACAGGTTATATTACAGTGTCAAAACAGGTTATATTACAGTGTCAATACAGGTTATATTACAGTGTCAAAACAGGTTATATTACAGTGTCAAAACAGGTTATATTATAGTGTCAATACAGGTTATATTACAGTGTCAATACAGGTTATATTACACTGTCAATACAGGCTATATTACAGTGTCAATACACGTTATATTATAGTGTTGAAACAGATTATATGACAGTGTCAATACAGGTTATATTACAGTGTCAAAACAGGTTATATGACAGTGTCAATACAGACTATATTACAGTGTCAAAACAGACTATATTTCAGTGTCAATACAGGTCATATTACACTGTCAAAACAGACTATATGACAGTGTCAATACAGGCTATATTACAGTGTCAAAACAGACGATATGACAGTGTCAATAGAGGTTATATTACACTGTCAAAACAGACTATATGACAGTGTCAATACAGACTATATTACAGTGTCAAAACAGACTATATGACAGTGTCAATAGAGGTTATATTACAGTGTCAAAACAGACTATATTACAGTGTCAAAACAGACTATATTACAGTGTCAATACAGGTTATATTACACTGTCAAAACAGGTTATATGACAGTGTCAATACAGGTTATATTACAGTGTCAAACAGACTATATTACAGTGTCAATACAGGTTATATTACACTGTCAAAACAGACTATATTACAGTGTCAATACAGACTATATTACAGTGTCAAACAGACTATATTACAGTGTCAATACAGGTTATATTACACTGTCAAAACAGGTTATATGACAGTGTCAATACAGGTTATATTACAGTGTCAAACAGACTATATTACAGTGTCAATACAGGTTATATTACACTGTCAAAACAGGTTATATGACAGTGTCAATACAGGTTATATTACAGTGTCAAACAGACTATATTACAGTGTCAAAACAGACTATATAACAGTGTCAAAACAGACTATATGACAGTGTCAATACAGGTTATATTACAGTGTCAAAACAGACTATATTACAGTGTCAATACAAACTATATTACAGTGTGAATAAGGCTACATTTCAGTGTAATTATGAACTATATTACAGAGTAGATACAAGCTACATTACATTGTCAATGGTGTCATTATCACCTGCTTATTTTACAAATTAGATATAACATCTTAATAATGTCCTAATGGTGTACATTATTAGACAGAACAAAAATATGCAAAACTGACCACATTGTATACTGGTAAATATGTTAGCATGAACATATTGTGTGATACACAGCCTTAACTACCTACTACTTAACAAACATAGGCAAACATGACACAGTGTTCAGGTACTTATTAACAGGGTATACCAGTTAGATGAATGACTTAACATGGAGGTACTCAACAACAGGACCCGCAACAAATCCTTTGACATAGACCTTCCTGTTCCTCCTGAGGAGGAAGCTGTGACCTTGCAAAATTTATGAATACCTGCTCTAAGGTTGTCTGACTGACACAATAATCCTCAATGTTGTAAGGAATCTTTGCTGACTCCATAAGTCCGAAGATGTCTGCCCAGGAGAGTTCACGGTTATTAATGTGGTAATGTAGTGAGCCCTGGTGAATGTCTTTGAGTTCATAACCAGGGAAGTTCTTCTCAATATAGGTCATGAGTGGGCGTACAGGTGCTAGTTCTCCCTCTGGTGTATACCCTACCCTTGCCAGGAGTGTGTAACCCTCACCAAACCTGTGCTTCAAGTGCTGGGTACTGCCAAGACATTTAAACTGACCATTCACCATGATGGCCAGTCTGGTACACAAGGCTTCACACTCCTCCATACTGTAAACAGAGATCAACATCTTATCAACAGAGGTTAACAAACACTCCTCCATACTGTAAACAGAGATCATCACCTCATCAACAGAGGTTAACAAACACTCCTCCATACTGTAAACAGAGATCATCACCTCATGTTATCCTCCATACAGAGGTTAACAAACACTCCTCCATACTGTAAACAGAGATCATCACCTCATCAACAGAGGTTAACAAACACTCCTCCATACTGTAAACAGAGATCATCACCTCATCAACAGAGGTTAACAAACACTCCTCCATACTGTAAACAGAGATCATCACCTCATCAACAGAGGTTAACAAACACTCCTCCATACTGTAAACAGAGATCATCACCTCATCAACAGAGGTTAACAAACACTCCTCCATACTGTAAACAGAGGTCATCACCTCATCAACAGAGGTTAACATACACTCCTCCATTCTATAAACAACAAGTTTTCTGCACCTATGTATAAGGTTTAATTCTTGATATTAGAATATTAGTAAAAGTGTTCATAAATATTGTTTCACTGTCAAAAGAACTCCTTTAACATAACCCTCAGTGGCTCAGCCATTAACAGTCATTTACATTCTAAGTGTTGTTTTTTCAATAAGGTAACTTAAACTACAGGAAATAAAAATTCAGATTATTTTTCCTCAAAAAATAAACTTTTACCACGATCACATTAAAATCATTCATTTGAAAGCTGTTTAAAAAATTCTACTGCCCTATGATATACCTAAGTATTTTATTCTAACATACCAGCAAATTGTGAACCTATAACCATAGAACATGATTACAGTTTGAAAACATGAAATTTGGCTTTGACATTTGACTTCCTGATCCTAACCTTGGATTACTTAGTTTACCTTGACCTTTACCAATTACCTGATGACCTTAGGTCTTCCTGTCTGATTTTATGATCTATGCTTCAAGTTGCAACAAAATGTTTACCTGATCTTAAGCATTCCTCAATTGGATCTCTTTAAAGTTTGCTTTATGTTGTAATGAAAAAATAATTATCAGTTAAAAGATACCAAATTCAACCTTGACCTTTCACCATAGACCTTGATCGAAAGTCAGTTCCCTTCTTATTGATCATGATGAACTTTGCTTTATGATATAAAAATGATTTCTTTACCTTTTCAGAGATACAATAAATGACCTTGACCTTTGGTCAGTTGACAAATATTTGAGATTGATGAGTATATCTTACCTGTGTGATGTAAGTATAAGTGTCCTTCCAGATTCCCGTACACTTGAGAGTGTGTCCCAGAGGTAACGTCTGGCTAATGGGTCCATTCCTGTTGTAGGCTCATCAAGAAATATCACTTGTGGGTTACCAACCAGTGCTATTGCTGTACTCAGCTTCCTTTTGTTGCCACCACTGTGGTTAAAAACATTTCATTATCTGATGATCAATATAATAACAAACTTTCTGGGTATACATTTGTGTAAAGATTTAATGCCTAAATGTGGTCTAATATTAGCACTTTGATAAAAAGGAAAGCTTTTGTCTTTTCTTGCTGAGCAGGTTTTGATACCGACAGAATTACAGTGTAGACAAATGGCAGTAAAGTGATTGGATGCTGTGTGAAGAAAAATATGAGGAAGAAATTTTTGAGTATCACTTGCCTGTATGCTTTTACAAGCTTATCAGCATGTGGTGAGAGAAGTAGCACATCCAGGAGGCTGTTGACAATATCAGAAATCTGTGATTCCTGCACACCTCTTAAACGGGCAAACATATATAGCGTCTCCTTACCAGTCAATTGGTCAATCAGAGCATCATACTGTGGACAGTATCCCAGGTTTTGTCTCACCTACGGAAACAAATCACACCTACTTAGGCTTCCTGTATGTGGAACTAAGTTTGATTAAATCATGCCTCAAGGGGTAAGTTTACCTGTATGTTGATAAAATCATGTCCTCTTGGTTAGTTTACCTGTATGTTTATAAAATTATGTCCTCTGGGATAAGTTTACCTGTATATTTATAAAATCATGTCCTCTGGGGTAAGTTTATCTGTATGTTTATAAAATCATGTCCTCTGGGATAAGTTTACCTGTATATTTATAAAATGTCCTCTGGGGTAAGTTTACCTGTATGTTGATAAAAAACATGTCCTCTGGGTTAGTTTACCTGTATGTTTATAAAATCATGTCCTCTGGGGTAAGTTTACCTGTATGTTGACAAAATCATGTCCTCTTGGTTAGTTTACCTGTATATTTATAAAATCATGTCCTCTGGGGTAAGTTTATCTGTATGTTTATAAAATCATGTCCTCTGGGATAAGTTTACCTGTATATTTTTAAAATGTCCTCTGGGGTAAGTTTACCTGTATGTTTATAAAATCATGTCCTCTGGGTTAGTTTACCTGTATGTTTATAAAATCATGTCCTCTGGGGTAAGTTTACCTGTATGTTGATAAAATCATGTCCTCTGGGGTAAGTTTACCTGTATATTTATAAAATCATGTCCTCTGGGGTTAGTTTACCTGTATGTTTATAAAATTATGTCCTCTGGGGTGAGTTTACCTGTATGTTTATAAAATCATGTCCTCTGGGGTAAGTTTACCTGTATATTTATAAAATCATGTCCTCTGGGGTGAGTTTACCTGTATGTTTATTAAATTATGTCCTCTGGGGTTAGTTTACCTGTATGTTTATAAAATTATGTCCTCTGGGTTAGTTTACCTGTATGTTTATAAAATTATGTCCTCTGGGGTAAGTTTACCTGTATGTTTATAAAATCATGTCCTCTGGGATAGGTTGACTTGTATGTTTATAAAATCATGTCCTCTGGGGTAAGTTTACCTGTATGTTTATAAAATCATGTCCTCTGGGTTAGTTTACCTGTATGTTTATAAAATCATGTCCTCTAGGGTAAGTTTACCTGTATGTTTATAAAATCATGTCCTCTGGGTTAGTTTACCTGTATGTTTACAAAATTATGTCCTCTGGGGTGAGTTTACCTGTATGTTTATTAAATTATGTTCTCTGGGGTAAGTTTACCTGTATGTTTATAAAATCATGTCCTCTGGGATAGGTTGACTTGTATGTTTATAAAATCATGTCCTCTGGGGTAAGTTTTAGTGTAAATTTGATATATCATGTCCCCCAAGGTAAGTCTAACTGTCTAACATATCATACCACATAGAGATAGTTTTTACTTTTTTAGTTTTCATGTCCACTCTGATAAAAGTTTTTTAAAAAATATGTAAACAAATATTAAACAGTACAGTCAATCCTGCATTAGAGGCCAACAGTATATAATATTTACCTGTGTATTAAGGCCACCAGATTCAGTTCCAAGTGTAATACAACTCATAGCAATGGAACCTTAAAAGAATATCTGACTTTAAAGGTATTTTTCTCTGTCCTTGGGTGACCTTTAGAGACAGGTTTGACAGTTTTCAGTATATATAATATTACTGGCATGTTTATTATTTTCTCCTTTACCTTTGTGATGTCACTCTTTATGCTGTACCCTCTCAGAAAGGCCTCCCCTGACGTCATTATCTCATCCCCAGTCAAAGTTTTGAAGGTTGTTGTTTTTCCTGCCCCATTAATACCCAGAAGTCCAAAACACTCGCCCTGAGGGATTCCAACACTAATGCGATCAACAGCGAGCTTGCTCCCATAGTATTTAGTAAGCTCTTTCATCACTAGAGAGTTTTCCCAGCATAGCTGTTCTATGTCAGTGTTAGCCAGTCGTGCTCGTTCAGTGGCTACATCGGTGTCTTCTTGGACCAATGAACTGTCTGTGTACCGATGTGTATGAGGGGCTGTAGCTTGTTGTATAAGGAGTGGTGTTGTCTCACTTTCAGTTCTACTCCTCTCTGTGAGGTGGTCATGTTTGTGATCACGGTGACCAATGAGGTAGAGAAAACGAAGGAATAGTCGTGACTCTAGAAGTAGGATAATACTGAAGTATACCACACATTGAATGCCCATGAACACTAACATACGGCCAATTCCACCCTGGTACCAGCTCAGGTAGTTCTCTCGGTAGTAAATACACCCACTGGGCCCACAGCTACCTGTTGTTGCTGAAGACGAGAAGAAACTACGTTAAGACAAACATAACCACTGTAAATTATCATTTTTAAAAGGAGATTAATTTTTGTTGACTTTTGCATACTCTTAATCCATGAATTTACATATCCACAAATTAATAAACAGCACTTGTTGATTTTGAGAGCAATATTTATCCAGTTTCCAATCTTCAAAATGTGTGGAAAAATGAAATGGCTTAATCTGATACTCTGGTTATCACACCTTATAATTTGTGTACAGCAAAAGATTTCAGTTTTTGATTAAGTCAGGAATACTTTCATCTTACCTCCACAACAGGGGTTAGGGAAGATTGGACAGTAGATTGTGATGTTAGGACAGATGTTGAGGTATTCATGGTTAGCGTAGTAGTCAGACAGCCCCTGAGCCAGACAGTAGTTGGGTAGCAGTACCAGAAACACCCACTCAAGGGCATGTGACAGATCCTCCAGGTTAAGCTGGGGAATTGCCAGGATACCCACTGCTAACAGTGTAGCCACACCTGTAAAAAACAAAAATATAAAGATCAACACTATTATAAATAAACCATGGTGTCACATCTTGAAGTGGATATAAATCTCCCAACATCGATTTCACTGCTGTGTCACCATACATACAGGAGGGAGATCTTTTTGTTACAAAAGGACCCTAATGTTAATAGTATGGAAGACAACATATGTTAATTAAGACTCCCACATAAGAAAATAAGTATAACTTAACCATCAGGATTCATTAACAAATGAATGATACACAGCATGCTTTTTATTGTCAGTGTTTGAAAACCGGTTGTTACAATTACAACATTCACATGTATACATCTACAAAGTTACAAAGAATTTAAAGTAATTTAACACAGCAAATCAAACATACCTGCAATAATGTTGAACATGGTGATCCAGACATAGCCAGTGGCAGGCTGGGAGAATAAGAAGGACAAAAGATACATGAAGGGCAACATTGCACAGCCATATAGCAGGAACATCAGCAGAATGTGAGCGATGTGGGCATCCACTACAAAAGCCTCTATATCAAATGCCCAAAATGTCACTAGAATGCACAGACTGGGCACCATGTAGTTAATTATATCCCAGCAAAATGTTGATGCCCAGAAGTTGAGGGAGTCTACGCCACTGACAAACTGGATGTGTTTGGACTTGGTGGCACGCTCTCTAATAATGAAAACAACAAAACTACTGGCTAAGAAAGACATTCCAAACACAACATTAAAGGCGACCATGAAGCCAGTGGTTCCCTGAGTTATCTGCTGTTTGACTTTTTGTGCTGTGGTACGAGGGAGGGGGTGATTCACTGTAGTGATTGAGAAGCCAGAGCTGTTAGTGACATACTGGACAATCGCATTGCTAAGTGTTGCTAATGATATCACTGAGGAGTGATATGATTGGTCATTGAAGTAAGCAGTAGCCTTGACCTTATCTGTCTCAGATATCTGCTGGAAGTCGGCCGCCACCATATAATGTAGGTTGTACAGTCCAATGCTTTTTTCTCCCGTGTCCACCAGGAATTTCATAATGTCAGAAGTAGCATTGTATCCCTGCTGATCATCCACAGAAATCACAGTTTCTGTATCACTTTGATCAAACTGACTGCTGTAGAAATAGCTGAGGTTGTCACTAATGTTTCCTGGGCTGCTTCTATACACAATGTTGTTGGCTCCAAATCTGTCTGGTGTGAGGGTGAGTGGAGGAAGGTCTTCAGGACCAGGAAAAGTCTTCACCACAATCAGAGCCATGAGGGTAAAGAAGAGAGGTACCACTAGCTGGCTTATTGTCACCAGCTTGTTACGGAATGTGTGGAGAGCTCGCTTCACAAACATGGCCCAAAACTGTTGCAATGTCAGCATACCATTCACATTGTACTTGATATTAAAATCTGAAAAGATGCAATCAGATTTCAGTTCTCAAAAGAAGTAAACAATTTACCCAAAATGACCCTGCAGGCTGTATCATACACTTGACAAACCCTACAGAAACTGAGAGAAACAGAGCAGATTAATGTCACAAGACTAATTCCTTTCAGGCAGAATGGAAAAATGAAATGAGTAGTTTTGATAAAATTAAACCAAAACTAGACATTTGGTGTATGACGTATATGTGTCCTCACTTCTCTGCTAAAAGTAAACATTTGCAGCATTTGAGGGGTTTGATATAAAAGACTAGGACAGCATGTATTTTTTAATTTATTGATAAAGAGAAAAAATTATTTAAATAAACTTCCTACTCCGTAACATTATAACAAATTGGAATATCTGACTTTGAATTTTGACCCATTGACCTTGACATTTTACATTTACATGACCCATTGACCTTGACATTTTACATTTACATGACCCATTGACCTTGACATTTTACATTTACATAACAGATATATGTTACCTTTGACCCAGTGATCTTAATAATTTGCCATATCATTCCACAAAGTTTCAATTGTAAAATGTTTACCACATGCGAAACAAAAATGTTTCTTCTATAATACATCCCATCATTGAAACCCCAAGATAAAGTAATATTGAAATATAGCTAAATCACAATTTAATATGCCTCGTTATTTGAGTAAGTAGGCTGTCTTACCTAGGCTATGGCTACTCCGTCTGAATGATGTTGATGCATCCAAACTGAATCCATTCTCTGGGTGGTTTACTATCGGCTTTCCTTTCAGTCTATCTGTCAAGGACCTGTTATTACTCTCCCCAACTCTACAAAGCCATAATGACCTAAATTATCACTCTGCTTTATATCAAAAGATTAACACTCAGTGAATTTCTGTAATGTAATTTATAATATGATAAATATTATGTTTTGTACCTGAGAAAAACTTCCTCCATCGTAGTGACAGATGCTCCATAGCTTGCAATACCAAGATCCTTTTTCTTAGCTTCCAGATCCTTGAACATGTCTGAGAACCTGCTGGAACTTTCCTGTTGAAGAATGTAGGACAGTTCTGCTGCAATGTTACTTTCCAGTTCAGCTGCTGGTACATATGTCCTGATCAGCTTGGATATATTATCCACATGACAGTTTGGCTGTTTTACTATCACCATGTGGTACCCAGCCCCTGCGTTAATTTAAACATTTACTGTATCACTCGAATGTAACAGTAGTACTTTCACACAGTATGTTTTCCTTTAAAATAACAATGATATACTGTTGACAGGGACATCTTCTGATGGTATATTAATTACACTGTATAGCACCCTGAATATCTTGAATAACTATACACTTTAAACTAAAAGTGTAGAATCGACCCAATTAAAAATTTAGAAAACTTTTACATATATTTCCAATCATATCTTATTCTAGAAATACCTGTACACAGATATACTGTTAATCAATGAAGACTGATGAAGACATGTACTTGCACTCTATAAACATAATATGCATCTGTCTGAGATATATGAGTGAAACAGATTGTAGCTATCTGTCAGTAAGACACGACTACACATGCAGATAGAAAATAAAATTTGCCAAAATATGTTCTCAGTGCATAAAATTACTTGTTTACTTCCATTTTAAGCTAAAGAGTTTAAAAATGTCAAAGAAACAAACAAAAAAATGTCATGGTTGACATGAGGAATTCACTGACATCTTGCCACCTCAGAGACAGTCAAACCTGTGTAAAGTGGTCTACAGGAGACCATGTTATAAGGCTGCCCAGAGTAATGGGCAGAATACTTCTAAGGTAGGTTTCATCATCAAAATTTAAATCAGAACTGTTCAATGTATGACAGTTGTCCAATGGAAATGAAGCATAAAGTGAAAGTTTAAAGTCTAGTGATGTCATATTTCATAATTAAAAAAAGATATTTCAGAAAGTGTTCATTTCATAGGTTTTATGACAAAATATCAACAAAACTAAGGATTAAAATTAGATCTAGGGTCAGGCATATGGGTATAATTCAATTACACTCCATTATTAAGTAAATTAATGAAGAGATGCAGGGGCATTAACAGTAAACTTGGCCTTTAAGAATTTAAGAAAAGGACTGCTTAACCCTTACGATATTTCAGATCAAATGTGGTCGAAACATGCTGAGACATTAAGAATAGGGTTTTAAGGCAAATATTTGGCTAAATGCCCCATTAGAGGTATTAACCCCCAGTCCCTAGGGAACAAATAAATTTCTTAAAAATCAAAGAACTTCTTGCTCTTGTCCTATAATGTTTCCAACCAAATTTGGTAGAAAAAATGATGAGGTATTGTAGGGTTTTAAAGCAAAATTCCACTTTTTGGGCCCGCCCCCTAAGTCTTCAGGGGTCTAATCAACTTTCTGAATATATGAAATGATTGCAAACTCTTAATGATGTTCCAGACCGAATATGATTGAAACCTTCTGTGGACTTTAGAAGTAGCATTTTAAAGGAAAAGTTGCAGACAAAATGGAAGAAACACAATGGCTCAATGTCAGCTTGATCCTATCGTTCAGTTGACCTAAAACACAAAAGCAATGGACATTAGATCATAGCCTACCATATTTGGTTTTGAGGAACAGAGAACTTCCACAACACTTGACAACTCCATCAGCCATGATGGCAATCCTGTCCCCTAGAACGTCTGCCTCATCCATGAAGTGGGTGGTTAGAAGTATTGTCCTCCCAGCTCTGTGGTTTTGTAGAACTGTCCAAATTTGTCGTCGGGCATCTGGGTCCAACCCTGATGACGGTTCATCAAGAATCACAATCTGTTATGACAAAATGAAGTAAATGAAGCATCCTGCTATAGAGAGGAATTTTCAGAGTTCACCACAGTTTTACCTTATATCTGTTTGACACTCGTACTGAAAGTGTGATACAAAAGATTTGGGATAAACAAACACTATTAAAATTGAAACGTGTTTATTGAAATAAGAAAATAAAACAAAAAACTGCAACAATAAATGATAAAAAAAGCCACACCCATTTAATTAAAATGGTTTCATAAAAATGAAAATAAGAAGAAAACATTTTAGCGGGATTAAAAAGACACATTAAAATAAAATGGTCTCATTAGTATTTTCACTATCATGATGATGGGCTGTATAACTTTAGTAACAGTAAGTTAGATGACCTTTGAACCTGCTATGAGTGCTATGCCGACAGAAAGTTTGCGTTTCATTCCCCCAGACAGCCGGCTGCTCCTCGCATGTCTCTTGTTCTCAAGCCTGATGCTCTCAATCATTTCATCTACCGCATTGGTCACTTCATTTGAATTACAGCCCTTCAGCTGAAAAATAGGATAATTGTACGATATACTAAACCTGTCTATACATCATTTACAAAACAGACACTGGAACAGTATAGAAGACTATGTAACATGTACTAAAGTAAATTAAAACATGTTTATCATTTAATGATTAAGAGTTTTAACTGATTTCAATCCAGCTTCACGTATAAAATATTGTCTGTACTAAATAGCATCCTCTTCATTATGAATAAGCATGTTCACAAATGTATGGGTCACAAGATATAGTAGACAAATGATAACAAAGATTTGTCATACACAGGTAAATGACAACAACATCTACACATTTCCAGTGTATACTGCTTACCTTTAATATAACCAAGCCCCTGTGTAAATTTACATTTACTGTATCACTCTAATGTAACAGTAGCACTTTCACACAGTATGTTTTCCTTTTGAATAACAATGTCATACTGTTGACAGGGACATCTTCTGATGGTATATTAATTACACTGTATAGCACCCTGAATATCCTGAATAACTATATACTTTAAATTAAAAGTGTAAAATTCATCCAATAAAATATTCTGAAACTTTAACTTCTATTGCCAATCATATGTTACTCTAGAAATACTTGACACAGATCGACTGTAAATCAATGAAGACTGATGATAACTTTACATGTACTTCTAATTGTCATACATAGGTAAATGACACATCTCCAGTGTGTACTTCTGAAGTTTTATATAACATTTAATTTCAGGCTCAGTATAGCTTAATATACTGAGAATGATTAGCTTCTCAAACTAAAAAGGATAAAAATTTACTTCATCTGTCATCATTATATCAAAAACAAACATGTTGCTATGACTGCAAACCTTAGCAAAGAACCATAGATGTTCCTGCACTGTCATGGTGTCAAAGAGAATGTCATGCTGGGGACAAAGTCCAAGACTATTCCTGACACTGGCTATGTCTTCTCGTATGTCAAAGCCATTAACATAAGCTGTGCCACCAGTAGGGGGTAGGAAACCTGAAACAAATCAGAGAGAACACAAAACATCACAACATTATTACTGTATATATAGAAACATCTACATTATTACTGTATATATAGAACATCAACATTATTACTGTATATATAGAAACATCTACATTATTACTGTATATATAGAAACATCTACATTATTACTGTATATATAGAAACATCTACATTATAACTGTATATATAGATTACTGTATATATATAAACATCTACATTATTACTGTATATATATTACTGTATATATAGAAACATCTACATTATTACTGTATATATAGATTTACTGTATATATAGAACATCTACATTATTACTGTATATATAGAAACATCTACATTATTACTGTATATATAGAAACATCTACATTATTACTGTATATATAGAAACATCTACATTATTACTGTATATATAGAAACATCTACATTATTACTGTATATATAGAAACATCTACATTATTACTGTATATATAGAAACATCTACATTATTACTGTATATATAGATTACTGTATATATAGAAACATCTACATTATTACTGTATATATAGAAACATCTACATTATTACTGTATATATAGATTACTGTATATATAGAAACACCTACATTATTACTGTATATATAGAAACACCTACATTACTACTGTATATATAGAAACATCTATATATACTGTATATATAGATTACTGTATCTATAGAAACATCTACATTATTACTGTATATATAGAAACACCTACATTACTACTGTATATATAGAAACATCTACATTATTACTGTATCTATAGAAACATCTACATTATTACTGTATCTATAGAAACATCTACATTATTACTGTATATATAGAACAACTACATTATTACTGTATCTATAGAAACATCTACATTATTACTGTATATATAGAACAACTACATTATTACTGTATATATAGATTACTGTATATATAGCACATCTACATTATTACTGTATATATAGAAACATCTACATTATAACTGTATATATAGAAACACCTACATTATTACTGTATATATAGAAACATCTACATTATAACTGTATATATAGAAACACATACATTATTACTGTATCCATAGATTACTGTATATATAGAAACACCTACATTATTACTGTATATATAGAAACATCTACATTACTACTGTATATATAGAAACATCTACATTATAACTGTATATATAGAAACATCTACATTACTACTGTATATATAGAAACACCTACATTATTACTGTATATATAAAAACACCTACATTACTACTGTATATATAGAAACATCTACATTATTACTGTATATATAGAACATCTACATTACTACTGTATATATAGAACATCTACATTATTACTGTATCTATAGAAACATCTACATTATTACTGTATATATAGAACATCTACATTATTACTACATTATTACTGTATCTATAGAAACATCTACATTATTACTGTATATATAGAAACATCTACATTATTACTGTATCTATAGAAACATCTACATTATTACTGTATATATAGAACATCTACATTACTACTGTATATATAGATTACTGTATATATAGAAACATCTACATTATTACTGTATATATAGAACATCTACATTATTACTGTATATATAGAACATCTACATTATAACTGTATATATAGAAACACCTACATTATTACTGTATCTATAGAAACATCTACATTATTACTGTATATATAAAAACATCTACATTATTACTGTATATATAGAAACACCTACATTATTACTGTATATATAGAAACACCTACATTATAACTGTATATATAGAAACATCTACATTATTACTGTATATATAGAAACATCTACATTATTACTGTATATATAGAAACATCTACATTATAACTGTATATATAGAAACATCTACATTATAACTGTATATATAGAAACATCTACATTATAACTGTATATATAGAAACATCTACATTATAACTGTATATATAGAAACATCTACATTATTACTGTATATATAGAAACATCTACATTATAACTGTATATATAGAAACATCTACATTATAACTGTATATATAGAAACATCTACATTATTACTGTATATATAGAAACATCTACACTATTACTGTAGATCTAGAAACATCTACATTATGATTGTAGACCTTTGCATGTCTGTTGAGAGACCTTGACCTGTACACACCTGTTAACCAATACCTTGACTTGTATACACCTGTAACTCTAAAACTTGACAAGTACACACCTGTAACCCTAAAACTTGACCTGAATACACCTCTTAACCTAGACCTGGAGTGTTTATGCCCGTTACCCTCTGATCTCTACATGTACACACCTGTTTACCTATACCTTGATCTGTGCCCACCAGTTAAATTTGATCTTTGTAAATCTTGAAGTGTACCCACCTGTTAACATAGACATAGTGGTAGTTTTGCCAGCTCCATTGTGCCCCAGTAGTACAGTAATCTGCCCATCATACATGTCCAGGGACATCCCAGCAACAGCAATATTCCTCTTCTCATCCTTACCAAACTCCTGTAAAATCACAAATATAAATCAATGAAAAAAATTCCAGCATGACATGTCAGTATTCTGTATAGTTATTAATATTTGTGGGCATTTTTTTTAAAATTCAAGCACAAGTACTAATTATGATGAAATATACTCATTTACTATTTTGTTATCAACTTTCTCATGTTGAAAGAACGGATAATAAGAAGATTTCTATTTTTCAACAATGAATCGTTTCTACAGGAGAATGATCTGCAATATGTTGGGGCCATGGTAGCTCAGCTGGCTAAAGCTTTGGCCTGTGCAACCTCAGATGAAGATTTGAGGTGAGCATTTTGATGCTCCCTATCCATGGCAGCTTGTTTCTCAGTAAGCTGAAGAACAGACTGATCTGTGCTGTCATGATTGTGTCCTTGGGCAAGACTCTTTATCCTTCTTACTCAAGATGGCATATGTCAGACCTCCCATATGTTGTTCAGTGTGGTAGTCACTTGCTATTTAAGGAGCCAATGCATCATAATAATCATGGCTGTTCAAAGGCACTAAACCCAGCAAAGAAATCTGAGATATAGTAAATAAAAATACATCAGACCATATTTGAATGCCAACCTTTCTAAGATTTCGTATCCGTATCCCTGCCGGTATACCCTGGGGATCAGGCTCAAAAAACTCTGGATCCTGGCCAATACAAATTCTCTTGTCATCAGGAATATCCTCTACTGCCGATGTACCACACCAGTAAGTTCTCTACAACAATCAAAGATGTAATGTTTCAAAGGTAATTTGACTACTTTCAAATAGATGATCAGTCATAGCACGTCCAAAGACAAATCTAGAGTTACTGACAATAGAATAGAAGTTCTTGTATCACAACCAGGGGAAGATTACAGTGTGATGTTTTGATGACTACACGGTCACCTACATCAGACAAATGACCAGTGTTGAGGGTACTAGTACCAACTTTGTCACACTCTAATCTTCTACTGGTTAAGTTATGAGTACAGTTATTCTACTGACATTACCAACCTGAAGAAAATGTTCCAAAATAGAATAACTGACAATTACAGGAGGAGAAAACCACAGGTTTAAACAAAACTGTCATATTTTGATCTTTCTCAACCAAAACTTGATCTCTAGTGGCCTGAGACATCATGTAGATTAATGTAAGGACGTATTGTATAACTCTATAAGTTTTCAGGTCAAATACATTGATTTTATAGTCATAGGGAGAAATTAAACATTGCAAACTATATAACTAGAAATACTCACAGTTATAAAAAAGTACCAGGGCTGTGGCACACCGTACTCGCCAGGAAACACAGCCTCCACATACCAGGTAATGAAGCTGTATACGACCGTGTCAATCACCAGCATGATCATTATGTGGGACATTGCAAAGTCATCATCTACAGATGCTCCCTTGGTGAAGTTGTTCCACTGTACACCAGTTCCTGTCAATAACAGTGTTGCACCAGTTTCAGTCAAATTTGAAGGGTTGATATATCATTATGTTTACATTTCTACTGCAACAATACAGATTAACAAAAAAGATGTGAGATTTATGATACAATAGATGTCATCCATTATCTGACCATTGTGATATCAGTATTGTCAGCACAGAAACAGCAACCAATCACTGTCAAAATGGCTGTTCCATTTCATGCCTCATAGATTACACTAGGCAAAAATGATCAATTCATTTGAGTTTAAATCAAGTTCTTATCAATATAAGCCTGTAGTTGTAAGCACTGAACTGTCTGGTTATGGTAATCATGGTACATGATATAATGTTTGCATGAAAACTGTCATTTAAAACAACCATCACAAGACATTTCAATGATGAATTGTTTATCACTGTTTCTTCGATATATTGGTTCACTAATAAGTTTTGTCTTAAGATGAGACCAAGGAGAAAAATTTTAGGATCATGATAATTAATCAAACATTTTTATTACAGCAGCACATCTGGACTTTTTCTTCAGATACAACATCTCTTGTCACACTATCAATCATTTCCAGCCTCCGTACCTGTGCCTTCAAACATGCCAATAACTGTTCCTCCATATGCCATTGCTATGTTGGATACAGAACATGCAGCTATCTTCTGCCCCCAGGTAAATGTGTTGTAGCGGGGCTCCAGAAAAAAGTAGGGTATGTAGGAGATGAAGAAAAGGATGCCACCTGCTGCAGCTCCAGAATTTGCTGTAGATAAGGACAACATATAATTCATATTGATAGTGTGAGGATTTAGATTGCTAGCATAAACTGGTCAATCACTAATTAGATAATGAAGTTAAAGAAAATATAAAGAAATTTCAATATTGTTATGTTACAGAATTTTCTTGGAGTAACCATTCCTGTTGCATTCTTATAAAATTAATTGCTGTCCTTATTTAATTATTTATATTCGATAAGGTACAAACCCTTCTCCAGACCATAGTTTTCTCAAGCACCTGTCTCATGAGTCTTACCTTTCTTAAAGAAGACACTAATAGCGAAGCAGAATGATATTGTTGCTATGGCATAAAGCATAAGAAATACAAAGAGCAGCGAGGGAGCTGTTAGTCCAATCACTCGTCCCTTGTAGGTCTTTACACAAAAGAATGCAGTCATGATGGACACGGTAACCAATAAAAACAGGAAGTATTTGGTGAACCATGCAGACCAGTGTAGCCAGTTACTCACACCCATCATCTTCATTGACTCCTGTCAAGTTCAATAATATAATTAATCAGACTCACTATCTTCACTGACTCTTGTCAAGTTAAATAATATGATAACTTACACACACTTTCTTTCATCATTGACTTCTATCAATTTGAATAATATGATTACTCACACACACGCTCTTCATTGACGCTTGCCAAGTTCAATAATATAATTACTTAGGATCAGTATCTTTATTGACTCCTATCAAGTTCAATAATATAATTAATCAGACTCACTATCTTCATTGACTTCTATCGAGTTCAATAATATGATTACAGATCCCTCATCTTTGTTGACTGACACAATTTTTCCTGTTGGCCTTATAATCAGATGAAGGACATTGATATATAATGTGATAAATAAATTATCAATATTACCAATGCTGATATCTCACTAACCTTGAGCTTCTTTTCCTTTTCATGCACTATATCCTTGACAATGTTAAGAGCTACAAGTACAAAGCTCAGCATGATGACAAGTGGAAACTGTTGCTGTATGACAAGGACAAAGTAGTCATCATTGTATGGTGGGTAGGGGTGACGTTGCAGACCCAGCTCCACATGTCCACTGGAATGACTCCTGTTATTCAAACTTCCCTGGAGGTCTATCACTGCCTTGTTTATAGCTGTTTGGAGTGCTGTAAATCCTTCTCGGACATAACCTGGAAATGCACATCAGAATTTCATCACTCAACATATTTTCGTTTAAAGCTAGAAGGTGAGTTAAGTCAGCACTGATGTGCAAATACAACTTTATACTGTATATAAGTTCGAGTACAGCAGTATGTTATGCATTCTATTCCTATATCAAGACCACACATCTTCGAAGATGTATTAAATTTCAATATCTATCTACGTTATTTATTTAACAGACAAGTTACCAAACACTTCCATTTTTAGTTTTACACAGGATCTTTATCATCAACAAATTATTTGTTTTTTTGAATAATCTTTTAAGAAATATTAACACACCTAAAATTGAAATTTACCTGGTGATCTTTGCTATTTATCACTGATTTACCAGGGTCCAACTTACCTGGTGATTCTTGACACTTATCACTGATTTATCAGGGTCCAACTTACCTGGTGATTCTTGACATTTATCATGAATTACCTGGGGTCCATCTTACTTGGTGATTCTCCACATTTGTCATCAATTACCCAAGGTTCCACTTACCTGGTGATCCTCCACATTTGTCATCAATTACCCAAGGTCCAACTTACCTGGTGATCCTCCACATTTGTCATCAATTACCCAAGGTTCCACTTACCTGGTGATCCTCCACATTTGTCATCAATTACCCAAGGTCCAACTTACCTGGTGATCCTCCACATTTGTCATCAATTACCCAAGGTCCAACTTACCTGGTGATCCTCCACATTTGTCATCAATTACCCAAGGTTCCACTTACCTGGTGATCCTCCACAGTTGTCATCAATTACCCAAGGTCCAACTTACCTGGTGATCCTCCACATTTGTCATCAATTACCCAAGGTTCCACTTACCTGGTGATCCTCCACAGTTGTCATCAATTACCCAAGGTCCAACTTACCTGGTGATCCTCCACATTTGTCATCAATTACCCAAGGTCCAACTTACCTGGTGATCCTCCACATTTGTCATCAATTACCCAAGGTTCCACTTACCTGGTGATCCTCCACATTTATCACTTATTTCTTGGGGTCCCACTTACCTGGTGATCCTCCACATTTATCATTTATTTCTCGGAGTCCCACTTACCTGGTGATCCTCCACATTTATCACTAATTTCTCGGGGTCCCACTTACCTGGTGATCCTCCACATTTATCACTAGTTTCTCGGGGTCCCACTTACCTGGTGATCCTCCACATTTATCACTAATTTCTCTGGTCCCACTTACCTGGTGATCCTCCACATTTATCACTAATTTCTCGGAGTCCCACTTACCTGGTGATCCTCCACATTTATTACTAGTTTCTCAGGGTCCCACTTACCTGGTGATCCTCCACATTTATCACTAATTTCTCTGGTCCCACTTACCTGGTGATCCTCCACATTTATCACTAATTTCTCGGGTCCCACTTACCTGGTGATCCTCCACATTTATCACTAATTTCTCAGGTCCCACTTACCTGGTGATCCTCCACATTTATCACTAATTTCTCGGGGTCCCACTCGTTGATAGACAGGAAACATAAACTGAGTGTACCAACTGGTGTCCATCTTGAATGGGTTGAGACGAAATTTTGAGTGTGCCAGTCTTGGTACTGAGTCAAGACGTATTTTATATTGAATATGCGGAGGTAGCGCTCCAGAAGGGAATGAATTAGTGAAGGCAATACCTCCCAGGTAGTCTCGAGTGTTGTTAACATAAGTTTTGTTACCAGTGCTGTTGACCAATTGTACAAAGTCCACCATTTCTGCCTCCGTCTTGAACCCATGATCTATGAACACCAAAAACCATAAATGTCACTGATTATTAGTGATCAATGGCAGGGAGTTTCTCAGTTTAGTCAGACGAGCAATTACTTATCCTGGTTCATGATACTTTTTACACATGCCTAAGTTTTATTTGCCTGTTCCCACCAAGATTCAAAAGTCTAGATTACTTCAAAACAAATATACCACTTACTAAGCAATAAGCCGATCTTTATCTATAGCTTTTCATTAGCATTACTAACAAATACTATTTCAATGCTTTTTACTAGCTTGATTGCCTTGTGAATGGCATAATACTTAATACTTACCCCAATCTAATTTAGGAAGGAATTTCTTGGCTCTCTGGATGATTGCATGTGTCACATTGTTGTTTGGGGAATAAGCTACCTTGTGTGGTAATTTCATGAAGTTGAAGTTCTTAAATTCTGTACATTCTTCCCAAATAACAGCATTTGGGACTGGCTGACCATCAACTCGGAGGCGTACAAATATCAGGATCAAAGAGAACACAGTGGGAATTCCTATTTCCAGAATAGTTACTATCTTCTTCCTCTTTTGTAAGACATAATTTTTCCATAGCAAAAGCAGAAATTTTGTGAAATTTCCCATTTCTTATATGTGGCATAAATGTTATATGTTATTTACAAAAAGCTTAATGCTATCATACTAAACTAGCTGTCATATATGTTGGTAAATCTTCATGGCTTTGGCTATCTGAAAAGAACAAAAATCACCTTTGCTTTAATGAATGATTGCTTGCTAGCTTACTTACTTGATCGATCGGGCAATCAATCTAATTGATTAATTGGATGTAATACCAAATTGATTGGATGTAATACCAAATATATGAAACATCAGGAAGCCAGGGCCCAAATGAAACCTGTCCAATAACTCCCCAGTCCTTCTTCTATTATATTCATTCCCAAATACTACATCAACCTAGGTTCTTCAGCTCCAGCTAAGCCTCTAAATCACCTTAACCTTGCACTCTACATGGTCTATGACACCAAATGTAACAAAAAAAGAGAGAAATAGAAATAATCATGAAGTGTAGCTAAGTTGGATAGATATTTCAGTCTTGCTACCAGATAGTCCAATTGGTTAGAGAGTACACCTAGAGTTTGGGAAATCCTGGGTGTGAGTGTACATAAATACATGCATGTGTCCAGAACTCATTTTATGGGTTGAACTTCTGCTTTTATCTTTAAGGAAAATAACTATTTCTTCCAATCTGAAAAAGAACTTCCAGTACAAAACACCACATGCATGTAAGGGGTGTGAAACCAGGGCACACTTCTTTAATCTCCATCCACTTCTACTGCTTAGATGAGATTGATTAGATTTTTTAAATATATAAATAAACTGTTAGGAAATGATAAGTAGAACAAATAAACTTCATAATCATTTTACTGAACTTCAAATTTAATATACACCTAACGGTATGATATATGAGTAAAGTAACCATGATTGAGTTATGGTTCTTGTATAACAGTTAGACGTCATAATTCAATAATGAGATATGTCCACTCATTTTTATTACTTTAGGGGTAAACAATTTCAATGTAAAATAGTGTTCTGAAGAAGCCCCTGAAGGCCAAACCTGTTAATAACAATAAATCTAAGAACCCTACCTCTTCCCCTTTTGTGATTGACCTCTACACCTCTAATATTTGTTACTTATCCTTCAATCACCAAGCATACTTTCAGGTATCCAGACGGAGGAGCCTAGAAACCTATCATCCTACATTCAATAAACCAACCAGGTGTTGACTCTACCTCCCCTTTTTGGTTTTCCTTAATTCTATATACTGGGGACAATAAAACAATTTCAAACCTTAAAAAAAAGAGAAACAGAAGAAAAGAAATTAACATTTCTGATAAAGGGAACATTCAATTTGGTACCAATTAATATATCTTAAGATAAAAGAAAATGGTTTAGTAATTACCGTATACCAAATAAAAATTAACTGAAAAAGGAAGAATATCTGTATAAGATTTGGTATAAAAGAAACTAAAATATACAACAGGTAAGCTTATCAAAATGCTCCTTTCTGAATTATGATTAGAAATATAGGCTACATGTATGTAGGGATGTAAAGCTACAACAAAGAATCTAAGTCATCTAGTCTTAATATTTTTACATACCAGCTATAGTTTTCTCTAAAAGGACATAATTAATTTTTTCGATATACACAGTGTTAGAAAGCTTCATAAGTGTCAAATTGATTGTGCTAGCTTTTGTGACGACTAATTTCTGTAATTTTTATTATGTGTCATTAGTAACATTAGTAATTACATTAGTAATAGTATTATTTTTGTTACGAAAATTATATTACCTTCTCACTAAGCAACAAAATGGCTCTGGTTAGTGCAAAGTCCACGCTAACCACAGTACAGAATTGAAAAGGGCATAGGTATATATAATTATCATTGTGAGGAGAGAGGGGTAACTGACTTCATGGTACAGTGAACTAACACAAAAGTTAATGCCAAAGAAACCTCCAATAGGCCTAGTTTCTTATCCCTCTGATTAGGTCCTATTAAAAATACATACGTCCCTGACGGAAGTATTTTTAAGTAGATATTTCTCTAGAATAAAAATGAGTAGGCACTCATGTCGTCAATTTAGGTTTAGAGATACAGACAGGCAAAGCATATTAAAAAGCACATAATTAAGTGAACTGATCTTTATGAAGATATTAAAAGCATAAAGCACATCAGAGACGTATATAACATACGCGTCAGAGCACATGAACTTGATTGTTGGTGAAGCTAACGATTAGACACGAGGTAAATGATTGATCAGTGAAAATGAAATCAATGTATGTCACATCACGGACCCGTAAGCATTCTATCAGCATATGTGAGAAGGAAAAAAATAACTTACAGTCCACCGATTGATCACAGAGGAGTCATCCAAGTCATGTGTTCGCCGGAAGTAAACAAAAAGAGCATTACTTTCTGTTTTGATTTTCTCAAGAACACCAGAACGTTTAACTCGCATAGGAGTATTAATGCTTCGTGGAACTGAATCACGTTGACGCTTAAGCTGTAATGGCGTCGATGACTTTTAGATGAAAAATGTGAATCTAGCATTGTCTCCTGATTTTTATCATATGTAATGGAAAGGGACGGTGACCAAGAAGATCAGGCATCGTGTTCTAAGTCTCCCTCCTGGTCCGAGTCGCTAGATTCGCAGGAGAGTGACAAGGATGCTAGTACGGACCAGTCTGAAGATGAAATTGACTCAATTTCAATTAAGCAGACGAATGCGAAACTGAAAGGAGATGCATATTGCGAATGCTACAAGAAAGGATTAGAGAAATCTTGCAAATGTGGAGAAGATGACACATGTACGTTACCATGGAAAATTACTATCATCATGATAGATTCTATGATTATTGGCTTAACAGTTTTACTGTCAGTCCTATAATACATGCCTTCATATGTTCCATTGGGACAATTTCATGTTTATTATCGGATTTTTGACTTTTTCTGTTATTGTTCAACTGAACCTATCATTTCTTCACGTTAACCTTTTCCACAGGTTAGGTACAACCTCGCATATGGGTAATAGTCCTGCATTTGATAGATACTTTACTGCGTTTATTAAGTAATCAGTTACTCAAATGCCCTGCAGGATCACTTGAAATAGAAACACATAAGTTCTTTTATACAATTGTAACAAAAGTGGATGTCATATTTTTTTGACATGGTCCAATAATTTATGCAAGATTGTATGCTATTATACATTTTACACAAAAAGTGAATAATTCAGTTGTCTTGCTTTGTGTAAAAATTACAATCAATATCACCTTTATCAACATTCTTACAGTGTGGCTGAATATAGCACACATGTATATTCATGCCTGCTCGTGACATTTGCACTGGAACAGGAAGAGAGTAGTGTGCCTCTTCCATGGATCAAACCTGCTTATTTGAAATTTCCTTTAGAGCAAAGGTAGTGAGTCTCCTTCAAATCAAGGACTGTTACCCATATGTGTGATTGTACCCAACCTGTTTCATGTAGCTCTGTTGTACTAGTATGTGTTGAAAGCAAATTTGAGATCAACTACAACGTTAAGAATGCATGCACTTCTTTTGTCACATCATTGATTTGCAAAGACTACAAAGTTGCTACACTATTTCTTCTTTGGAAAATAGCACTGAAAAGATTAATTAAAGCATGAAACCATATTTGATATTTAATCTGAAGTTGAAGCTGCAATCTACACATAAATAAATAGGTACCTTAGTTGTAATCATTCAGTTTTTTGAAAGAATAATGCAAAAATGCTTCAGCATGGCAACATATTAAAAAAATGTGGCTTTTGTATCCCAACACTAAATATGATAGCATTTTCATTTTACAATTGTCTTATTTTTTCTTGTTTGGAATACGTAATGAGGAGAAAACATACTGGTCGGATATTTACAACAGTGATAGACCATCACAAATTTCATAGTGATAGTAGAATTGTAGTATTATTCCCATTCTCAGTCTTGACACATATATGACAGAGAAATCTGATTATATTGAAAAGACTTTGCCAGTTAGAATTAATCAAAGATTTCACAATAATTTTGTATTTGATTAAAATAAGTAATTGCAATTTTTTTCAGATTTTGAATGGATTTGGGATGATGAAACCAAATCTGCTGCTAGCTATGTAAAAGATGATATGAGGGAAGTGATGTTTCATATTGATTATAGTTGTGGCACAGCGGCTGTACGTGGCACACTGCCACTCAAAAATGAGCAGTACTACTGGGAGATTAAAATGACAACACCTGTGTATGGCACTGATATGGTAAGAAAGTCAATATTGCTGTTTACACCACTTTGAAAGTTAATGTATATACCATCCATCATGAAAAATTACATGAATTATCACTGTAAGAAGTTATAAGAGGGAAACTTTGTGCAGTGATGACCATAAAGAGATCCTTCCATTTTGCCTTGACTTGCAGTGATGTGTAAACTCCCTTTGGTCCTTTGCTGTGCATATTTTATTTTTCGAGGGAAAGAAGAACCACTGATGTAATTATGATGATGGACATCAAAATCCCTTTGGGATGTATTGTTTGACTGCAATAGGTTATTGCAACAGGGTATTAAAAGATACATTTTGTTTTCAGATGGTTGGTGTTTGCACAGCACATATTGATCTGAACAAGTGTCGCCACATGTTCTGTAGCATGATTGGCCAGGATTCAGAGTCATGGGGTCTGTCTTATACAGGCATGAGACAGCATAGAAGTATCAAGGAACAGTATTCATCCAAGTTTGGCCAGGGTTCCATCATTGGTATTCACCTGGACATGTGGCACGGAACACTATCATTCTACAAAAACAGGAGGCCATTAGGTGAAGTTGACAAGTGATTCTCTAAAACAAGAACATGTAATATGTACTACAAAAGTTTGACCTTTTTAAAGTTAAGAGGCCACTTGGTCAAAAAATTGTATTTTACAATGTGTCTGTTCCCTTGAGACACATGGATTTTACTGAAGTAGGAACTACATTTTGTGCATTTAACTTTTGATTACCATATTCACATTTCCATTATTAGATAACTGGTCAGCATTTCTACCATTAGTAGAAAACCTTGACTGAAGAAAAGAAGAGCTTATGTTATAGAACTCTATACTTTGTCTACCTGTCTGTTCATCATTTTTCCCATTGAAAGCTCCATAGTCAGATTAAGGCATCATGATGAAATTTCATCTTAAGCTGATTTCTTTGGTTTAGTGTATAATATGGCTCCACGCCTGTAGATTAATGCAATTTATATATAAATTTTTGTTCCTCCATATGGATGAAGTGATTTTTTTACCAGCCGTGTGACTGAATTTGGTGTGAATAAATTCTTCTTTTGTTAGTTAAATTGGTTATTGACAGTCTCAGAAACTGCTAAAAGGATCTTTCTGCAATTTCTTTACCTTTCTTCTGTGTCCTTTATTTTATGTGTCGTTTTAAGACTGTTCACGGAACAATAAATCCAGCAAATCAACATAAAATCAAACAGAAACAAACAAACGTACAAAAAATGAGCCTTACCAGAAAAACAAGATGCCCAGACCAACAGACAGCTATCATAGATTTTGATTGCTGAAATTGTGTTTTCTCACAAAATAATGAGGGTGTCTTTCTCAAGTTTGAACATGTGACATATGAGACTTACTGCAAAACTAGATCATTTTACAGCTTGAGCTCTTTTTTGACTTGTTTGGGAAATGTTTTGGCTATATGAACAGTGTTTACATAGATTTATAAATTATTTAACCAATAATATTATTCAATTACTTTTTTTAGACCGAAATCTTAGACTTTTAGCATTTGATATGTCTTCATATGATCTCATAAATCGGTTGCACTTATTCAACACTAATTGCTGATGATGTGTTTTGTAGGTGTGGCATACACTGGTCTCCATGGTAAGATCCTGTATCCAATGGTATCATCAACAGCTGCACGTAGTGGCATGAAGGTGATTCGTAGCTGTTCTTTCCCAACATCCCTCCAGTTTATGTGCTGCCAAGTTCTTCGCAAGGTCATTCCAAATCACTTAGATGTTTTAAAAGTGATCACCCTGCCACCTGGTTTTAAAAACTTTTTAGAAAACAATGTGAGCTGGCTTCTCCAGCCATGTCCGCCACAAATGCCTCCACAAGACAAAGGACAAAAACGTAAACCCAAAAAGAGGACAAATGATGGACCTGTACAAGCAGATGATGTGGCAGGACCAAGCAATTGTAAACAAATGTTACTCAAGTGAGGAAGTGCTACAATTATCTGACCACTCATTTCTTAATCAGCAAATGGAAGTATTCTGGCTTCTGATTTCATTGAACATTTTCAGCAAGCATAACTGAAAACTGTTTTATTTTACACTGACAGTTATTTTTCTTGGTACATGAGGTTTGATGCTCATTATTTCAAGTCATATTCAAAGACTGATTTCATTTGTCCCACAAAACAGTAATGTTATCACTTTCCTTGTTATGATAAACATCCAATTCCTTTCTTTTCCAACGAAAATTATCCTTTACATCAACCAAACCGGGAAAAACACAGATTTTTAAGGTCACATGACAAAAAGTCAGGTGTCATGCATCATTATGTATTTAACATTGTCTACTTCTTCTCAGTTCTGGAAAACTCCTGAATCAATATCATTGAAATTTTACGAAGACCTTCCATAGCTAAAGGTGCATCAACACTGTAAATTATGTATATGGTCCTCAATCCCCAGAGGCCTGAGGTGTGGAGCCAAAACGGGTCAAATTGATTGAAACTTCAAAAATCTTGGATGGATGGAAAGGCCTTCAGATGCTTTACCAAATTTTACTTTCATGACCCTGGGGTTCACATTTCCCCTAGGGGAGGGGGTAAAGTTCATAGTTCATATAGGAAAATCAGGTTTTTGAACATTATTTGTTTATTTTCTATTGAAAATAGTTCAAAACCACGTTAGAGTTATTATTTGATGAGATGCACATATTGACCTCAGCTGACCCCCAGGGGCTGAAGGGTGGAGCCAAAATGGGTCAAATTGACTGAAATTTCAAAGATGTTCTACTGTTCCTGGATAGATTTTATATAGGAAAAATCAAATATTGGGTGTAATATCTTTTAATTCAAACTTAGTTGGAAGCCATAGCATTGGACAGCAGTTAATGTATACACATTCTACATTTGCATTATGTGTACACTATAATTAAAGTTATATTACTTTTTTTAACGGACTCATCTCTATGAAATGTTACAAGAAGCATTGTGACTCAGGTTCCCAGTGAAGCCCTTGGGCCTATTATCTTTGATATTTTAAATTCTCCAAGAAACTTCTTTTGAACTTTGACATTGTAATCTATCCCCTACACAGATAATTATTATTTTTAGTAGCAAATCCTGCCGAATTGGTTCTCTGTTACATCCTAAAAGTGAGTTAATATTCCTCCCAGTCTGGTTTACAAATGTCTATTACATTGTTTGATATTATGAGAATAGATTTACACCTGCTGTCTTTATATGTTTTAAAACCACTGAAGTGAAAAGATAACATTTTTTTTTTTTTATGTTCCAAATAGTGAAAATCCTATCAGATATAATGGTAGTAAAAGCTAGCCAATTAGAGTTTTGTTGCATAATCAATGAAAACTGATTTGCATACTGTTATAGATGAATAATGAGATTAATAATGGTTCCACTTTCTTGCCATAATTGACATCTAACCCCTTTATTTTCCAAAATTCCTGCTCTAAGGTTGCCATACAAGAAAAATATGGTTTTTATCAAATGAGTGTCACTGTATACTAGTAAAAATACACTTGTTACATTTTTGTCAGTGAAATGTAGTGATGTCAGATATTTAATATATTATCATTAGTGATGATCCAACTTTTCCAGTGATAATACAACCTTTGTAGTTTTGACCAATGCTTGTGAAATTTGACTCTCTGATACTTAAAAGAAATATTTTCAAAAGTATCCAAATGCTATGCAGCTGCGAACAATTTTCTTCTATACAAATCAGGACCAAATTAGAATGAGAAAAGGAAAGTAAATTATATAAAGGGGCAAAAAGAAAAGAAGAACAAGAATCTGAAGCCTAAATCTATCGGGTTCGCGGACCACCATGGAACAGAAAAATTGTTCGCATCAGCAGAAAACGAGACATTTAAGCCAGGAATGTTATACCATATAAAGCACTGAAATATAAATAGACCTATATCTCAATCTTTCATTATGAACAATAATTTGATCTTTCAAAACCGTAAATTGCTATGTAATGATTTATTTCCTCCTACATTGTATGATATATCAATTTCCATTGTAATCAGTTTTAGATATGGACATAGAGGCATTGTTTTGCCTGCGTCCATTATTAACTTAACTTAACAATCAGAGTCGTGCTTTCTAATCACTGCAATTAAATTCATCATTTTCCTGTGGAGCAAAGGTTGAATTAGTTGGTTTTACAGCAAATCCTTCCATGTATATTTTGGGTTTTACTTGGTACATCAAAACAGTTTTGCAATTAAATTCTTAATAGATAACAGCATAAGATAGGAGAAAACCACATAAAGTGGCTTATTCAAATTGTTGTCAAGTGTGATGTCAAACAATCTGACATCAAAGAATATGCTAATAATCCTTAACTGTTCTGAATGCCAGTTCACTTCTTATTTGGATCAGTTCATTTCTCTTTGTGTCTTCCTTTGAAATTTTAAGGAACAGAAAATTTGATAAAAATGGTTTCCTGTTCAACTTATGATATATATTATACTTACATTAAATATGTGAAGCATCCCAAAAAAGGACATATTTAAGATATTAAAGCGGGAAACCATTAGATATATTCTCTATACGTTCTATATTGAATTCAGCAAAATTAACCATGTTGCTTTTTCCATGATGTTGCTCCTAAATACAACTGTGTGTTTCTGTAGAATATTTCTACTTCACTTTTTACAATGTCCTCATGGTCCCAGTACATTCTGTCTTTTTTTCCCTCTCTGCATGTACATGTTTCAGTGATGCCTAAACCATACACAAATTGTGCTTTAATGATATGGTAGTTGAAAGAGTACAGAGTTTTCCGGAAGAGATCTTTGTATTTGTGTATTTATTTTAAGAACAATATTGTTAAGTTCACAATGTATAGGTGCTTTATGTGCGGACATTCCTAGGTTAGTCTTGTGAGCATGTAAATTTATAAAAATGTCAAATACAGACCAAAAATTATTATGAACTGCCCTACGTCACTCTGAAATATCCACAGATTTATATCCCATACTATGCCTTGTACATTATACATGTATGAATGGAAAGTTAAAGATAAAATATCACCCTCAGTGTATGTACTGTGGTAAATCTGCTTTTGTTATCTTTCGAGGATTTGATTCATATTAACCTTGATGTTATTTATTTTGTTATAATTGTATGGTTGGTTCAGGTTACATAGGTGAATAATACCTGTATGAATCAATTTGGGAATTTGAAATTTAGACAGGTGATATGATCTTATGTTACCTGCATTGATTGGCCCAATGATTAAGACAAAAATGTTAAACCTGAACAGGTACAATACGTGTTGTGGTACTCAAACACTTTGTGGGTGTAGAGTATCACCTGTGTGTAGGAAAATAACTCTGGCTATATGTTTCAACCTGGGTGCCTCAACTGGTCAACATCTAACACCAACGATATGAGTGGTAAGGATTATACCCGGTAATTACAAGACAAATGTGAAAGTTCACAGCTAGACATTGTGGTGATGACCAGTTGTTATGTACTATAATATGAACTGTCATATAAACCTGTGTTACTTGTCTTTAGACTGGTTTTGGAATCCAGACAGGTCATCAGTTCATGGAATGTGAAATCAAGATAGTTAATATGATTCCGTAATTCCTGTATGTACCTGTGTGTATCAGCTTATACATCCTGATAGATAGTATGATACAACGCTTCCAGCATAGAACATATGTAACAAGTTTCAAACTATTCAAACTAGAATTACATAATGTACTAAGCTGAAAGCATTAGTGTTTATTTACAGTATATATGATTCCGATTTCAGTCCTTCAGACTAGCACTCACTTTAAATGTGCTGGCCACAGTAAAATTCATATCAGATTTGTAGGTATGTAGATAAGTGTTAATATGCAGTTCCACTCCTGCACATAACTGCGTTTAGATCAAGACATGCTGCCATTCCAATTTTTGTCAGGGTAACTATTAGTGAATTTGTTTCAGTACAATTGTTATATTGTACTGTTGATTTTAAGGTGAAAGAACCAAAAATAGTTGGCTTTCATAGATGATAGATATATATATGCTGTTTAAGATCGTGCCACATATTTTCCTATTACAACACAAACCAACAATCATTTTCCTTTAAGAATACTTGAAAACATTTATGCCAATGTAGTTTACTTAACACCATTTTCAAACTTGATTTCAACACAAAAGGAAAGAGCGCAGTTTACTGAGAATGTTTTTGATGGTTCTGTGATTCTGATAGAACACTAATGCAAAGGTCTGAAATGGAAATAACTTGGTTTCTTGACAATTATGTAACTCGGACAAAGGTAGAAGAAATACAAAAATTTCTGAAAGTAATGCGATGTTTTGATTTTTCTTGTGGGTATCCTTTTGATCTCAGGCATGCACATACTACACATAGCTTTTGTGTATAGAAACTGAACAGATCTTGATGTGATCTTTCACTTTATCATTACATGTAACTAATTATTTTATATTTTGAAAATATTAATTGTTTAGGCATTGCATACCTTAAGTGGTAGAGGTTACTCCAGTCATCGAAATGATTTTGTTTGTTACAACAGTAGGTATGAGGAACATACTAATTCTTATGTGTGATGTTCTGTCTAATGTGACCATCATGTATATAGTGCAGTATCCAGTTGTAGTCGTATTACTGGGCTCCCCTTGAAACTGTGACCGTAAATCCAAGACTTATTAACATAAAATCACTCATAAGGCAGCTTTATTGAGAAAATAATATATTTAATGATCTATAGATAAGGAGAATATTATAAAATCCACATAAATTACAAAAGTCTTGTTTAGCATATCACTTGTATTATACAACCTATAAGACATTACATGCTACCCAATACCAGTCATAGATACAGTGCAGTAGTAAAACATTATGTCTGTATCAGGAGCATTTTGAATTTCTCTTGATATTGGTGACAGGTTTTCTGATGGAAATCAGTTTTAAAAACTTTCACTTAAATGATAATCACTTTGGCAAAGTTTGACATTTTCCTTAGACGTCAATGGAAGTATTTCTGTAACAACCAATGGCAGTTTCCATAGTTACCATGATGGTAAAAACATTCACTGTAG